TGCACACTCTCGGTCCCATCACATATATATATTGATAAGGAAGGCGAGGAAATTGATCGGTGTCCGGCTAAGGACCCATATATATACAGATAAATATAACGCTAAAAGATTCAGGAGTGTCTTAGTGATCTGACATTTATAACCCACCTTACCACCTTGAGGAAACAACAATGAGAGTATCCAGAAAACCGTGTGCTAGACAGCGTTCCCCGTGTTAATGTGAACAATACTACAAAACTAAGATACTCAGGAACGTTTTTGAATCCAAATCTGGAGTTTATACTCCACCTCCCGATCTGGAGAAAACAACAGAGAATTCAGAATATCGTGAGCTAAACGGAGTTTCCAGCGTAACGTGAAAAATGCTACAAAACTAAAAGACTCAGGAATGTTTTTGGATCCATATCTGACGTTTATACCTCACCTCACCGCCTGGAGAAAACAACATAGTATCCAGAAAACCATGTGCTAGACAGAGTTTCCAGCGTTAATGTGAACAATAACACAAAGTTAAAATACTCAGGAGTGTTTTTGAATAAAAATCTGGCGTTCATTCCCCTCCGCAAGAATATCAAAATTCAAGTCAGAAACTTATAAAATATCCTAACAAAGATAGCTAAAGCACCTTGGGCTAAAGTAAAAAAAAAATACTTAAAGACGTCTATCCAGCTGTAATAAAGCGCAGCATTCAGTCAGCAATATGTATTTTAATCATCAATTATGTTTTGTAGAATTTCTGAGGAAAAAAACTCACTGTTAAATAACCATGAAGATCCAAAATGAAGCAAAAGATTTAGAAACTTCATTTTTTATAAAAATTAAAAAATTTATTTGGTATTAATAGTTATAGAAACAATTATAATAATTTAAAGAAGGATGAATAATGTTTAAAAAAATGCAAGTCCACAAACATCACTTTGATTCTATGTAACAACATTACTGCAACTAACTTCAGTTATGATTCAGTTATCAATATTTTAACAAATAGTTCCGTTTATAACATGGTTCCCACAGGCCTTAATTTTAAAAAGTAGTTACAATAAGAAGACGAATTTTGATAATTTAATTCACTCGTGACTGCTACTATCTGCCCTTTTTCATGCGAAATACACCTGGATAAAATTTCTGGTCTACCACTGTTAAAGTTTTGTCTCAATAATTCCCTGTTAGCTTTAGTGTAAATTTACTAACACTGGTAGATTTAAGGTCCATGAGGAGACTAAGTGAAGGTTACACTCAATTATTCTGTGCTTGATGTTTTAAAGATGTCTTGCCAGAGATATTGAATATCTGTTCCTTTTGTTCTCTCCATGAATTTCTTTTCCAATGTTTTGTCTTGCTCCGGTGAGAAATGGTTCTTCCAATCACCAACAATTCCTGCAAAAAGAACCAATCCCGTTATAAGTTACTATTTAAATATCCATTTTTCATACTAGGTAAATAATTTAACAATAAAAAAATCGGCATTAATCAATACTACGAAGTCATACACAAAACTGAAAGGCAAATACCGATATAGATAATAAANATTTAAGGTCCATGAGGAGACTAAGTGAAGGTTACACTCAATTATTCTGTGCTTGATGTTTTAAAGATGTCTTGCCAGAGATTTTGAATATCTGTTCCTTTTGTTCTCTCCATGAATTTCTTTTCCAAGGTTTTGTCTTGCTCCGGTGAGAAATGGTTCTTCCAATCACCAACAATTCCTGCAAAAAAAAACCAAGTTGCTATCTAAATACCCCTTTTACATGCTAGGTAAAAAATTTAACAATACAAAAAATCGGCATTATTTAAAACTACGAAGTCATACACAAAACTGAAAGGCATATACCGTAATAAATAATAAAACAAAATTGATTTACTCTTTTTAATTATTATATGTTGCCTTTCATGGAGAATTTACATTAGATTGAACAGAACACGCTTTTAAAGTTCATCCCATCAAAAAATCATCATCATCTGTTTTCAGTCATTGTCATTTAGAAGGAGGCTATTGCTCGAGATCATCATCATTTTATCACAATCCAGTGACTTCTTTTTCATCACTTGTAGCTTTGCAGAACTTATCGGCAGCAAAGAATGGTAATCTCGAATGAATTCTGATGTGAATCTTTTAAAAAGAAAAACAGGGTTCGTAAGTGTCTTAGATTAGCTTTGCAGAACTTATCGGCAGCAAAGTATGGTAATCTCGAATGAATTCTGATGTGAATCTTTTAAAAAGAAAAACAGGGTTCGTAAGTGTCTTAGATTAGCTTTGCAGAACTTATCGGCAGCAAAGTATAGTAATCTCGAATGAATTCCCATGTGAGTCTTCTAAAAAGAAAAATTCTAAGTGTCTTAGATAATTTTAGTAATTATAGTAGTCATATTAATGCTCTCTGGGATTTTTTTTAAAGGTATCACTTTAAGATTTAAAAGCCTCGTAAATATTAACTCTTATAAGGATGTAATCTCTTCACAAAAAAAAAACATAAAGTGGTGGCCTTAAATATATTTCGTTACGTAGATCGAGGGTTTGTTTCATTTCTGTTATCACTATTCATTTTTTTCGAAGACCTTCGGGAACCTTGGAAAAAAATTCATTTAATGTTAGTTTTTCAAAGAAAGTGAAACTTTTTTTTCAATGAAAAATTCTTTTCGTGAGATTGGAAGTCTTACCTTTTCTTACATAACTTATACTATTCGGATCTGTGTCAAAGAAGCTCTCTTCCGATTCCAACAGTTTCTTTAATCCAACTGATAAATCAGTGCGATCCTGATCGGATTTCCGTGTCTGACGGGCTAACTCAGAAATTTGCTGATTCAGTGTTTCTTTCATAAATTCGAAACTGCTGTGCTTGATGACATCTTTCAACATAGTTTCATTCTTCTCAAGCATTTCCTATAAAGTAAATACAAAGAATAGATATACTTATCAATATAAAACGTATAGATAATGTATATGATCACAAAGGTTATAAGTTTAGTAGTACACTGTTAGCAATTTTTCGGATAAAATGATTAAATAATGATTTATTTAGTTGTTATTTAACCATATTTAAACAAAGCATTCAAATAACCATAAATAAGTTGGTATTCAAACTGTTAACTGTGAGAAAAACCGTGTATTAACTGCTTTCATCTAATATGGTTAAACAACCAGAATTTCATCACATTAACAAGGCCCACCTGATAAAACAACTTAGTTCCCTGCAGCTGGGTACGTATTATAGCCGAGTTGGCTCATCTATCAATTTCGCGAGAGACAGAACCGTGATTCAAGTCCCTGCATTACCGTTTTTTCCATTCATTACATTCAACAACGCATGAAGAGTGCCCAGTGTCTTGCACTCCCCAATTTGTGACTTGTACTAGAATAATATGATGCTCTCATCCGCGCATGCATGACAGCACCATAACTGCTTAACGTAAAAAGTATAGCACATCTTATCTTTTATGATAAATGAAACAACGAGATAAACTATTTAAACCACATTCCACGGTTTATTTGATAAAGCACAGCTCAACACAACCACTCTTGTGTCTATTGCCTAACGAAAAACCTAGCTCCAATGTCCAGTTAGATTCCTTTTTTACGGTTTTGAAACTATGCTAGATGTAAATGGTTTAAAAAAATATAGTTCTGTATTCATTTTTTTTAGTATTCTATTCGTAAACGGTTTCAAATTCAACGGTTGTAAATGATTGGATGGACAAACTGCTGCCGGTTATTTTACTGTAATTTTAGAGAGAAATATCTAACAGTGAACAGTATGGGGGCCAAAAGTATCTGGACATCCAGTAATACAGACATGAAATATAATTTTATGTGATGTTGGTTCCCCATTTACATCGATGGCAGCTTGCACACGTCCTTAGATATTTCCCACCAGTTTTTGATTGGTGGCTATAGGAATTGACTTCGAGATTTCTATCACAGTTTAAGTGTATGCTGGCAATGATGAGTGCAAATTTGGCTAACTACATAATTTGAGTTTTAATTGGCCAGAAAGGTGTTCTGTGGTATTTAGACTGGGGCTTTAGAAAAGGGCCAGGCCGGTGTCTGAACACCCATTTTGTCAAATCATGGCTGCACAAGTCTTGTTGTGTGAAAAGAACAATTATCCTGCTAGAAGAAAAATTAGCCTTTTTCCTGCTAGAGAAAAATTTTCCGAAAGATTGCCATAAAATTGGGAGAATAGCATAGTCAAGAATGACCACTTGCATCTCAGTGTTCATGTATCCAACCGCTGGAACTGAGGAACCTAGGCCAAACAATGAAAAACAAGTTCATACCAGTAAAGTGCTCTGATAACCCAACGACGTGCACGCGTAGTCGAGCACTTTATGGTGCAAGAATTTTTCGAAAACCCATAGTGCACACTCTCGGTCCCATCACAGGTTGATCAAAGTGATCCCCACTTATCTCTGACAGCGATGCCAGAGATCTCTATAGAGTAAATAATTTTCTGGTTCTTCATTCGGTTCTGGGATCTCTATTGGGTTAATAATTTTCTTGGAATCGTGTCTCATGATTATTCCACTGTGGGACCGAAAGCTTGAGCTCAGTAAATTTTATTGCGCATCTTCCATATATCGAAATACCTTCGGAACTGAGCATTTTTGACATAATGACAAAACTAGTTAATTAAAAAAATTCATTAAAAATATTTTTTACAATTATTTCATATTGTTTAGTGTAATAATGATCAAAGATTGGAATTGTAAGATATGCACACTTTCACGCCAATTTAATCTATGAAGAAATACGACCATTTTGGAATGGTGATATATGCAAAAGTAGAAATTAAGTGGCTGGGGTTCAAACTTCTAATGCTCTCTTGACCAAACTATTTTCCTCCTTATATTTTTAAGGGTCAAGAATAAAAATCAATCAGAAAAGAAGTATAGTTATTCAAAGAAATTAAATTTTTGTACTTGATTTCATAATTTTAAACATCATTTGATCTAATTAATTAGCATATTTAAGGATAGTCCCTCGAAATATTAAAATTGTGGTTCGTGAAAATTAGATCATTTCATCATATAAAATTTTACCTTATATTCAGATCCCATAAAATTTGCAATTTTCAAAACATTTCTCTTTATATCTTCTTTCAGTTGCTCATATGTGATGAACAAAACATTTGGGTCATTTCTGCGCTCATACCAGGATATCAAACTGTCGAAATAGTCTCCGTAGTCCACTTCTCCTTTCATGAACAGTTCAAAATAATCATCGAAGCTGCCATTTTTGAACTTATAGCCGGTGAAGTTTTTTGTGTGATGATAAAACGAAACACAACAATCCTAAAAAATAGCAAAAAAATCGATAATTTGTATTACAAAATTTAGATCTTGTGTAAATTATATCTTCCTTAATGAGAATAGCTTATGCTAAAAAAATTATTACTTGGATAGTTTGCAACAAATTTAACGTGAATAGTTACAACAAAAATTAAGTCGAGTTGATATCAAAATAATTAAAATCCGTAGTGAACTTATTTAGAGTCATTGTTCTAATGACAATTTTCTTTCCGATAAAATTTTTCAATATTATAAGAGTTTTAAAGGCTATTCAATATCAATCTATGGTAATATCTCAGCTGGAAATTACCAGATGAATTTGAGATATATTTCCATATTACAGTCAGATTTAATACGTCTAAAAAAAATTCTCATTTTTGCTAGTTTTATTTCTAAGTAACCCATATGATCGACAAAAATACAAATGTACTTTAAATAAATTTGTTGGGGATCGCTGCAATATTTTCACTTGATATAACACTATAAAAGATGGAGAAAAAAAGAATAGCACTTGAAAGAAGGTTGACTTGAGCATCAATGAGTTAAAAGGCATTGCTTTAAAATTTATTAGTCACTTAGTACAATTTTTTTTAAATTAATCATTTTTACTTTAAGAGTCAAAAAAAATTTTACTTTTATATTTATAATACTGGTTGTAAGTTGAAGTTGTAGGGATTTAGGTTTTTAAAAATCACTTTATCATTTAGTTTTCTGAATGTAAATAGATCAGATGATATGTCACATATTTAATGTAACATGCCATCTGTAATATACCCGTTATATAGGATGTTCCAGGATTATTGGGTCAAAATTTAAGAGGAAGTAGGGGACATCACAAGGATTCAGAATTGTATGACAACCCTTAGTCGGAATGTGTTATTGTTCACAAGAGCACTGGAGGAATCAGACCTGCATTGCCGCAGTCATTTGAGCTGCCATCGTCCGTAGATGAATATGTAACGTTTTACGAACACCAAACTGACAGGTATGCACATGATGAAAGGATTGACAGAGGGGAATGCACGAGCTGCAGGAAGATTGCCCACCACTTGGCAGGTAGATGGCAACTTAAATGACTGCGGCAATGCAGGTCTGCTTCTACCAGCGCTCTTGTGAACAATAACACTTAGAAGCGAACGAAGACGTTTCCAAGCATGGGTTGTTATACAACTCTGAATCCTTGTGATGCTCTTACCAGCTCTTAAATCTTATCCCAATAATCCTGGAATACCCTGCAGACAGATGGTCATGGCGTATGGCATTTGCAGAAATGCCAAATTGCTCCGGACAGCGGATAAATATTTTCTAGTGGTAGTCTTTTAATGTATGAGTCTTGGTTTAGTAAATCGCCGTAATGATTATGCTTAACGTTAAAAAAAAGTTAGTAAGAAATTCCTCAATTAGTTTTTAAATTTAGTTGAACATTGACATTTTTTGCTGTGTTCATTTTCTTAAAAAAGCATTTCGAGGTTTGTTCATAATAAAAAGCTAACCGTCGGTATTATTTACAGTCAGCGATACGAACCACTCGGATAATTTCGAGGATTTTTCTAACTATTTTTTTTTATATTTAATGTGATGGTATCTCTGCAATTAGCCTAAAAAGTATTTAGGCTGATTAGAAAATACCGGAGATTTCCAACACGTGTTATTAATCGCAAAATGATGGTGTTTGTTTGTAAAGATTATAGAAATACTTTACAACACTTGCATAAACATAATAAAACGAACTTACTTTAGGGTTTCTGGCAACGTAAATATACTTTGCCTGCGAAAACCATGGGATCACGTCGATAGGCAAATGTGTCTTGATGGCTCCGGGTCGCTTCATTATCCTTGCCGCTTCAGCTCCTGACATTTCCAGAAAAGGCGCATTGTTAAAAAATTCCAGGGCTGAAGAAAAAGGTGAACCTTCTTGATGAATGCAGGCCACGATGTTTTGCACCCAAGTTGCACCACATTTTGGGTAAGTTGTGATAAAAAGATCGTCCGGTCGTGGCTCGTAGGAGAGTGCTGAATTGAAAGCCTCCAAAGAGAACTGTTTTGGAATCGAAAATCCACATGACGTTTTTTGATATTCTGGTAGAATTTTCTTTTTCACTTTCGTGATTACTTTTTGACTGTAACAGAAAATATTGTATAAAATTGAATAGTCCTCTAAACTGTAACAGATGAGTGTAACAATGACTTTTTTTGACTGCAAGAGAAAAGATCATAAAGAAATTGAATATTCCTCCAAACTATAATAGATGACTGTAACAATGACTCTTTTTAAATGTAACAAAAATATCATAAAAAGATTGAATATTCCTTCAGACTGTAACAGGTTACTGTAAAAATGAATCTTTCTGACTGTAACAGAAAAGATCATAAAATATTTTACATTCCTATTAAAAAAAAAATTCTTATAAATGCTAGGGACTAACAACCCACTGCTCGCTATCGCGCAATCCTCGGAAACGATTTCGCAGTTCCTTTTTATTTGCTTCCACACCTACTCATTTCGTTAACTCACCAGATACAAAAAACTTGAATGAATTTACTTGAAAAATGATTTTACACAAAAAACTTAACACAAAGGCAGGCAGGAAGCCATATAGAACATAAACAAAGTTATTACGCATCGAAGTTGACAGGTACACAAAAAAAAAACTTTTATCACTGTTGCAATAAAATATATAAACAAATAATAAATCTAAGTTAAGTAGAAGAAGCAGACGAGAAAAAATAATATTTCAACAAATTCGATGTGCTATACGGCTCTGTATTTAATTGACTCAACGTTAATTAATATTCTAAGTTATGTAGAGAAACTTAGCTCAACTTTAATAAGCCATTTTTCTGTTAAAGATCAGCTGGAGCTGACGTCATAGATCACATGGGTTTGCATCGGTTGTCTTCTTCCTCTTAGAGTGCAAGTACCCAATTGAAAAAATAATTAGAATAAAACACACAGAATATAACAGTGTAAATTTCATATATCTTCACATCGTTGATTTTAAAATAATATTAACATGTAACAACTTCGAATCAACGATTATGTATCCCATTGGAGCTCAAATCGAAACTTATTACCCATTTTTATACCGTTTTCTGCTTAAAATAAATTCGGAAAAAAGCTGTCAATCTTACCTATTTCCTTCAATACATTTCTGAAAGTGACAGTTCTCTGATTTAAATTGTTCTCTCTCAGAAAGATAAGCAGTCGTGAACATTATACGTTCGTTTGGCATGTAAAGAAAAAAAAATCAGCTGCTGTCAATTGCAATTTCATCGATAAGATATTACTTGTTGCCAATTTTAGAAGAAATAATCGTTTAAAAAAATGAAATTATCGTTATTTATTTTTATTTTCTCATCGAAAGTGCTGACTGTTTGATACTAAGCGTAAAAGAAATAAGATGACAGAAAAGAGATTATCCGATTGATAAAGATCATAACTCGATTAGCTGCTTCTCAAAATATCAATATTCTTTAAATAGTTATAAAGAAAACTGAAAAATACAATTCGCAAAAGAAAAAAAGAGAAAACGGATCGCCCTGAATAACTTTCGTCACTCAATCTTAATCGTTCGAGCGGGTGATCACAAATATGCTAATTAATGAAAGCAGACGATATTTTAAGTGACGAAATCAGACAAAACGTTCTTTTTCTGAATAAGCATACCCCATTTTCGATTGATTCAGATTTCTGACCACCAAACCTACAGGGGATAGTCGTAATCTAAGGAATGTGGTTCCCATAGCAGAGCAAACTAAAGTTTTGACCCCTTTATATTAACACTACTTTTTGCGTATTTCATCATATCTCGAGAACTTTTTAAGCGGGATGAAAAACGCACGCAACTTCGCACGTAAGTCGCACTTTCGCATTTTCGCACGCAACTGCGAAATTCGTTTATCCAAAAATAATTGCGTGCAAAAAATAAATTTTACCAAATATTTCTTATTTTTTATTATTTTATTTAATAATGACCGAAAAAATTAAATCCAGGTATACAATTTTTTACACCCTTTTAAAGTATGTCATTTTACATGGCGAAATACAAAATTTGAGCTAAACCAGCTGAGTAGTTCCTTAGAAATTGAATTTTAAATATACGACTATTTTAAAATTCAATTTCTCAGGAACTATTCAACCGATTTAGCTCAAATTTTACATTTCGCCACGTAAAATTACGTTCTTTAAAATGATTCAAAAATATGTATACCTTACAATTTAAATTTTTTCTATTTTCATTAAATAAAATAACAATTATTTACTGAAATTTATTTTTGGTATGGGTTTGCTTTTGGATAAACAAATTTTATATTTGCGAGCAAAAATTTTTCAATTTGCTTAAAGCGTTCTCGGAATATAGTGAAATACGCAAAAAATAAAATTAACATTAAGTGGTCCAAACTTTGCATTGTTCTCTTGACCAAACTATTCCGACCCTATTTCCCAGATTGCGGTTACCCCTATATTTTGGGAGCTAGAATTCCAAATCATTCAAAAAAGGGCACGTTTATTCAGAAAAAGTACGTTTTAGTGTCTGATTTCACAATTTAATATATAGTCTGCATTAACTAATTAGTATATTTGTGATCACTACCTTGAACAATTGAGTCCTAGAACGTGAAGTCTAATCATTAGATCAAATGTTATTCAGGGTGGATCTGTTTTTTTATTTATACATAGAAAGGATAATATTTTTAGAATTATTTCAGCGACAAATGCATAGCTATTTGTCGATGCAATAATAGTTTGAATATGCGTGTAAAATATTCAAAAAAGCGTGATAAGTCGATGGCTATACATTAGTCATGAAAATTTTTTGAAGCATCAGAGCATGGAAAAAAGGGAAACCAGGATTTCCTAAGAGTAATATACTGGACGCAGAAGTCTTGGATTATAAAGGGAAGGGGAGCTAAGTAATCTGGCATCTCAGACAGAAGAATTTCCAAAATTTCTTCTTAAAAGGAGGCTATACGGCAAGAAAAACAATTCTTAACAAATTATGTTTCTTCTCCTTTGGTTATAAGTTCGGATAAACCAAGAAAAAACCACGGAGCTTAAAATATTGATCAAATTATCATAACACGAATAAATTATAGTTGGATTACTTTCCCAGCTGGTTAATCATGAGTAATCTTGCTATCTGATTTGTTTGCATTTTGGTATTTTGAAAGAAAAGTTTCTGCATTTGAACCTTTCTGGTTTGTCTGAACTCACATTTTAATGAACTTTAAATTACTATTGACAGAATTTGACGAATTGAACATGCTGCAACAGTTTTTTTTTACGTTGATTACATTTTATAACCAATTTTACAATGTTTATTATTATTAATATAATAATTCAATTGAATTGGAATTTCTTTACATTCGTGAAAGTTCCCTACAGTGAAAGTCAGGTCAGAAAGTTCATATATATGAAAACGGAAAAGAGTAAAAACTGGTAAAAAAATCATTTGATTTTATCTTGTTTTCATGAAAAGTACAATACCCACGACTACCAAGACTTTTTTTTAACAGTTTATGATTAAAAGCAATTAATCACTCTTCTCTAACCTGCGACAAATGAAATATGGCATTCTACACTTTTTCTCGTTTCCGTCTTACTTTCAAGACTGGAGAAAATAATGAGCAGAAAATGGACACCCAGTATTCTCTTTATCATTCAGTAAAAAAGTTAAGAGTTGGTGGGAAAATTCTACACAAATTTGTTCAACGTGAAATACTTGGACGTAGCTTAGATAAGGATAGTAACTCGTAAAATTTCTCTTCCATAGTACAGATTGGTTAAATCTTTGTTTATTTTTGTCACCATTCGTTTTTATTTTAAAACAATATGAGAAGACAAAAAACTAGCAAACAAATGTATGGTTTTTGGAAAAAAACAAATATTTTATTGAAATTTTATGGTTTTTCAAATATATCCTTCCAAAGTTCTGGAATATCTGTTCCTTTTGTTCGTTCCCAGAATTTTTGTTCCATTCTTTTGTTCTGTTCGGGCGTAAAATGATTTCTCCAATCTCCAACAATTCCTATTAAAGATTTAATAATTGTAAATAATATCAAGTATTGTTTGAATTCATAATGCATGCACACACCATAGTTAATAAAATATGCTTTTACGAGTAGGTTGTAATCGATATTCTAGGATTTAAGATAAGTAGGCCTAATATAAGTTAGGCCCAGGATAAGCTAGGCCTAAGACCTACTGCTCAGTTTCCTACAACAACAAAAAAAGATGCGGATAGAAAAAGTTGAAATTTTACAGAATTTCTTTTTATTTACTTAAACTTTAAAAGCCCAACCACAAGTTATTACAACATTTAGTGGTGTTTTATACCAATATTTGAAATATTTATGTGTCATGTGGTACATAAATATTTCAAAAGTTGATATAAACAATAGAAATGATATAATTTTTCTCAACTTCATCCACACCATTTTTTTAATTCAATAAATATAAGCTTATTATATATTAATTAAATATAAGCTTATTATGTAAGAAAATAAGAATAAGCATGACATGTCCCTTACTATCCGAAAACTATCTCTGTAAAAAATTTTCGACTTAAATGGAGACATTGTCTAGTTGGAAAATTCGAGTTGGCATTGCATTTTTTCTTTTACTCTCTGGATTCTTACTTACGGGATTTCTGGAATTTTTTTATCATCAGCAACCTCCAGACAGTCTGCGAGAAACGCTAGTTTACGTTTACTACAGTAAAAGATGAAAGCTTTGACATAAAGCCCTCCCACATAATTATTAAGCCTCCACTTTGCTGTATACTGAAGAGGAAATCCTTTTCTCATATAATTATAACAGCGCACAAAATTCTTTGAGTCATCTTAATTCTTTTATTTTTCTACTCCCCTTTGCTTCTGAATAACTTTCAAGAAGCACTTTTACTAATTTTTTAATATCGCCAATTTCTTTCAGGATATATTAGACGAAAGAGTAGATGAGAAAATCTTCTCCAATGGACAGCAATGTGGAGACACATAAATGATGTGGGATTGTTAGTAAACTTAACGTGGCTTTTCTCTCATGCCAGACAAAAACAACCGATTTGCAAACATATGCTAGAAACTCATCTAGATTTAATTAGATTTATCAGCAAGGGAATGTCTTCATTTATGTTGCAAAATATTTAAAGTGGCGGCTTTTGGATAATAGGATGCATATCATGAAAGGTTTACCATGACCTCAAACTCCAAAAAAACGTGAGGTGCTATCTTCAGAAAGGCTGTGTATACAAAAAAGAAGCAGTTTCAGTTTGTGGTATAATTGAAGACTGTCATCATTGAAATTTGACATAATATTTATGCTACCGTCATTCTGGGATCGGTAAATGGTATGTAACGTCACTTATTCAAAGTCATTTAAAAATATGGCTGATGTTTTGACTGTAATCTGAAGTGGATTTATTCAGGAGAGACATTTCCTTCTTTTTTTTTATTCGATGTTTCTTCCTTGTTCAAATCAAGCAGGAAGAGAATAACTTTGTATGTATTTAGAAGACTAGACTTTTTAATACATGTGTTTGACTCTCATTGGTTTCCTTTGCGTGCAGTTATGCATAAAATCCAGATGGTTTTAAGTAGAACAACAAACTGTATAACTTTGCCTCGTGTGTACGAAGGCACTTAAACTATAGTATATTTTTATTCTCCTAAGCGAATGAGTTTTAAACATAATGCTAATGGTTTCGACACAGGAAATTATTGTTTATGTTTTCGTTTTCTTATAAACTTTATTTTTTAAATGTATAAAATTTTTGTCCTTTTTGAGAACCAGGCAATGCTTTTCAGCTAGTTAGTGCGAAATAACTTAAAGCTCAAAATAGTACAAAGTAGGTGGTTTAGGGGATAGAGTGTTCGCTTACCAATAAGGTGTCCCAAGTTCGAATCCTAGTGATGGCTGATCGATACGAATTGCAGTGCACCGATTACAGTGTTGACTTAAAATATCCTCAGCGGTTGACTGATCATAGGTTAGAGTCCCCTTTCCGTCAGGAGAGGTTTTCCTGGTTATCCTCTCTATGTTACGCATTTGCGGGTTAGTTCCATCTAAAAGTCTTACACGAAGGCGAATTTCACCATATACTTGATTCCCTTGTCTTCTGGATTGTCAGAATCACAAGGCTACCTACTTGAACATTGGTAGTCGAAACTCAAAATTGGATATGTTGTTCAACGGCAGTTATAAAAGAAATGTAGTTTAAAATTGTATCTTTGCTTTAAGTACAAGACTCTCAATCTGTGTGTGTTTATTTTAATTCTTATGATCAAGTTACTTCGAAAAAAATTTTTAACGCACCTGTGTTTACCAATAAACGGTTTAACTTCGATAAAATATAACATTTTCATACCTTTTCGGACAAAAGTGGTGCTGTTTGGACTTGGATCGAAAAATTTGTCCTCTCCACCTAAAAGTTCCTTCAATCCCTGAGGAATGTCAGGATGGTTTAGAACAAACTCACGTGGGAGAGCTGCCAGCTCTGCCACCTGTTGGTTTAGATTTTGCTTCATGAAATCAAAGCTGCTGTATTTGATCACATCATTCAACATGGTTTCGTTATGTTCCAACATAGCCTTAAAAATAGTTTAAAAATACCTTTTTACTTCTCAGTCTTTAATTAGAGATCGCAAAAACATAACAATAAGACGGTTTTGAATAAGAAAGAATATGTTCTTTAATACTGGTGTTTATAAATCCACCTTACTTTAATAATTTTCTTCCACTAAGACCTTCAATATAAAAATTATACTGCGTTGCAGGATTGCGATATAGGATTTAAGTATTCATCCGCGACTGCATATAGTCCTGTATTATTTTAGCTATCAAATTATATAAATAGGCTTTCAAAACAATATAAAAACATTTAAAAGCTAAACTCGCCGTATAGAAATTTAATCAGTGCTGTCTTTTACTATATATATCATAAAATCATTAAAATAGTGTTAGAGTTTCGTAGTCTTATTGGAATCCTAGATTTGGCGACATATTTCGATAAATAAGAAAAACATTCGTTCGTGAAATGCTAACAACTATACGATGCTGCAAGAGCATTGGATTAGATTGGATCACTAAAAATGGCGTGTCTCATGCTGATATAATCTTAACAAATCAAGTTCGAGATTAAATTTTTTTTTAACTTTTGTATCACTGTAGAAGAAAACAGCCTGCAAGAAACAATATTTATTATTATTTCATCAGTTTCTTTATATGCAAACAGAAAGACATATAATTATTACGATTTTTAGATATCATTTTTATTAATCTTTATTTACAAAACAATAACTTTTATTTTTCGCATTTCACACGATTTAGGAAAGCAAGCAAAATGAAGGCTGTGCAAAGTTGTTTCAAGGGTTGGAGGTGTTTAAATAAGCTCTCGCCGGGAGCTTGGCATCCATTTGGCGTGCACATAGATGCATACAGGCTCTCTCCATAAGGATAATGATTTTTCTTAACGTGCAACAGAGTATAAAAATGTACTTACTTTGTATTTCTGGCCCATAAACTCTGCTATCTTTAAAACACACTGCCTCGTGTCTTTCTTCATCTGCTCATAAGTGAGGAACAAGACATTCTCATCATTTCTGTGATCATACCATTCCTGAAGAAAATCAAAATAGTCCCCGTAATCCACTTTTCCTTCCATGAACAAATCAAAATAGTCTTCGAATTTTCCATTCGAAAATTTATATCCTATGATGTTCTTTGTGTGGTGATAGAACGAAACACAACAATCCTATAAAATTAAAATCAAGTTAAGTCTTGTTTGTTCAATACAAAGAAGGAGTAAAGTATATTCAAATTTTAGAAAAACGTGCGAAGTACGATTGTTAGAAATATGGTTCACATCAGTGTCCAACCTAATGGGGCTTTTATCAATCAGTGTCCGATCTCAAGAAATGCTTAGTATGTGGAATATACCTGTATGAAAAAACGGAGGAGATATTTGGTATTGTTATGATGATATTTCTTTCTTTTACAGTATGATTTGAGATCCAAAAATAAATACGTATTATTATCATTAATATGCATCCAATAACGAATAATTCCTTCTGACTTTTCTTCTGACTTAACGAATAATTAATTCTGACTTTTCTTAAAAACTTAATTTGAAAAACAGGACTATTTTTTTAAAAAACGCTGGGTACAAATGTGTTGATTATTGAAACTATTTACTTACAACTGATACGAAAGTATACGCTCGGACATTTGAGGTTAGTGCGAAATAGTTTTTCTTGTAGTAGTGAACAATATCCGAAATTCCGAAATTTTTTAAACGAGTAGAAATTTTATCAAACTGTTTTAGAACTTGAGAATATAAGCATTATTATGTTTGACTTTTTACACATCTATATGAAGCATTGTAGAGATAGATAAAATTCTTATAATTCTAATTAATTAAAGTCTTTAATCTTTTTTGATAACACTAGACAAAAGTATTTTCTCAATCTACGGAAATTCTGCCGTTCTTGGAGAGAGTCCAAAAGAGTTTCATACTACTGCTTTTCAATGTTGTCACCACCATTTTCCAACTTGTCACCAGAAATGTGGTTATAGTAGCAGTACCTGTTTTAAAGATAGTTCGGAAGAAGAGACATCTTCAGCTTGAAAAATCTCTGAAAGTGTCTAGAAGCAAATGCTGCGAGATGATTATCATCATCTTAAGAATCAAGTCGTAGAGTAAGTTCAAGAAGTATAACTGATGTTACAGTACTTCTCAGTGTCATAAATATATTTCTTGGTCTTAGACGCTAAAACAAACTATCCGGTGTATATCAGTTACATTTTGGCGTCTCTCTTTGAAGATTTTCATCCTCAATCTAGTTACTATACAGGTTCTGTTTGAGACTTTTTAAAGCTTCTGTTAAATCTGTTTTCTGTTTTAAAATCTGTTGAGTAGCACATTCTAAGTTCATTCGGCCTTATTATATCTGTTTCGAAAACATCGTGACAATACTACATTAGACCGCCACCTAGTGTGAGGCTCTGTTCTTCTCTCTAGTAAGAAATGATCTAGAGTTCATTTACTCTGAGGTAAGTTATGTAACTATTGTGGCTTCATGCGATATTATTTCATCAGCTATTTTGCCGCCATTAAATTTCGAACCTTTACATAAAAGAAATTTTTTTGTGTTTATGCATCTTTTCACGGTATCATTCGAAAAGAGGAACCTTATTGTTTCAAAAAGTAGTACCAACGTGGTACCATATCACTCGAAACCTTTACAATGCAACATTGCTCCAGGTTCCTTAACCTCGCCCAGTGCATGAAAATTCTACCCACAGAAGCATTTCCATTGTGGGACAAACAAATTATAACAACTGAGAACATTTCTTTTCTGTAGATGTGAGATTTTTTTAACGGATCTTCTTGGATATTTTCACGTCATTGATTTCAAATCTGCAAACGGTTTCTCACTCCAAGCTACAATTTTTTTAAATGACATTTTTAATCTATTTTTAGTTTAGATGTACGGCCAGCCAGGTGGCCGAGCGATTAGCGCGCCGGAGTGTGAAGCCATTGGCTGCTAGTTCGAATCCCGCTCTGGGCATGGATGTTTCTCTCTCTCTGTACTGTCCTCTGTTGTACGCGTGTGATGTGTGAATGTGGCCCACCCTATAAACGGGTTTGTGGCAGTGTGGCGTGGGCAATGTTGCTCGCCTCCGTGACTTTGGTTCACAGGTGCCCACTGGATAACGCTAAATGAGTAACAATTCCGGCACCTTCATAGGCGAAGATTCAAATTCAGTGCCTGCCATTGGAAGAAAAAAAGTTTAGATATACGAGTTAGTTTTTATATATGACTAGGGATAGTGTGAATGTTTCCACTGGAGTTCGACAAACTTCTACTGGAGTTAGGGCACATTATCAGATTTAATATTTTAATAGGAAATCATTCCCGCAAAAGTCAGACGCATTGTGCTGGGGGTGCTTCCCCTACTATGAACTGTTTCTTCGTGTGCTTCTAAACAGGTCATAATCGGGAAGCGCCCCTAGTCACGTACGACGCTATTACCTGTTATAGACTCCTATGCAATTTAAATCCTCGTGATGTGTCTTAACTCCCTTAGAAGTTTGTTGCAACATCTACACGACTCCCTGTTATATTTAACGTTTTCTTGTACATTTCGACGACAAAAAATAGGCTAAAATTGACATTTTAGAAGAACGTGTAGCCTTAGGAGCAAAATTATTTTCTGGTTTGAAATTCCCACAGTCAAATTGGACAAGATCAAATATTTTTAGAAATGCAAAAAAAAAATTTGCTATCAAAATCAGCCGGGGCTATAGATCAGAACACACACCTCCAGATTATCCACAATATATAAAATGACTAAGAACACCAAACGAGGCTTAAGATTTGTTTTCGGATAATTAGAAATAAAATTTGCCTCATTGTTTACTATTCACATGATGGAGTCCCTGATTAATATGACTGATTCGCCTTATATATTTCTCATTGGATAAAACGCTTTCAATTCCCCGTAAGCATCTTAAAACGCTTTTATTGGTAAAGTGGTACTAACCTGTTACAGATTATAACACCTCAAAATATATGATGATAAAGAAAACTGACTTAAAGATAATTATATTTGTTAGCAATTTTAGTGAACACAGATTTCTTAACTTTAAAAAACGGCCAAGAAGGAAATGAAGATAGAACTCTTTATCATTTTGAAAGATAAGCACTTTTTATTATTTTGATAAAATGCCGAAAGAATAAAAATTTTGATAAGATATAGTTGGTATTGTAAAACGAACTTTTAAAAGTAACATGTTATTTTCATATTCGATACAATTCTGTAAGCCTTTTGACGCAGATAGGACACCATTGTCCCTTTTATATATTTTTTTCTAACGCTCTAATTATAAATAAAAATATATTTTGGTATTTTTTAATTATAAAAAACAGTTTAATAGTTACTAAACAATTGTTAGGTTATCGGAATTACACTTGGACTAAAATATTACATCCAAAAAAGGTTATTTGAAATTTTTTTTATTCATGTTCAAAAATTCATCTATAATTGAATTTGTAAATTGAAGAAACTTCAATGATGCAAAACTGTTTCACTTAAATCTAAATAACTGCAAATAAGTGCGAATTTGAAGAATCATTGTTTGGAAGATTTTACCTTTAACGCAGAAAAATACACCTGTTTCTCATGTTGTATTTCATTACCATAAATTATTAAAATGCTAAATATAATATTTTTCACTTATCTTGATCTAAACTAATACAAAATAATAACAATAAGTATGAAAAAATGAGCTTAATAAAAAATTCTGAGTCAAAAGAATAACAGATACAAAATAACTGTTACAAAAATACTAACCGTCTCTAAATAAAAACGTATTTTATAAAGTATCTTACTATTTTACACTTACTTTAGGATTTCTGGCCACAACAAGGTACTTTGCATGAGGAGACCATGGTGTCACCCTAAATGGTAAGTGTAACTTGATGGCCCCTGGTCTTTTCATAGTCTTCACCGCTTCCGCTCCCGCCATCTCCAGAAAAGGAGAATTGCTCAGAAACTCCAAAGCAGAAGCAAAAGGCTTTCCTTCCCTGTAGATGCAGCCCACAATGTTCTGAGCCCAGGTGGTCCCGCATTTCGGATAAGTCACAATGAAGAAGTCATCGGGTCGAGGTTCATAGGTGAGCGCTGACTTGAAAGCGTCGATTGAGAACATTTTTGCTATGCGAAATCCAGCGGGCGTGCTTTGGTACTCTGGAAGAACTTTTTCCTTCTGATCGGATGCCATTTCTCTACCTGTTGTACCAAAACGAATTAACCATATATTAAACACTTCCGTATGTATAAAACTTTTTCATTTCCTACAATGCATTGAGAGAAGATATGTGCATACTAACCGATCAACCAAAAGCCTATACATACATAAAATTGACAAAATTCCCGTCCCATCTACTTTTTCAGGATAGCTACAACATTAAATTTAGCGGATGGAGCAGGGGTCGGTGCAAAGGGAAAAGTCTAAATTATCAAATCAAATGAAAGTAAATTGAAATCGAATTAGGTATGGCTCATCTAATCACTCCCACATTTCGCTTCTCTTAGGTGTGCTTCACTGATGCGGGGTGATAGGACTCATCGAAGTTAAAAGCGGAATTTAACCGAAAAAGACTCTCGTTTTCTCACTGGAATTTTCTTAAAATATTAAAAAAAACAATGGTGAAATATTTATGATTAAAAGGTAAAATGACAATTAATAAATGGTGGAAAATCAGATATTTCATTTTTAAAATTTATTTTTTTGAAATAAGGATATTCATGTTCAATGATAGGGTTACTAGAGTATTTCACAATGTATTGCAGGGTATTTTTATAGAAAAAAAAACTTATTTACGACATAGATTTCTTTTTATCCTTTCCAAAATGGTTGTAGAAAATTTTAAACATAAACGGTTTTATGGCGCAGCACACGATCATGCCAATTATTGATGGCGGAGCTTCCCTTTTTCGAGCAATAGCATATGTATGTTACAGTCAATGTAAATAGTGGGTTATTATTAATACTTACCGGTTACTATTAATAATAACAAAATAAGCCGGTTAAGGTGAATAATTTAAGCGAATTTATCACATTAACAGGTTATTATGAATAATAACCAATGAAGTTTGGTCTATCATTCTTTCGCGTTTTTATGTGGGATATTTCCGTATCGTGATCTTCCGCGCCAACTACAATCGCCAAGGTGCCAAATTGATTTTAAATTAGAAAAATTAAAAAAAAAAAAGAAGAAGAAGAACATGTAAATGTTTACCCGGGGGTGACTACGAGTTAAACCATTCGAGTTGGTCCCTTTCTGTGATGTTTTCTTTTAGTTTCTAGCAGGCCGCTGCCCGGAAGTTAGCAAGCCTTGGCGATTATTCTGCTACAGATTACGATACGGAAATCTCCTCTGTTTATTTCTCACTTTGAGGAAAAAGAGCGATTTTATTAATTTCGACCGGTTAGTATTAATAATACCCGGATTTATCACTTTAACCGTAACACATATACATTATACGATTCTCGAGAGGTGCGTAAGGAAGTAGCACAGCACGTAGTAGACCATGGAATGAGTTTTCTATCTTATCTCACGACAGAGATGGAAATAGTTTAATACTCCTGCTGCCTACTGTACTGAAATATCATGAAGTCATACTTACGAGTTATATAAATTAATGGCAGTCAGACATATATTTTAAATTATTACTGAAATTCAACGCATAAAGGACTGTAACCACATCTCGCGTACATCTCTTAAAAATACTTAAAATTGAAAGCAAATTATTTCCGCGAGGGTAACAGCTAGACGGCGAAAACATTTGGTTAATATATTGTTTAAAACTAACTAAAGTGTTAGGATTGAATGATTAGTTGGAGAATTGGTCATTAAGAAAAGTGAAAATCCTATAATTAGATCAAAAATTATTCTGAGTGGTGAACTATAGTTTATGTATAGGTGAGATAAAACAAAGAAAACGCAATAAAAAGGATAATGTAGAACAAGATTATTTAAGAAAATGAAGTGTAGATTAATATATTATTACAACGTTTGCATAATTCCCATTCCTATCTGTGTTGATGGAATCCTGCAATCACATTACAACTTTCCAACAAATATCTACTGAAAAAGGGCGCTAGATGACAATGCAATTATCAATAATTTTTTGACCTCTATAAGAAAATTTTATCGTTTTCTCCTCAATTATAATTTATCATCAATCGAAATTTGTACCACTTACGAATTCTAGCTAATTCGTAGATAAATCTCACAGAAAGTTCTGTGAATTATGAACATATAAATTTCAATCGTTTCCTAACAGCTAAAAGCAAGATTTGTTGCCAAGAGAAATTTATCAGTACTTCACATTTGGACAACTTTTTGACTTGTTACAAAATACTAGAGCTATATTTTTAAGTGATATTATAAGTCACCCATAATACTAAAGTTTTAATCACCTTTTTATCGTAAAATAAAGATTATCATCAATTTTGAACCACTTTCCGACTCGCAAGAGTGCTCAAATTTAAACGAAAATTCTATGACTAATTAGAATAGAAGTTTCAATTGTTTCGTAAATGGTACGAGTTAAATTCGTCGTCAGTCAAATTTCTGATCACTTACAGGCACAAACTAACAAACACAAAGCTTAAAAAAAGGAAATAATTGAATAAAAATTTTAAAATAAATTAAAAGTTGAGCAACTGTGGTACCACTTTATTCCATTTTTTTTTTAAAAAAAATAATATGAATTATAAACCTTGGAAAGGCGTGAAGTTCGAAACAATATTTTAGTTAAACTAAGGTAAACAACATTTAAGAGCACAAAAAATATTTATAAATGCAGACAGCTGTTTCGGATGCTCAAAGGGCAACCTTCATCAGTGCAACAGAAAGAAATGAGAGAAAACAGGGTAAATATAGAGAAAGGTGACGTCACAGGGGGGGAGGATTAGAGCAACGGCCAATAGGAGGGAAGGGTGAATGGATGACGACGAAGGGGAAGCAAGGAACAAAAAAATAATATTTTAGTTAGTCAAGTATCATGAAGCGTAAGTGCTTGACTTTATTTATCTTTTTTTTTTAAAAAAAAAAGGGGGGAATAAATAAACACAAGCAATACTTATGCAGACTTGTAATCTCATTGCAAATCGTTTTGTTCCTTGCCAGGTTGAAAAAGTAGAAATTTCATTAAATTCAGTTACGAATTAAAGAAACCCAACACAATGATACACCCAATGTTGCGGTGGTGAGATTCGAACCTGCTTCCCCCACGCGACAGAAAGTTTGGCGGATTGGCCCGAGAGCTTGGCCTGAGGGTTTTCCAAAGTGGTCAATCACATACCGATATGCCTTCGTTAAGTAATTAATGCAATGTTAGTGATCTATAATATTCTGAATCTATTGTCGCGGGAAATTTTATTACTTTTCTTTTTTAAGTGAAAATGTACGCATTAATGTTTTTATTTTAGTTTAATAAAGTTAGTTTGTAATCACTTTGACTACCAAGGCAAACAAATCATTTTAATAAATACATAAAAGTCTAAGCAATATTTTTTTAAATAATAAGTGCTTGTATATTTAAAATAATTCTTGCTTACAATCGTCAAATCATCTGTCATATCGCTACCACTACAAAGATTTTAACCAGAAAATGATAGGAAGTACAGATATGTTATATTATTTTGAAAAATAGGTAGGAACAGTTTCTATCTCTGTGCTTCTTGAACTGTTTAAAATGGTAAAGGAAGTATAGTGAAAACGGCTTATAACTATAAAACAATTTCAATTAAATATTAAGAAATAAAATCATTCTTCATGATAAAACGTATATTTTATTTTTATTTTGTATCCGGTGGTGAACAACCGACTCGATTCGGTGTTTATGATTAGAAATGTGTTTATGACTCCGTATCCTTGTAATTTTGAACACGACCAAGAAGACAAAGGAACTCTTTTCAGAACTTATCAGACTAGGAAGCACTGGGGCTTACTAGCATTCGCGGGAGAGCTTTTTGATGTAACTAACCCGAATTTGCGTTACACCGAGAGGAAAACTTTGAAACCCTACCCAGATTAGCCCGACGGCAAGGGGATTCTAACTCATAATCCTTCTACCAATGAGGATATTTAGCATTTGCACTATGTTCGGTGCTAAACGGGAGCACACCAGCCACCACTGGAAGTCGAAAATCGAGTCCCCTCATTTTAAGCAAACGCCATATCAAAATAAACTTACTAACATTTTCTTTAAAGAATTTAACAAGTTCATTGTCAGACGAGTGCAGGTAGTTATCCTTTATATCTATATTGAAAAGAAATCTATAAAGATAAAATCAAAGTTAAATTTCTTATTTTAGCAACGCTTAGTAATTTACTTTTTTAAATTTTACTAAATGTTTATTTTAAGTAACAATATTTAGTTAACAAAATTCCTAATTTTGCAAAATTATTCGGAAGATACCATGTAATTAGCTACTACTCGATCTGCGACACAAACTGTAAGGAAAATTTTCGTTTAGCAATATCGCGTGATCGGCAACGACAGTGTTAAGCATCCGAANAATTACACTGTTTAGGTTAATGTAATTTCGTTCTCCCACCACATTTACGCGTAATCCATCGCCAATTCCACCTGCAATCGCCGCGTTTACAATCTACGGTATGTTTTGTCAATACGCTCGCGGGAGAGCTTTTTGATGTAACTAACCCGAATTTGCGTTAGACAGAGAGGAAAACTATGAAAATTTCCCCCGGTTAGCCCGACGGCAAGGGGATTCTAACCTATGATCCTTCTACCAATGACGATATTTAACATTTGCTCTGTGGTCGGTGCTAAACGGGAGCACATCAGCCACCACTGGAAGTCGAACTTCGGGTCCCCTCATTGGAAGCAAACGTCCTATCAAAATAAACTTACTAACATTTTTTTAAAGAATTTAACACGTTCATTGCCAGACGAGTGCAGGTAGTTATCCTTTATATCTATATTGAAAAGAAATCTATAAAGATAAAATCAAAGTTAAATTTCTTATTTTTGCACCGTTTATTTACGTTTTTAAACTTTACAATAGTTTATTTCAATTAGCAATATTTTGAATTAACAACTTCATGAGAAAATTCCTATTTTTGCAAAATTATTTTTAAGATACTAGTTAATTAGTTATTACTCGATAATTATTTACTACTCGATCTGAGACACAAACTGTAAGGAAGATTTTTGTTTAGCGATATCGCGTGATAGGCAACGAAAGTGTTAAGCATACGAAAACAAGAGTAAAGTAACGCAAGTTAAATAAATTTTAAGAATTTTAGATATAAAAATAACATGAAAAATTACTTTTCCAAAATATCAAAAGCTAAAATTGTTATTTAATTCCCTTCTTAAAATTTAACTTTAAATGAAAACGAAGAGAAGAAAATGATTTACCTTACAAGTGAACGAGTGTGAAAAGAAGGAGACAATTTTATTCACCCTCTGTGAATCGAATAATCTTTTCTGATAATGGATGAAATATGCAGTATATTATATGTTGATAGCGGGTATCAACAGTCTGAAATGATAAGGAAACCTGACTCTAGTGAAATAGGATATTAAAATGACATTGACAAATAGATAAGAGGAGACAATTCATTAAAATATAATAATTTGTATCGACGCCGAAACAAAGGAATTAGCTATCACTGTCAGACTATCATGTAAAATAAGTAATCTGAAATAACTATTTTGCGTAATAAATTCTTTAACCTTTTCAACAGAGTTGTGGATAGTCCGTAGTTGAATAGCTAGACTCCGATTCTAAAAGGTTCAAGACGTGAAAACATTCAAGATCCGTCAAAACTCAAATTCAACAGAAAACAAAAAAAAAATGTTCCCCATCATTACTTATCAAAAATATATTTTTCTAGATGTTGCATTTTATTCTATAGCAATTGTTGGTGATTGCAAAACTCGACTGTCGGAGGAGCAGAACCTAAGAATTGAAGAGAGATTTCAAGAAAAAACTAAAAGCACTGATTTATTAGAGATGTGAAAGGAGGTCATGTGAACATCCATAAGAAGGAAAAAAAATTTCTTCAAGAACATACGACCCTTGCATTTTCGTTTTTTAGCCAATTATAGATAAATAAAAAAAAACTAATACGAGGTTCACGTGTATGGTACTAATTAAATCAATAAAAATATAAACTAATTATTTAGTCCGTTTAATTTGCCAAATCATTGCGTGCTAAAACTTTAAAGAAAACTATTTTGCAATTTATAATCTTAAGAAGAACATTTTAATGGTTATTTTTATAAAACCTGAAATATTTTCCAAGTAAAAAAGAAGATAAATATTTAAATAAAAAGACATTTAAGTATAGGTTTTAAGAAATCCTTAGCATTTACTGCCCTGTCAACTTCTACGGCTTCTAGCCGGAGATTTCCACTACGTAAAAGCAATTACAGTGATTATAAATTTTACAGTTAAATATATTAATTTAAATTAATTTTATCACATGATGAATAAAATTAATCAATAATTTCTATAAAAGACATAATAAGCTTTGTGAAGTTTTTAAGTGTTGCAGGGAAAAATTTTAAGACCCATTTATTTCACTTTCACTTTTCTCCAAGCTTTGGACATGTACCTAGGTCATTATGGACCCTTTACCATATAGTCCAAAGCTTGGCTATACACTTTCACTACACTACACTTCACTACACTGCACTAGACTTTCATTTCACTTTCACTACAAATATCGTGGTGATTTGGGCCAGGATAGCCTGGTTGACAGGGTACTAGACTCACATCCGTGAGAACGGGAGCTCGAATCCAGCCGCCCGAAGACTTCCCGCGTAGTAAATGGTGATTGGTGCACGTTAAATCTGCTGGGTCACAAAGTCCTCCTTGTTACCATTACAAATTTTACCTTAGGGGGTACTGAGTTGGAGAACGGTTGTGACGTATGGGTGTGGCGTAAGTTGACCATAGATGGCACCACTGGAAAACAAGGAAAATCCCACCTCTTGCCTTAAAGACCAACGACATCAACATTGTGGAAAACTAGGACTTTTTGATCGCTTAACACTGAGTTTTTATTTTATTACACACGGCTGACAAAGAATAACAGTGAGAATCATACTATGTAATGTCAAAATATTATTACTATCTTTATTAAGCAATTTTCTTCAATCAGTCTTTTAAAATATCCGAGATCCTTTCACATTAACTTATCTAATTGAAATTCTTCAGCTGCTAATCCATACCATTTGTTTTATTTATATTTGCTCATGAAAGTGTTGGTACTGATAAAGATGTGTAAAAGTGCTCATAAAATTGCTCAAAAACTGCAGATACAGTTAGGTGTTAAGTAAATGTTGGCATTTAGATATTATTAAAACTCTAAAACTGGAACAAAAAGACAAAACAAATTGTGATATAAAAAAATAACCTAATTCAAAAGGAATCCGCGAAGTAAAATAGATAATCTTGAAATCTTTGGCCAAAGTACTAGTTGTGTAACAAAAAAGCAATTTAAAGCGTAGTTCGCTGAAATTAAAATTTTAATTTTCGTTTAATACAATTTTATAGAACAAAATTATTTTGTCAATTTGCAATCTTAAAAACCCATCTTCACATTTTCTCAAAACCATTATATTGAGTTTATTGAAACTAAAGTATCGGTAACAGCTAAACCGGTCAACTCCAAAATGAGTTACGAAGTGAGTTGCTAAATACAAAATTAAAAATTAAATAACTCTTTATTAATAATACTATTTTTATTGTTAATAATAATTATTATTATACTTATTTAATATACTAATTTATTATTAATAAAGAACAATTTACGAGCCCCTGAATCTTTTTTTATACATTATACTGGGATTTTAAAATTGTAAATTAAGGGTGATCTTTTGGGAACTGCTATTTTTCTCGAGCGTCGTGATAAGTTTAAACGAATTCTATTTCATTTATACTTCTCTTGCCTGTATTGTGTTGAAGTATCGGAAGTTCTTTAGAAGGTGAGGTACATTCAGAAGTGTAAAACACGATTTAAAAAAAATATTTAAAAAATTGTACTATTGATACTATTAGTAATTGAAAGGTATAAATTAAAAATTATTAAAAATTATTAAAAATAAAAATAGTATTATTAATAAGCTATAACGTATAATAACGTATATTTAATAACGAATTTTATTATACTAATCAAGACGAGGAGAAAAAAAAATTTAAAAACATATTTAAACAAAGATAGTGCCTGAGACAGAAGTGACAAAATATTGAAAACAGGATTCAGCCTAAGCTTAAGTAGGCTTAATAGCTGATTATGTAAATTTTTTAATTTTGTTTTTGGAATGTTTAATATTTATGTTTAATTTTAATTCATTGACACAATATTTGAAATATAATAAATTTAGTGATTTTAAAATGTTTAATTGAAGCCTTTGATAGATTTTTAAAGACGAAAATTTTGTAAAAGAGAAATAAATGGAATAAAGGCGAGGAACATACATATCACACTTTCTGGCGTAAAGTTCTCATATATTTAGTGACAACTTTCAGTATTTTTATTGCGAGAAGACAGTTCATCCCATTTCGTTTCGTTCTTTTATTTTTTCAATATCAGCTGACTAAACACCTATTGTTTCGTTTATGAATAATAAAATTCAAGGTGAAAGATAATTTTTTAAAGAAAAAAAAAGAGAGTAGATATATTGATAAATTTGTTCGTAATCGTCAAAGAATTAAAAGAAGAGACAAAGTGAGTATTCTTTATGAAAATGTCTCACACAAAACCTATATTCAAGTTAGTAGATGGATTTCCCATTCCCCAACACTTTTCAGAAGAAAATTTTCGATCTTCTGTCAATTATAAGCCACGACCTGACGACATTTTCATTGTGACTTATCCCAAATGTGGCACAACGTGGCTCCAGCATATCTTCATGCTTATACTCAGGCATGGTCAACCTCTGGACTCACCTGAAGACATGCATGATAGCTCTCCCTTCCTAGACAAGAAAGGTAAATATTTTTGTGACACGGGCATGTTAGTCTGATATGAAATGCTATTACGCTATCTACCTATACGTATTTAGACACCCTTACTTACGACAGAGGTTGATTTATGGTCTGGGGACGTTTCTCCAGGTGGGGACTGGGAAGCTTGGACCATATAAACGGTAAGCACGCTACTTTAGAATCATTGTTGAACAGCCGACCTGATTTTGGGTATACGACTACCCATGTTCAAATCCGTAGCCTTGTAATTTTGTATTCAATCCAAAAGACAAGATAATCCCTGGATTAGGTATTGGAAGAAATTTGCCTTCGTGGAGGACGTTTTTATGGTTACGATTAGTCTGACGACAAGGGGACTCTAACTCATGATCCGTCTACGTCTGGGGATATTTTAAGCCAGTACTGTGGTTGGTGAGAGCCAGGTACAGTAGTAATCTGTTTTGGGTTTCTTTTTTTCTGTGGAACAGACGTGCCTACAGAGGAGGGTGAATACTACTAGCCGCCATAAGACTTGTAATAAGCATGCTCTGGATGGGGTGATGTTATGATTGCCCCTCATGGGGGCTCTTAAGGGCAATATTAAGGAAAACTATTTTACAATTTATTATCTTAAGAAGAACATTTCAATGGTTATTTTTAAAAAACTGGAAATATTTTCCAAGTAAAAAGGACGATAAATATTTAAATAAAAAGACATTTAAGTATAGATTTTAGGAAATCATTTGCATTTACTGGCCTGTCAACTTCAACGGCTACCAGCCGGAGATTTCCTCTGCGTAAAAGCAGTAACAGTGATTGTAAATTTTACATCTGAATATAAGAATTTAAATAAAATTAATCAATAATTTCCATGGAAGACATAATAATCATGTTTTGAAGTGTTGCAGGGCAAAATTTAAAAACCCATTTGTTTCACTTTAACTACAAATATCCTAATGAATTGGGCCAGGATAGACTGATTGGCAGGGAGCTGGACTCATATCCGTGATAACGGGAGTTCGAATCCAGCCACCTGAAGACTTCCCATGTAGTAAATGGTGACTAGTGCATTTGTCAATTTGCACAATCTAGAAAACCCATCATCACATTTTCTCAAAAGCCATTATATTAAGTTTATTGAAACTAAAGTATCGGTAATAGCTAAACCGGCCAACTCAAAATCAATTACGAAGTGAGTTGCTAAATCCAAAATAAAAAATTAAATAACCTTCTATTAATAATACTTTTTTTTATTATCAATAATTATTGTTATACTTATTTAATATGCTAATTTATTATTAATAAAGAACACTTTACGAGCCCCTGAATCTTTTTTTATACATTATACTGAGATTTTAAAATTTTAAATTAAGGGTAGTCATTTTGGAACACCCGGAATGCTATTTTTCTGGAGCTTCGTGATAAGTTTAGAAAAATTATGTTTTATTTATACATCTCTTGCCTGTATTGTATTGAAGTATCGGAAGTTCTTTAGAAGGTGAGGTAATCACAAGTGTAAAACACGATTTTTAAAAAAAATATTAAAAAAATTGACTTTATACTATTAGTAATTAAAAGGTATTGATAAAAAATTATTAATGAAAATAGTATTATTACTAAGTTAATTTACACAGCATTCATTATAATAAAACATTACAACACATTTAACGTATATTTAATAAAGCATTTTATTATATTAATCAAGACGAAGAGAAAAAAATTTAAAAACATTTTTTGACAAAGATAGTGCCAAAGACAGAAGTGACAAAATATTGAAAACAATATTCTGCCTAAGCTTAGTTAGGCTTAGTAACTGATCATGCATTTTTTTTTACATTTTGCTTTTAGAATGCTTAATATTTTAGGTTTAATTTTAAATGATTGACATAATATTTATAATATAGTAAATTTAGTGATTTTTAAAATGTTTAATTAAAGCCTTTGATAGTTTTTTTAAAAACGAAAAATTTATGTAAGAAAAGCTTGATGTAATAAAGGCGAGGATCATACATATCACACTTTCTGGCGAAAAGTTCGCATATATTTAGCGACAACTTTCTTTATATTTATTGCGTGATTACAGTTTATTCACTTTTGTTTCGTTCTTTTATTTTCTCAATATCAGCTGACTAAACACCTATTGTTCCGTTTGTGAATAATAAAATTCAAGGTGAAAGATAATTTAAGAAAGAAAAAGTAGATATATATTGATAGCTTTGCACGTAATCGTCAAAGAATTAAAAGACGAGACAAAGTGAGTATTCTTTATGAAAATGTCTGACACAAAACCTCCATCAGCTTCTATTTTCAAGTTAGTAGATGGATTTCCCATTCCCCTACAGTTTTCAGAAGAAAATTTTCGATCTGCTGTCAATTATAAGCCACGACCTGACGACATTTTCATTGTGACTTATCCCAAATGTGGCACAACGTGGCTCCAACATATCTTCATGCTTATACTCAGGCATGGTCAACCTCTGGATTCTCTTGAAGACATGCATGATAGCTCTCCTTTCCTTGACAACAGAGGTAAATATTTTTGTGACACGGACATTTCAGTCTGATATGAAATGCCATTATGCTATCTACCTATAAGTATTTAGACACCCTAACTTATCGACGGAGGTTGATTTATGGTCTGAGGATGTTTCTCCAGGTGTGGACTGAGAGGCTTGGTCCATTCAGATGTTACTTCAGAATCATTGTTGAACAGCCGACCTGATCTTGGGTTTACGAACCCATGTACAATTCCGTAGCCTTATAATTTTGCATTCAATCCAAATGACAAGGGAATTTCTGGATTAGGTATTGGGAGAAATTTGCCATCGTGGGGGACTTTTTGGTAGTTACGGTTAATCTGGGGGCAAGGGGATTCTAACCCATGACTCCTCTACATCTGGGGATATTTTACGCCAGCACTGCAGTCAGTGCGAACCGAGTGTGGAATACGAATCAACCAGTCATCCGAACCTGAATCAACTCATTGGGAGGCGAGCCCTCTATCATCTAAGCCACCACGGCTCAAGCACAATACTTAATAAATTTACGGTAAGCACTTGATAGGAAGCACAAAACAGTAATCTGTTCTGCATTTGTCTTTTGTGTGGACCTGACGTGTCTACAGAGGAGCGTTAATATTACTAGCTGTCATACAAAGACTTGTAATAAGCATGCCCTGGATGGGGTAATGTTATGATTGCCTCTCATGGGGGTTCTATCAACTATTGAGCACAAAATAGTTTTGTTTTTCTTCTCTATCACTAATGTCCAAATATTTATTACTAGGTTCGTATGTGCTTGAAATTTAATAAAAGTTATTAGTAAAATTAAAATTAAAAATTGTATGTAATTATGTTGATGGCCATCACTCTATTTAATAAAAATATTACATCTTAGTACAAAATCTATAAATTTGAACTTTTAGTATTAAAGTGGAAAAAATGCAAAGAAATTTTCAACTTTTTTCAAAAGAAATTGACTCCAGTTTTTTTTTTCTTCCTAAGGACTGTGCGAACCCTGTTATTAATATAGATAACACAAGAGTGGCTGACAAGCATGCTTTAGTTAAAACCCTCGAATTTTAAATGTACGATAAATTGAATTTTAAGTATACGGTTTCTTTAAAATTCGATTTCTCAGGAACTATTCAAGTGACTTTGCTAAAATTTTCTATTTCGCCACGTAAAATTACATACTTTAAAACAATGTAAAGAAAATTATACCTTACAATTCAAAAATAATAAATATTTAGTTTCTTTTTGCATGGAATTTTCTCTTGGATAAATGAATTTTATAGTTGTGTGCAATTTTTTTTCAATTCACTTAAAAAGTTTTAGAGAGAGAGCGAAATACGGAAGAAGTACTATTAACATTAAATGACTTAGGATCGATCTCCTAGCCAAATGATGGGGGCTATATTTCCCAGATTGCGGCTATCCCCAATATTTTGGTGAAGTTTCACACTTTCAACCTTCTTTACGCTGAATTAAATTAGACGATCGATCAGTAGTTTGGAAGTTATATGTGTTTCACGTACAAAAAGTATAATTTTTACTAGTACTTATTTATGCATATGACTTTGATATCTAAACAAGTGAGATATTGTTACCAATGTTATCTTTTGCTGAATCAAATGAGACTATACACAAGTCAATAAAATAAGTAGTTCAGAAGTTGCGAAAAAGTTTTTATGTAATGAAAGCTTTTCTTTTGACACATACTTATGTACACATATTCTTTACACTGAATTGAAGGAGACCAATTGAGTACAAAATACAATTGAAAAATTGAGTACAAAATACAATTTTTGTACTTCACTTATTTACACATCTTACATTGCTATGCAGACAAGTGAGGTATTGTTTAATATGCATTTTTTCTCGTTTAATTGTATGAGACTAAACGTGACACAAAGGGGCTAATGTTTTAAGAGTTGAAATTATTATTATTTTTATTATTATTATTATGGGACAATTAGCATTATCATCATTATTATTATTATTGCTTATACTATTATTTTTATTATTATTACTTTTATTATTATAATTCTTTATTTATTTTCTTTTGTATAAAATGTACTATTTTTGAATTAAACTTACTATGAAGAAAACCCTTATAACTTCAAAACTATTTATTGAACTTGAATTTTATCTCATTCAATTCAGCTGAAAAAATTTTCATCAGAAAAATGAACTACCCATATTTAGATTGCAAAGTGTAAAAAGTGTGCATAAGTGTTGTCGGAAATAGTTTTTTATTGTATAAAAAACGTTCGCAAATTATTAAGTATTCGTTCAATTGGTTTTCATATAGTTTCTTTCGATTTAAGTTTTAAAAAAATACATAGGAAACGGTGTCTCACTTGTTTAGACAGATATATCAAATGAGCGATTAGGGCCAAGTACAAATTTGTACTTTTTGCTCATAAGACCCTTATAACTTCTAAATTATTTGCCCAATCTTTACTTGATTGGTTTAATTCGGTTTAGCTTAAAAAAACACGTTAAACAAGACCTCACTGACCTGTCTAGAAGAAATTCAATATCCTCCCGTTCAAATCACCCCCACTTCTCTCTAAAAATGTGGAAGTGTAGAGAGAAATAAAGGAAAAGAGTTTTCAGGTGTCATTTATGAGAACTTAAGTACTACGAAGTATTAATGCTTCCAGCAGTATTGTATCGAGATAAAACTTCTAAGTCTTTCTTATTGGTTAGACCTGCTTTATCTGCTTGGACCTTATTAGTACAGAGAAAAACGATTTTTTTTTTTTTNTTTTTTTTTTTTTTTTTTTTTTTTTTTTTTTTTTTTTTTTTTTTTTTGTGAATGTGGTTTAAATTTTATTTTTAAAAAAATGTAATCCTATAAAATAATCTAAGACTAAAATTTTCCCTTTGAACCAACATTCCAAATTTCAGGATCGGTTGGTTCTTGAGTTATGAGAGATAGGCACACACACACACAAAATATTCCCTTTGTTAAAAATGATGGGTTAAAAACTACAGTGCTTGATGTTATCTCAATTTTTAATAAAACGATATATAGTCAGAAAATATCGATATTTTAGGATATATCGCGATATTTTTGAGATAAGTAATTTACATATTTTTTTATACTGGGCCATGTTTTCTTGCCCAAATAGAGAGAAAAGACAATTTTTTCTAAAGCACTCGCACCTAATCATAATTTCTTTTTAATTACTGTAAAAATGTAACAATCTGTAAGTTAAGAGATAGAAAAAACATAGGTTTTTTATGTGTTCATATATAAATCGCCACCCCCGACAAATAAAAAAGCTCAGTCACCATCAATGGCGTACAATTGAGAAACATTTGTGTGAAGGAAGGAAAATGTTTCTTCTCTCTTCTTCACAGAAGTGAGTTTTACTCATGGGGTCACGATGTTATCAATATTTACCGAGTGTCGGTATTTTCCGATATTTATCCAGTTCTGGTATTAATCAAGTGTCGGTATTTTTCGATATTTATCCAGTTCTGGTATTTATCAAGTGTCGGTATTTTCAATATTTATCAAGTGTCAATATTTTGGTATTTATCGAGTATCCGGTAGTTCTAAGCATTTATCGAGTTTTGATAGTTATCGCTCATTGATGCTTTTCAATATTTTCTCGTGTATCGATGTGTATCATAATCACAATATATCCCGAAAAGAACATTGTGTTATTATCGCATCAGTAAAGAATACCGAAATTTCACGATTCATCGATATATCGTCCGACTATTGTTAAAACTGTTAACTTCTGTCTTTTCACAGGAGCAAAGAGTGCCGAGACGATGAAAAGACCAGGTGCCATCAAAACTCACTTGCCATTTCACCTGGCTCCCTGGTCACCTGATAACAAATACATATACGTAGCCAGGAACCCAAAAGACTGTTGTGTGTCTTATTATCACCATACCTCCAGAATTCCAAGCAATTTCAGTGGAACTTTCGACGAGTACTTCGAAAAGTTTCTAGCTGGATTAGTAGAATTCGGAGACTATTTCGATCATCTTCTTGGTTGGTACACTCACAGGTAAATGTCATTTTACGGTGTGCAAAATAAAAACGGAACAACTAAAAAACCTTTGATCTATTAATAGGATGTTCGAACTCTAAAATTTCGTTTGGGTAAACGGTATTTTAAGTAAGGAAATCAAACACAAAAGCGTTTTTTTCTGAGTAAAGCTGATTTTTCCCCGACATATTCGGATTCTTGACCCTAAAATTTGAGGTGGTGAGTAGCCTCAAAAATATTCAATCAATTTACATCAACTATCATAAATATTCATTTCAGAACTTAGAAAAACAAACTTATGGAACAGCAAAAATAATTTGACAAATTAGGGAAATGCTTTGAATAATTTGAGAAAAATTTTTTTTTTAAAAAAACATAAAATATCAATAAAAGTTAATCGTCGACAGCCGTACCCCCAAATTATCAGATTTTAAACATATTTACTTATTTACAAATTGGTCAGCTCTTTCACTAACTAACCATATGCATTATGCATTTTTTTATGAAAAAAGTTTGAAACTTAAGTGATATTTAACTACTTTTTTATAAATAAAAACTTTACTTGTTTCATAACTAAGCAATTTGTGAGCTTCCATTTAAAAGAACGTTGCCTTCATTGTGAAAGAAAATAGTCTGAGCAAAAGTCTTTCATTTTTTGCAAAATCAAGATAACTCTATCTGCTATCTAACAGTACAAATGCTTATATCTTTATCTGAAGTCAAAGCACAGTGCCTCTTTCTCCCTGAGCTAAGCGGTAAGTAACAGAAAAAATGTCGGCTCCGTATCAACAAATATACACTACCTCTTTTTTTCATGAAGATGTTTTTCATACATAGAAACCACTTTTTGGGGGTAAAGATTTTGTTCCCATCTATTACAGTTAAGTATATAATCTATTAAGTATCCATCTATTAAGTATATAACTTTACCTATAAAGTTAAATTATTCATTCCCAATTTATACCCATCCGATTGACACTTGTCATTCAGGTATCAGTAGGGCAGATTTGTTAACCACTCTTTCAGGGGCACCATATTAGGTGGGATAACCTTGCTCCCTCAGCAAGTACAGAGAATAAAATAACATTCATGCCTTGTCCGGGATTTGAACCTAGGAACTTTCTGATGTGAGTTCAGCTCCCTGACTACTACACGGTCAGGTCGGTTATTATGGAAAAGTATAAATGGGGCTACAACTGAAACCAGAAAAAACTAAAAAATGGCGCCAAATGTTTCATTATTTTTTAAAAAATTTTAAAGGTCCTAATTTTTAAAATTTTGAAGTCAAAATAAATTTCTTTCAATTTACAAAAGTGTTTTGGTAGATAGGAGTAAGTAGTAGGCTTACAGGAAAGTTCTGTCTGCGAAAGTACGTGCCTCATTTTACAGTAATGCAAAAGGTTATTTTATAAAAGAAAGAAGTAGAATGTTTAGTTTTTATGTCAATAGTATTAAGCTTAAAGAGAGAAAGGCGAAAAAGAGCTTATGCATCTATTTTCAAACTTGTAACGAAAATACAGAACAGGTCTAGCCGGTATATCTGATATACGCATTTAAGGGTTAATTCCCTACCAACAGTTATACTCCGTTGCAAGTTAAAAAAAGACCATTGCGACATAGGATTTAAGTAATCATCCGACTGCATGTAGTTCAATTTTATTTAGTTATCAAACTATTTAACTATGCTTTCAAAACAATATAAAAGCTTTAAGATGATAAACTAGTTGGACAGAAATTTAATTTGCGCTACCCTTTACGATATATCATAGAACTATTAAAAAAGGGTTATAGTTTCGTAGTTTTACTGGAATTATAAATTTGGCGATATATTTTTCGATAAATAAGGAGAACATTCGTTCTTGAAAGAGAAACAAGCGTATGGTGTTGCAAAAGCATTGGATTCGATTGGACCACTAAAAATGGTGCGTCTTATGCTGACATTCCCTTAATAAATCAAATGTGAGATAAAGATTTTTTTTTTTTTTTTACTTTTGTTCTATTGTAGAAAATCGTCTGCAAGAAACAATATTTAATATTCTTACATCATTTTTTTTAGATGCGAAAAGAAGGACGTATATTTGTTATGATTTTTAGATAGCATTTTTTATTTTAAAAAAAACAAAACAATAGTTTTAATTCTATAAGTTTTATTTCTCTCATTTTACACGATTTAAAAAAGCAAGTAAAAGGAAGGTTGTGCAACGTCGTTTAATGAATTGGCGATGTTATTATACGTTCGCTCTGGGCTCTTAGCATCCATTTGGCGTGCACGAAGATGCATACGGGCTCTCTCCATCAGGATAATGGTTTTTTCTTAACTTGCAACAGAATATAGTTTCCTTAATTTTTCTCTGACACCTTTTAGCTGATTTTATTCATTTTTGAATGATTCTATCCCGTTTTTTATCTATTATATGTATTTTATGAAAAGAAAAAGCATGTACTCATTCTTTTGATTTGTACTATATTATTTGACGCAGCATGTCTTTGTTGAGACCTTGTACCAACAAGCCCTACATTTAACTTCTTTCATTACTACCTATTAAAATTTTACCGGTTATGGCCTTATTGGTTAAAGTAGAAAATATTAATTGTGAGCGCTGTTGCATGGTGCTCATTCTCGGAAGAACAACACCAGAAAAAAGTCATAGTCATGAAAATTAGTGCGACCTGTTTTCCGATTTAATAACGAAATTCAGTATCTTAGAATACTCTACTTAACTTTTCTACTTATCCTACTTAAGTATGTCTATTTTTTTTTTCTTTCTTAGAAATGATCCAAATGTCTTATTTATAACTTACGAAGACTTAAAAGAAGATTTTGAGTCGAACACCCTGAAAATCGCAGCTTTTATCGATGACAAAAAATACGCTCAACCTATAAGAGAACATCCTGAGATTATGGCTAATATCAAGACATACAGCAGTTTTGACTTCATTAAAGAAGCTCATCTTCAAAAAGAGAAAGAATATAAGCAGGAGCACGAATCATTGGAGACTAAATCAAAATTTTCGGACGAAACCTCTAAGTCAGATGAAGATAATTGCAGAGGCCATGAAAATAAAAAGCGCACAATGCACGCTGGTCATTTCAGAAAAGGCGTTGTGGGCGATTGGAAAAATTATTTTTCAGAAGAACAAACTCGGCGCTTGAAAGATAAATTCACTGAAAGAACTAAAGGAACCGATATAGAAAGTATGTGGACCAAATACATGTAATAAATTAATTATTAAAAGAAACTTTGTATGCAACGTTCGTAAGCTATCATTATTTTATCATCAGAGCTACACTCCCTGCTCGCTTCACACACCAATCCCTACGATTGCTCATTTAATCTTTAATAATTTGCTCAATCTAAACCTCCCAAAAAATTTTTTTTATATTAGCTTCGATTCCATTACATTCCTGTATTATATTTGGTTACCATTACAACTATATCTATAATTAAGTTTTTCTTTTAAATTACTAATTTTTTTTAATTATTTAACTCCCATAATTAATTTCCATTCATTATTGTTTATTTCATCTTAAACATCAATATTTTCTACAAGACACAGAACATTTTGGTTTTTATACATCGAATATTGTAACTTTATAAGGAAATTTTGTTATTGCGTTAATCATAATGAAACAGATGATTGCCTAGATGTGAAATATAAATATATTAGCAAAGTACGAATTTTGTATAAAATGTACTTCTAATAATAATAATAATCCTAAGGAATACAGAGTGTAAGACACAATAAGAAGAAATAAATGAGAAATAATTTTACTCATTGAATAGACTTATAACAATTCGAATAGGAACCGTTTTTATCTCTCTGTATTACTTTTTTTAAAATTTTATTATTAATGTTGGGATTTATAAATGGCATCATACAATCTATCGATCAATTTGCTACTCTTGATTGATATCTACTCGAGAGCGAGTTTAAATAAAGAAATAAATATAATGTGTGGGTTTAAGAAGAGATTCTGTAACAAAAAATGAATAGTCAATATTTGAAGCAAAAGAGTTTTCAAAAAAAATCAAGAAAACGCATTTAAATTTGCGATAACTCACGAACAAATAAGAGCTTTGGAAGAAGAAGAAAGCTCTAGATAAAATTATAAAAAAGTCGTATCAACGTGTCAAATTTCCATTTCGTAGTTGCATTTCAACGGATAGTAAATCAAAGTGCAATCGACAAATAATCAAAATGTAATTTTTCTTTATTCCATCGAACTTCTTATACACATACATCTGGTGCATTTTTTTACTTAATTTCAAGCTTCTATGCCTTATGAATTTTGAGCAGAAAAGCAAATGCAAAGTAAAGCAAAAAAAAAGTGAGAAAAAAATCGCAATGAAATCACTTAAGATTGCAAGAACTTTCGAACAAATTGGAATTTTGAAGGGAAAAAACTCTATCTTAAATTCGGAAACAATTGTTGCCGTTTCAGCATGCCAAACTTCAATTGTGTCGTTGTATTCCTGCAGCCTGAAGCGTCACTCGTATGGTATTTTTTCCAACAAGTTTGTTCTCGAACAAATTATCTAATGTTAAATGTCTCTAATTTATCGTGATGCTTGTACAATTTTCTTTATTAATTTAAAGTTTGTAAGTTTTATAGTTTTTGTAGTGTACTTTTATAAATAGTTTATGTTATTTAAAGAGACTAACTACCGTATAATGGAATGACTTGAATGCACTTTTTCTGGAGTCAACTAACACCAGCGATAGAAAGAATTAAAATTCGAGAATATTTTATCAGTCTTAGTAGCAGCAGTAGTACTTTGTTTACGTCACACGAGAGTTGTACAATGGGCAATTGGCGACGGTTTGGAAAACATCACTGAAGATGATCCGAAGACATGCCATCACTATTTTGATCCTCAATAGAGGGGATGGCTCCCCTTCTTTGATATCCCGATCTACGCGCGAAGTCTTTCACTTTACAGTAGAACAGTTTAACGAAGACTGGTGCCGCACACCCTCGGTCCCTTTCGCAAGCTGATCAAAGTACTCTTCCATCAGTAATTAACCGCAGCCAGCAGGGGCGGATTAAGCGCACGCAGGGCCCTAGGCAATTCAAATTTTTGGGGCCCTTAGATTAAATTTTCTCTCGTATATTTTTTATTTATTCAAATATAAAAGTATTTATATATCTTTTCATTCAAGAAAGCATATTTAAAATTATAATTAATAATAATAAATAGAATTTTACTTTATTTCATTAAGAACTAAAGAACTAACTAAATTTAAGAACTAAAAAATAATCATAACTTTTTGAAAAATTTTGAAAAATCATTGTTTTTCTTAATTTATTTTCAAAAAATCCATTTTAAGGGGGCCCCTAACATTGGAGGCCCCAGGCCTCATCTGGTCTAATGGATTATCCGGCTCTGGCAGCCAGTGATGCTTGACTTCTATAATTTAAAAGGAACTGTATCTTGCTATCAATCCACTATGGAATCCTTCATTTCTATTATTATTTCATGTTAATATTTTTAAAAAAATATTTCATTTGTTTCCTTTGATACTGTCTTCGCTGAACTTTGTCAATCTCATTGTTCTATTTCAAATTAAAAATTGCACTTTGTATGCATAAAACACTTCTAATTTCTTAACTAAATAACGAAAAGCTACTTTAATAAATTTTAAAAAAAATTGGTTCAAAAGTTTTGCTTTTGTTTAAAAAGAAAGTCATAAATTAATTCTCCTTCACTTATATCTGAATTAAAAATCAATATTCATTTAAAATATGTCATATTAAACATCATCTGTAAAGAGAGACAACGAACTCACTTACAAAGCCATAAAAATCTTTCTTTTTTTTTTTTTATTGAAAAAATGACGCTATTTATCCGAAACTTTCCATTTAGTTTAATGAATAAGTATTCTACCCGAAAATCAACCTTTACTAGCTAAATATCTTCATAAAAAATGCTAAATTTGTTAATGGTTTTCAGAAACCCTTCAAAATTGGGTATAATATAAAAAAAACACAACTACTTCGATTTAGTAGGAACAACATATGACGCAATGCTAAACGAATGGAATTTAGTTGTTGTTTATTTAGTTATTGTTATTAGTAGTAGTTGTTATTTGTTTAGTTGTTGTTGTTTATTTAGTTGTATTTAGTTTCAATAACTTTTCTTTATAATGCAATAAAATCTGGCGAGCAGCTATTTAAACGATCGAACACTTCGTTTGTTTATTTGTGGCTTGAAGTTAGGCTCGCAGAAAATACCGTTCATGGGTTAAATTTAGTAGGAACAACACAACCTGTGACGTAGGCTATATTATACCCAACGTCACAAACCAACATGATATTTTAGTGATGTTTGTGGAATATTGTAGATTTGTAGTTATTTTATTCGAAAAGTATCGAAGTAAGCTATAAGCTGCCTAAAACCATCTTGATTAATTTTCTCTACCAATCCATCAATAACTTATCAAAATTTCCCTCCTAATTTTGTGTTTGATTTAATTTTTAAATATTTATACGTAAAAATGATTTATACGATATGGCTTTAAATGCCGAAGCAATGAGGAAAAAATCAAGTTGTACATGTCCTCCAGCAATTTACAATGCTGCTCCCAATAATTATGAAAAAATCCCTTTTACGCGATTAAACTCGCACTCAAAATTTGAAAATAAAGCTATAATTGTAAGTTTGAAATGTGTCAATTAATGCGTTTGTATTATTTTTATTAAATAAACTCTAAATGAGAGTTTATTAAATATCAATATGTATCAAAATTTCCCTCCTAATTTTGTGTTTGATTTATTTATACGTAAAAATGATTAATACGATTATTATATAAATGACGAAGCAATGAGGAAAAAATCAAGTTGTACATGTCCTCCAGCAATTTACAATGCTGCTACCAATAATTATTAAAAAATCCCTTTTGCGCGATTAAACTCGCACTCAAAATTTGAAAATAAAGCTATAATTGTAAGTTAGAAATCTTTTCTTATGCAATAATGTGTCAATTAACGCATTTGTATTATTTTTATTAAATAAACTCTAAATGAGAGTTTGCAAAAGCTAAACTGTTAAAAGTCTCCTTTATTCATATATTGTATTCATTTTGGGTGAAATTTTTGACCCACTCTTTCATATGTTATCGTTATTAATGCATATTTTGCTTCTGGACATTGGCGAGAGAAAAGCAGAAGGGAGCCAACTTGACAAGTATAACTAGTAGCATACCTCTACATATCATTTTTTTTTAAAGGGTAACATAAGCTTAAAATACATTTGTCGCCTTGGAAATTGTATTTTGCGTGACAGATCATCATGCAAAATATCCCAAAATAAATATGTTTTGACGTAATATTTTTTAATTATTCCTATTTTGTTTCAATTTAAATTGGTTCAAGTTGTATTTTATTAAATATGGGTACATTTCAATGTTCCATTTACTTTTGTTTATTACATTTAAACATACTTTCCATGATAACTGTAATTACAGTATTCATATATGTATTTACTTTTAAAAAAACTTATTTAATAGGTATCACATATTGGTATCAAACATCATGCCCCCTGAAATTCATAACGCTATTTTTTTAATGTATAATCAATATTTTTTTTTATGAGTAATATTTCTACATTGGTAAATGTATCAACATAGTCACAAAGTTATCATGGCAACCGGGCTGTAGAAAACTAGAAATAAGAATAAAAAAGACTGAAGGGTATAGATATTGCAAGCCTAAAATTTTTGGAGGGATAGAATTAAAATATCTGGTTACTGTAATTTTATTAATTTTACTCACAAAAGAATTTAAAATTTTATTACATCTTGTCTAAGATCTGCTAAAATATTAATTAGATTTATTTCTTACTTTGTTTTAATTTGTCCAATCAATAATGATTCATTCAAACACTCTCTAATTTTCTATATTATTGAGGTTTACTTTTGAAAAATTTCTCAACGAATCAACCGATTAAAAAAATTTTTTGAGGTCAACAACTTAGATGTCAGTCATTTTTGGCATAATTGTTAAAATTCTTCCTGTCTTGAAAAATAAGAAATTTCAGATTATTTTTTTTGTACCATTTGTTTTTGGTCTATTTCATAATTTTTTTGCGATTTTATAATTACAAGTTCTTCCAATATGAGAACTTCATTACTTAAAAAGCTAAATTTTGTGAAATTATTTTTTATTGCATTTTATGAAATATATAACATGGTAAATAATTTTTATTAACTAAAGTTGAATTTTTAAATTTTTCCACAGGAAATATTTTATTTAACAACTTTTTATCAAACTATAAAAAATTTTAAAAAAATGCTTTGATAAATAAAAATAATTACATTTCTCTGTGATATCTTTCTGAAAAGGGTTTTTGCATACCTTTTTTTTATATTTTATTATACCTTGAATTATTTTGCATTTGATCATAGTATGTGTGTTATTATAATTTTTCTTGATGCCTACTCTCAAATCCATTAATATTGAAATTTTTTTTTTTTTGAATTTTGTTACTTAAAAACAATATGTTTTCTTCTACTTTATCATTCAAATCATAAATTTTTATAGGGGATGATTTTCCATTTGAATCCGATTGGAAAAAGAGTAAATGGATTTATGCGAAAGCTTCTTATTACTGATGGTAATATTATTGATTTATTCAATAGACTTCAGTTAATTTTATTGTGTCGTCTCAAAACATTCTTTTTTTTTTCTTCATATTTGCGCAATCATATTGCAACCCCAGGTTAAAAGACCTTTTGAAAACTGATTATAAAAATTTCCTCATTAAACTCATATTGTTATTATAGACGTTTTCAAATGTATATAAAGAATATTTTAAATAAGCATAAATAAAAAAGACAAAACAAATTTTTAAACAAAGTTAAATTTAAAGCTACTTTGATCAATTTGTACAAAGTTTTCTTATAACAAATGACAGAAAAATATTATTATATGCAAATAACAAAAAAATTATTGTTGTGTATAAAGCTGTAAAGTCAGATTTAAAAGAAATTTTGCAGGTGTTGGAGTCAGAAATATTTACTAGACTCCAACTCCAGATAGTTTAAAGTTTGTTCTTATAGATTAAACGAGGGAGAGAAAAAAAAAATTGATCTTATGAAAATTATTTAAACTAATTTTTAAAAATATTTAAACAAATATATTATCCAAATGAATATTAGGACAATTATTAAAGAAAGTAAGCACAAAATCATTGAAACTATGAAAAAATTAAGATTGCTGAATAAATTAATAAGTGATGTTTTAGTTTAGAAATTCCAAAACCAAATTTACTAAGCTAAATTTCCAAGTTTATTTTTTACAAAAAAATGAATGAATATAATATATTATTTGTAATAGTTTTCTAGTACATGAGTATTCACTAAAAAAATTTTTTATTATGAGACAGTTATATGTGTTATTGGCATGTGAGAAGTTGATGTATAGTTCTTTTCTTAAAATGGTTTTGCACAATTTAAATATTTTGTACAAATATATTTTTTAAAAATTTATTTTTCAACTGTTACGTTATAATACAAAATTTAATTTTAAATAAAGTGCCTTTCCCCGTGGCAGAATTGCGGCGACACAGTGACATTGTCACAGAATGTTACAGAGTTTTGTCGTGAAAGATTTTTCATTTGGGGAGGGGGAAATTTTTGTTTTTCTTTCTGCATATTTTTTCGAAAAAGAAACAAAATTTTCTGCAGAATTTTTTTTTAAAGATGTCTTTCTTGCGCATCAGAGAGGAAAGAAATAATCATGCTTTTTCTATTATCATTCAAGATTTTTTTAAAAAAATCTCTAATAACTGGCTTCAGCTAGAATTTCAAATTACTAATATAAAATAAGATATTTGAAAATTGCGAAAGTTTAAAAGATAGTTCGGTCTAGAAATTATGTTCTTTCTTTCTTTTTTTTTCTTTAAGGAACACCATATTTTACATACAGTTATTTAAGTATGTCTTTTATAAAGAGTCATATTCAAGTGATTCGTGATCTTTATTTTGGGAGTTCTACAAGGGTTTTACAATTTTTAATTTATGTACGAATTTTAATTTACTAACCGTTTAATTTATTTACGAATTTTAATTTGTGTAATGATTTTGAAATTGCATTTTTTGCCGGCAAAATGCGAGAATATCACCTATTATAGAATTAAAAAAATATTACTTTTTCAATTTAAAATTTTTATACATTTTTATTCTATACTTTCTTCTATAAACACAACGTTTCTGTTACTTGAAATTAGTAATTGTTATAATTAAAAGTATCTTAAAGCAAAATATTAGTACCAGGGAAGTTTGTCGCAGAAAGCCCAAGAACGTTCTGCCCCAGGGGTGCCTTTTACTTTAATTGTACATAAAAAATTATAAATATGTAATTTAAAGTCAACAATTACTTAATATTATGACCTTCCTGGTGCTTGGTGGAAACTTTAATTGAGTACAAGTCGGAGACAAACTTTCAGGAAAAAACACAGAGTGGAGCATTCCAATGGATGACTACAGCTCTGTATAAAAGCAACTAGGTTATCTCAAAATAAGTTTCTGGTCCATCTATGAAGTTAAATTAATCAGCTTGTATTAAAAAAAAAACACAAATAATTTATTGAAAAAATGCTATCAATCTAGATTTATATCTAGTTTTTTTTTATCATTTATAAATATTTTACATAAATTATAAAGCTAACTAGATCCGAAACATATTTTTTTTTAAACTTGATTAATTGATTTTGCATTATTTTATTCATAAACATAGTTATAAACTAAATTTATATATTTTGACTTAAGGTTTTGACTTTTTCTCAATTAAATATGAATATTGAACTTAGGGTGACCGGGGTAATTCACGATCACTCTGTTTCTGGGGTAAATAATGATCACCTAAGTTTTATCTTAAAAAAATTATTATTTTTTAAATTTGAGACATGGACAAGAATGCTTGTACGCTTTACTAAAGTATAACTGCATTTACTTAATAACAATTTTTTGTTTAATCTAACAAAATAAGTATTTTTTAAACTGCTTTCTGTATTTTCCATTTCAAAGATGGGTTTCAAAATGTGCACATTCTTTAAGTTTATAAATTAGCCTAGTATAAATATGGTGAGAAATTATAAGCCTAAAAAGGATACTAAGCTTCTAGAAAACAAAATGATTGAAAATTAAAATTTCAGTGTGAGAGCTGCTGCCAGAGCTGTTGGCATACCTTACTTAACTTTACACTTTCCCTTAATGAAGTTAAAAAATCCAGCAAAAGTAACCCATGTGGGAACTCTCTTATATTTCTGAAGAACATGAGAATGAGTTGGCTGATTGCCTAAAATGTATGGCACGATGCAAAGATTTTTGAAAATTTAAAGTGTTAATCGTTCTTCTTGCTTTTAAATAAATCATTTTATTAGCTGCTTAAACATATCTTTTTGGTTTATTTGTTTGATCTTGATGTCTTATTTGTTAATTACCATAACACTTCTTGTTTAAGNTTTGTTAATTACCATTATATAATTATTTTTAAACAGCCCCTTTACAATAAAAACTGGTGATCAGTAATTACCCCAGAAGTGATCAGGAATTACCCCAGAAATGATCAAGACCAGGGGTAATTCCTGATCACTAAAAATTTAAAATCTTTTAAATTCTAATTAGATTTTCAAACAAAAGAAGTTGGCATAGGACTCATCTCATATAGCCTCAAACTTCCAGTAAATATTAAAATTCTATTTTGAATAGTTTTTTTCACAAAATAGATGGAATTACCCCAGGTCACCCTATTATTTAGAATTCCTATGTTCCTATAGTCTCCCAGTAATGTAAAAAAAAAAAAAACATTTCTAAACTGATGATGTGCTATGTTCATATGCAGTATTAGTTTTTTTTTTATCAAATTACTCTATTTACTATTTAGTGTAAGATAAATACCAAATTTTAAATATTTAAATTATCACTAAAATATTTTGTTTTTGTTGTTTAGGCTTAGAAGATCAAGTAACAGATCAAAAATTAACTGTCTTCTTGTTTAATCAATTTGCTGAAGAATCACAAGTTGCTGAACTTGGAGTAAGTTATACTTTTTGAAATCATTTTTTTCTCTAATAGCTAACTCCTAATATATTAAAAATAAAGTATAAAAGCTGGAATATAAAACAAGACTAAAACAAAACCAACAAGTAAAGCGAACTCAGATTGTAAAGCAATTTAAAATAAACTGCGTAATTTTTTTTTCTTAAAGATGCTGAGCTATTAGACACATTTTACAATTTTTTTACATTGTATTGTTATGCATTTGGAACAAAACTTAATATTGCTTATTTGTTTCTCATTTCTTTATGTTTTAGGGTTTCATAGTGATTGCCAATTTCACAGTTGAAAAATCAACACATCATAAAGAGGAGGAATTTCCTTTTCAACTTTTGGTCCAGAATGAAGATTCACGGGTTTGGGTAATTTAAATTTATATGAGCTTCAATTTTCCGGTCATTAGTTATCTGGGTAAATTTTATGGAGGAAAGTAATACAATGGCTGCCAGATTTCAATGAAATCTGTGAGTTAGTTTTCTGTGGTGAGAAGTTATCAACAAACTCAATTTGGTAGAAAACAGTGTATAAATATAAATTGTTTTTGTACTCACTTGATACATTATTTTAGTTGTAATATTTTTTTTTTCAATTACTTTTCATACCTATCCAATCCAAAAAAATACTTAGTTTTCATAAATTTTTTTAATAATCCAGATTGAGCCTGACCTTGATAAATTTTGATAACTTGAGTTCTACTCTATACATATTTTTGTTTCTTTTTTTTTATGAGTGGATATTTTCAATTTGTAAATTTTTTCAAGTAAAAATTTTGCAAGTAAATTTTTTGTTTTTTGCATGTCTATAGTTTGGGAGAAAAAAGTCCCCTTCAGAGCAGATAAACAAAAAGAAAGCTAAAAAATCTGTAAGTATATAGGTTTCTTTAAAGTTATGTTTTTTTTCCAACTAAATTTGTATCTGATGTTTGTTTTAAATGTTTGACTCTGCAAAGGTTTTGTGCCTCAAGTGCATGTATCTGTAAATATTTTTGACAATCATCTTTGCTGTTGTTTTCTGACAAAAAAATTACATGGCAATATTAAAATAAAGGTATCTTTAAAAATGTTTTCATCATCAGTATTCCTGATATGGCAACTCTTGATCTTTTTCAGAAGTTTTTTACCATCCGACTTATTTCTGGAAATCTATCTCCAGTTTTTTTTTATATTGAAAATGTTGAAATTGTTATTCAGAAATCTTTTTGGCACTTTTTACGTTTTTCCTTGTTCTTCCATAGGAAGGAAAGACAAGTATGCATAAGAAAGATAAAATCCAATGTTAAAATTCACAAATCACTATATTCCAGTTATTAAAACTGCATCAGGGTTCTTAAGCACCTGCAAAAAATTTATAATTGGCATCAGTTTTGTTATGAAGAATCTGGACATTTTTTATTAATTTCCACTATTGAAATAAAATTTCATACCTGCCAACTTTGGATCTATATATATTTACTTGGAGGAAATAAAATATTCTGGTAGCTACTATTATGTAATACTACTACCACTTTTTAATTTTTCTCCAGGTGAGTATGAATTGTGTGCTTATACAAAGTTCAGATTCTACATTAGAGCATCATTTCCTGCTCAAAAATATAGACAACTTGAGATGTTGGTGTTAAAACACCTACAATGCTTTAAATGGTTCCATCTACTGAATGAAAAAAAGCTGAAAATACAAAGTGGAAAAAAAAATCAGCATCAAAACTTTAAAAGTAGTCAGTAATGTCTACACCTGGACCAAATATATCTGGATGTAGACTGAATTCGCAAATGTAGGAACCAAACTCCCACTTCTTAAACAAACTTCCACATCTAATATCTAATGTTTCTCAACACTATTTTTCTGTATTTTTGCACTGAAAATGTTGTTCTAAAGTAACATCCAATTTTGTATACAGTTTTGTAAAATATATTCATTTGTGAATTCCGATGCTGAATTTTATTTATACCATAATCTCAACAAACTTTTTGACCTTTCAATTAAATAAATACAAATTTTCAAAAAATTGAAAATTAGATAAGTTCGACTTTTTCAAAATCAACCCAAAGTAGAAAAGCCCATCAAAAAATATTTGGGTGCTTCAGACCTGAGTTTTTACATTTCTGCATTGTATTGTAGTGTTTAATTTTGGGCATTTGTTGCCTTCCAATAATTTTTATATGTATGAAAATAATCTGCGTCTTTTTTAAGATATCTTCATTTAATGTAATATCTTTTGTTTTATTCTTATTATAAAAAAAATGTTTTGTTTCTTTTTGCTTTCAAGTTTGAGAAGAATGATTCCTTGAACGAAGAACCTGTAAGTATTTATCTGAAAAAATTATTTATATACTAATGCTTGAGATTTTTTATAAATTTGCATATCTTAAATATGATTACTAATTAACGGCACATAAAGTTACAATTTAAAGTTACAATATTGGATAAAAATATGCTTTCTCCAAATATTTTTTTTAGACTAGTTCTGTTTATATATTTAACCAATTCATTAGCAGTTCGTAACTAAGCACGTAAATGGTATACATTATGACTTTTTAAAAATGGTAATACAAACAAAAACGATTGGCCATAAATTAAATATCTAAAGCAATAATTTTTAACAGAATTTAATAAAGAATTAAAGAATGTTAGATTTTAAAAAAAAAATTATTTAATTTAAAATAAAGCTGTTTACAAATTTCCTAAAGTGTACATACATCTTACTTTATTTAAAATAATCATTTATGCAGGTCTGTCTCGTTTTTCGTTTCATTTTTCGAACAATTTTTTCGAGATTTAGTAACTTCTCAAAATGTTCCTCAGCTCCCTCATGGTTTGTTAAAAAATTTCGTATGACATTTATTGCATTACAGTCTCAGGATCACTGTTATTGTCCTACTGTCCACAACTTGTGAAACAATTTCAGAAATTGTAGCTTATTCGTTGACTGCAACATTTTCCTAGAACTCGAGAGGGGTAATTGCCTTCTAAGGAAGTTAAATAGGCTTTTGTTAGAAAAGAGCTCCCCTCACCTCAGATAAAAATGACCTTATAAGCGATAACGATTTTTAAAACTTGACCATATATCCTATAATCTGTTACAAAGAATTCGTATTCAGTGAGCTGGGTCTTTGGAAAAGTGACCTTATATGCGGATGACCATATATCTAGATCTGACTGTATATATATAATTATACACTTTTAAAGTCTTAGCCATTTTCCTGAATGAACTATCAGGACCTAAAATATAGATCCTGATAGTTTAATCAAGAAAAGGATAAAAAATTTAAAACTCTATTATGTAAATTTTATTTATATATTTATTTGAATATCTTGAAACTATTTAAATAAAAAAAATATATTTTTACACCCAATTTTATAACTGATTTGCCAGTGAATATTTCAATAATAAAAATATTTTTTTATCATAAGTTATTATTTTTTTATCATAAGTTATTATTTTTTTATTGAATTAAATCATGATTGAAAGATTTTTAAATTTGAAGGTGTACAAAATTTTATCTTATTTTAAACTATAAATTTTTAAATGATAGAATTTTAAATATGAGTGGAATTTCTTGAATATAAAACAAGATATGAACATTTAAAAATACACCTTTAAGTTTTTTTTTCTCAGCAACTATTTGACATTTTTAAATTAGTTAATATAAGATTATATTATAAATTATTTATTATTTTGAAATAATTTTTCGCTAGGAATTATCTTAGAATAAACAATTTTGATATCTGTGTTCAGCAACTTTTTGAATTGCTATAGTTTCAGAGAGATTGTAAAATATGTTGAAACTTTATTTTCTAGATTGTGGCTATCCCCTGTATTTTGAGGATTAAAATTCTGTGTTTATACAGAGAAGGTAAATTTTTGTGTCTTGATGTTGTCACCAAGGTTAGCAAGATTAAGGCGCTAGGATTCAAACCAATTTTTCTATTACATTTTAATATTGATTTTTAATTAATGCTTTAAAATTAATAATGAATGGGGATGCAAAGTATTAATTTCTCCAATTATGTACACAATGCTTACATATAGAATTTTTAACATTTACAAAAATCCAAGGTTTTGAACATTTATACAAATATTGGAAAATAAGAAATATATGTCTTGTCTGAAACTAGATTAAAATATCGAAAACTCCAACCTTGATTGTTGCTTAGTATATCAACTTTACTAGTTAATTAGAATATTTTATTATGTTTTAGTACACGAAAATGGGTGAAAATATTCCATCCCACTGTATTTAAGGTTTTAACATTTAATTTCTCAATAAAAGAAAATTAATTTAATATTGATAAGAAACATTTTATGTGTGTATTTTTCTTTTAGAAAACGCTTAAACACCATTATGAGTACACACCACTGGGAGAATTACATGAAACTCAAGAGAAATCGGACAATTTTAATGTTTATGGCATTGTTGAAAAATGTGAATTAAAAGTTACCAAAGGTATTTACAGTAATATATTTTTTGGACTTTAAAATTATAGCATAATCATAGCTGCCAACTCAATTGAATTTCACTAGTTCCTCTTGATTTGTTTATATATATTTATATATGGGAAAGTTACTCGAACAAAACATAATAAAAATAAGCTCTAAAATTATAACTAATTGTTGTTAAATAAATTTAATATTTTAATTTTTCATACATTTAGACAATTTAACTACCATAAGTCACAGATTTGTGCTATCTAAAAGGAATTTAATATTATTTATCATTCAAAATAATAAATTCAATAGTTATAGGTAATTCAAAAAATTCTATTCAAGTCCATTTAGTGAATCCTAAAACAACAGTTTTTGACCGAAAATATTTTTTTTTATTTCTTTTTATTGACGATTAAAAATAAAAGCATTTTTAAATTCCCTATGTGGGTAATATTTCATATATTGTGTTGCAGTTATATAAGGATGGCAAGTTTCTGCCATTGTGAAAAAACTACCCCAGAAATAATAGGTTTCTTCTAACCCAAGTGGGACAATTGGAGGAAACTCTTTTTAAAAATAAATATTAAAACAGTTTTAAACAGTTTATAATTACAATCTAGTTTAAATAGTAGTATTACTTTCCCAAGCTATTTAATATATCATTTTTAAATAAGTGAAAACAGAAACAACTTGTGGGACAGGGAAAACTTGAAATCGTTAGTGAATTTTATTTTGACTCTAAAAAAGCAGAAAATAATCACAAAAAAAGTTGTTTTTTTCTACAAAAACCAAGAAAATTTCTAAAATTACACCTGTAAATTAAGCAGTGTTAGAATTGTCAGTAACAGTAATCAGTTATTGAGATCTGAGTAAAATAATTCTAACATCCATTACAAATATATATTGTGAAAATTTTCAATTTTAGTGACTTATCCATTCTTGCATCTTTATTCAATGATATAAATTTAATATATACAGTCGAACCTGTTTATCTCGAATCTCACGGGAAAGGCGAAAAATTAGAGATAAAGAGGTTTCGAGTTATACAAGTACTATAAAACATTAAATTTAATTAAGAAATTCTATTAAAAGTGCTTTGTTTTTAGTTGAAAAATATAGACATTTCTTTAAATTAATTATACCCCATACACCTATTTACATAACAGTTTTTTAACATACATTTAACACTAAAAATAATTTTCCAAGATTTTTACTGATAATCTTATTTGTTTCTGCTATTCTTTGAGGTTAGAAAGATCACAAATTCCTCATAGATCGTTTTCTATAGTTCACTTTAAAACTCTTAATTATCCTTTGATCCATTGGTTTAAAATTTTGAGGTCAAAAATGATTTTCTATTTTTAGCTTTCTTATCTATGTTAAAAACCTAAATGGTCACTACTCATTAACCCCTCACTTATTGCTAGAATCATTGTATTCCTTTCTAGTTAAGGAAGTGCAGGGATAGTGATTGAAATTCCAAGAAATACCCCCAACCTGTCCATCCCTACTTCCTCTGGATTCACGAAATTCATCTCTGTCTACGAGTTCTACTGATAAGGAAAGTTTTGACATTTGTGCTCTATTATTAGAAATTCGAGAAACGGAGGTTTTGAAAAAAATTTCTACATAAACATGGAAAATACATTGATTTTAGACAGTAAATGTAGGGAATTTTAAAATTTTCGATATATAGAGCTTTTCGAGATAAAGAGGTTCGAGATAATCAGGTTCAACTGTATATATATGTTTTTTATTTCCCGCTTAAAATCTAATGTTTGACCTTACAAATAAAAAAAATCCAAGTTTTGAGATGAAAAATTGCATGGAATAGATAAAATGTCTGAATTTTCATTGAAATTTTTCTGATGTACCTGGAAAAGTCAGAATATAATAAATTGCTTGAGAAATTAGAATAACTGTAGTTCTTCAATATTTTATACAAATGAGTATAGTAAAACTTAATTTTATAATTATACAAAGAACTGCTAAAAGGTCTTAAGGAAGCTTTATTAATAGTACTACTAAATCATCAAATAGCTTACTAAAAATGTACTCTACTAAAAACACATATAGAATTTAAATATGAATACTCAAACTGACTTCTAAATAATATGCAACATTTTAAAATATATTTTTAAAAGTCTATAAAAATATTTGAAAAAATCAAAAAAATCACGAATCCTGCTTTCTAGTACTATATTAAATTTTATTTGTTTAAATTTAGGCTATTCTTATAAACATTATTTGCATTGGTCTTTCTTTAGTTTATTTGACTTTTTCCAGCTTCTTTCAGTGTCCTGAAAGGAAAGGGTTTCTTCCAGACGAAATGCCAATCCTCGTTTATGTCAAAAATGCTCGATTTTTTCCAGTTTCTGTTGACCGCTATTAAGCAAATACTTTTTTCTATCCACAATTTCTATTAAGAACTAATTCAAATTTTATTTTTCAGCTGTCAATAACCCAAAGAAAACACTAAAAGTATCACTTACTGATAAGACAGGAACAGATTTTATGTGCTCCATATATTCGCCAAAAGATGAAACATTTCCTGATATTTATCCAGGGGACATTATCCGAATACACCGCATGCAAGTTAGTAAATATCCTTTCAAAACAATCTGTTTAGTTAAGTGCTTAACAATCTTTTTTTTTTTTTTTTTTTTTTTTTTTTTTTTGTTGCTTCATCTAAGAATTTTATTTTTGACTTATGTCAGCTTTCAATATCTTCTTTCAGTGATATAATATTCTAAATGCACCACCAGCTGTACATGGTTTCATTTATTTAAAATTTGTTTCACGTTTGAATTTTTTTTTATTTTTAATTGTGCAAATTTTATCTATTTTTAAATAAGATTACTTATGCTTTTTAAAATATTTTTATCATAATTTGATTTGACTTTTAGATATATTTAACATTTTATGAAAGATATTTGTTTCAATTTTCAAGGTTTCTAAATTTCGATCAAAGCTGGAAGGAAAATGCCTATCTTCCAAGTTCATTTTAGTCTTCAGTAAACAAAATGAGGGCCAAAAGCCACGAACTGTTGCAAAATCGTTTACTTTTACCGATGAAGATGCAGCACAGGTAAAACATTATAACCATTTTAATTAACTGCTTTTAATTTAAAATATTCTAAAATTGTGTATAAGGATAAAAAAAGTTAAGAACTCTTAACTCATTATGCTTATATATTGTAAAGTCAATACACAGGGCTTTTTTACACCTAAGGTGGTAGTAACAGAAAGATATATCCACTTGATATAAACAAATATCTACTGTAAGGTTTTCCATAGCTGTGATTTTCATATGTTGTGCTAAGTCATTAATGAGTTAAATGTACGATTTCTTCTTTTTTTAGATATGAACCATGACAGGTTTAATAATAATGCCCTTTTTCTTTTTTCCTCTACTTTCTCAGAAAAATTATATGAAATTTAGAGATATAAATGAAGTATCCTCTTCATCTTTCTTTTTATTTTATTTTTTGCTTAAAATTTTTTTCTCCCATTTATTACTTCTATTAATTATGAAGTTTGATGTAATTTGAATAAAAATTTTGTTACTTTAATTAAGTCATTTGAAACATTATTTTGTTGCTTATGATCATTTTTGTAATATCAGATGTTTGTTTGTTGATTATTTTTTGCATTTAAGCTTATTTTCACCATTTCTATTGTTTTCTTGCTTATAATTTTTCCACTTCTTTTGCTCTCTTGCTTATAATTACTTCTCTCATTTTTTAAAGGTGAAAAATTTATTTGAATGGTATGATAAGAAAAATCAACCAAAATTAATCAGTGAAGTAAAAAGGGGTGATTTTGTAAATATTATTTGTCAAGTAAGTCAAATTTTTCCTGTTATTTTCGGTTTCTTTCTTTCTTTTTTTTATTTCATAAATGGCAATATAAACAGGCGCTGAGGAAACTGCATTAAAGGATGCAGCACACAAAGCAGTTTAGCAACATATTTTAAATATGTATTATAATTAAAAAGCAATAATTGTCAACATGAATTATCGCTTTATAAGTAAAGCTACTCTTTTATCAAAAGAATTTCAATTTACTTAACAAAAATAAAACTGCAAAATACATTATTCTAAAAATACAATAATATTAAAATAAATAAATTTTAATTTATTGTCTGACACTTATTATGAACATTTTAAAAGTTACAATAATAATCATTACACAAAATGTAATATTTGAAATTTTTGATTATTTAAGACACATGTATTTTTCACGGCAGCTGAAACCATTACTAAAACTTTCCGAGGCCTAAAATGCACAAAACACTGGTACTTTAAAAATATAATAGATCTAATTGTTGCTTCGATATTTGGTTTATCTGCAAAAATATTTTGTCCTGGTTTCTCAATATTTTTTTATTATATCCCTATTATTGTGATGGTTAAGTATTTCGCCAATTATTTATAAAAATCTTTAAATTGTATTTCTAAATTTGTTTTGCCTGTTTCATTTCCCTACTACTTTAAATCTCTTATTATGGAGATAATTTTAAGTAAGCCCTAAAAAAATTTTTTTATCTACTTTATTATTTATTTATTGAAGTGTTATGATTAAAAATAGTTTTTAGTATTATTACCTCTTATAGTTGCTTTTTCTTTTTTATATCAGGTGATTGGTGTTTATATTGCAAAAAACTCAGACACTGTTATTTTGAAAATCTGGGACGGAACTAAGTCTAATGAGTAAGTTCTTCCTTTCTATAAAAATGTCTCTTAAAGTTGTGTAATGTGCACTGTAGTCAAAATCTAAATGTATCTTTTCAATTTAAAAATATATAAATAGTCTTTAAAATTGTATTTATTATTTCTTTGAAGTTCCTAAATATCCATTTTTTCCTAATTATTCAGTCTAACCTCAATCCTTTGTTCCTACATCTTTTCTTTTCCTGTTTATATTATATTGTTTTAACAGTCTCATCACAAATGTTATTCTTACAATGTTAATAATACCCATTTAGATTGTTCTAGTAAATTCTGTTTATTGTACAAAAATTTTACCAACATGTAAAAAAGTATATTTTATTTTATAACCGGTGTTAAAAAGCCAACCCAATTCTAAGTTTGCGACTACCAATGCTTAACTCCATAGTTTTGTAATTTTGAACCCAACCCAGAAGACAAGGGAATTTTTGCATCAAGCCTTATTATAAACTAGCCTTCTTGGAGAATTGTATAATTGAACTAACCCATGTTTGCCTTACACGGAGGAGAAAACCTGCCACGGTTATACTAAAGCAGGGGGATTTAATGATGGTTCTACCACTGGGGATATTTTGCATCAGCACTATGGTCAGTGTGAGCCGAGTGCAGAACTCATATCGAACAGCCATTGCTGTGATTCAAACCTCATTGGTGAGTGCTCTATTCCCTGTGCAAACATAGCTAAAAAAACTGTTAATGCTATTTCATTTTGAGAAGAAAGACAGTGCTGATGCTAATAATGAAGAAAAGGAGGATTTTGTACAGTTCAGGAAAAACACCTAAATCGGCACATTTGATGCTTATGCATCATTTTATGAAAATGTTATAAATTTTGGTGTTGTTGAATAAGGAAATGGTTGCAAAAACTGGAAAAGTTCGAAATGATACCAATGAAAATGGTGAAATGGAACACCAGTTAGTGACAACATTTGTGGAAGGCCTCAAAGCCTTTGAAACAACAAGAACATTCTGCATTCATGGAAACTTACACAAAAGGAACGAATGTTTACATTTTTAGTTTATGCTGAAAAAAGATGTTTAAACCATAATTTCCAAATATTTTAAATAATCATCTTTCTTTTATATCTTAAATATTTTAGCATGAAATACATAATTTTTTTAATTGAAATTTTTTATACTTATTGTAAATTTAATAACATTTCATTATCATGTACTACATCATCATGATGTAGTACATGATCATCATCATCATGATGTACTACACCATCATCATTACATTTCATCAGCTTTTAATATATTTTATGAGTAAGACAATACTGAGCATGTTTATTTAAAGGACCAGTGATATTATATCTGATTTTAACTTGCATTAATGTAATTTTTCATTATTTTTCTCTTGAAAAAATTATTTTAGGATCGAAAGTTCACATTGGGGTTTGAGAGAAGAAAAACTAGATGAAAAACTTTTTCTGATTGCCAAAAGTTGTTATGTTGTTTTACACGTGTATGGTCGTCATCATTGTACAATAGCTGCGGAGTTAAAGGTTTGTTTCAACTGTCACTCAAAATATTTTAGGGTAATAAATTAATTTTATATTAGAAATTTAAAAACTTTTTTTTTTTGAAATAGGATGAAAAAGTAATCTATATTTTGAAAGCTGAAATGAATTCAGTTTTTATATCTATAGATAAGTTAATTATTCCTTTGTGTATTATGAACATTACCTAATTTATATTAAATATTGAAATTCAAAAAATTATACATAAATTTATCTAAAGATAATTTATATTTTTGAGTTTAAAATATTTGAAGTTTTATGTATTTTGTTTTTAATGTAATTAAAGTTTAGCAATTTTTAAACTTACTTTAAAAGAATTTTTTCACTATTTTTAAATAATTTAATTTAAAATAAATTCATGAACTGCATTTATTTCATACATATTTTAAATAATAAATTTTATTTAAAATTTAAAGTTGTGGAAAGATTTAAATATTTTGGTGCCTTGAATTAGAGCCTCTTAATTTTACAATTTTAGCATTATTATTTTTGTTTATTTAAATTAGTTAGAAAAAAATTATTAAACTTCTTATGTTATATATTTTTTCCCAAAGTTTTCCTGGAAGGTGGGATGCCACACATTAACTATTCAAAGGCTGCAGTTTGACCTCAGACCACATGTTTTGAACCCCTTCTTTATGCTAATTAACAAACTATTCCTTATTATTTTTTATTTTTATATGATTTTATCCTAACTTATAATATATTTTTAAAAAGGCTGCATTTCATAGATTTCTACATGCTTTAAAATCTTAAAGGTTTCGTAATTTTTTTCACTTACTCAATTCTTAAAATGTTCTTACTGCTGGATTCTGCAGAGTAATTATCTTCTATTGTGAAAAGTTTTGATAACATGATGTTAAAACATCAGAAAGTTTTTTATTTTCATTTGAGAGAAAATCCTGCTTTAAATGCTTATTTTTGCTGTTCCGAGTGCTACTACCTAAATTATTTCTGGTTTATAGGATAAAAACTAAAGTCTGCTCTTGTTTTATTTATGGCCTTTATTCAGAGGGGCAGCTAGACTAGCGTTAGAGAAAATAACGTTCTAAAGCTTTTTTTGTGGGTTAGAATGCTGCTTTCTGGGCTCTGAACGGCTATGGTAGAAACACCATATGTTATATACTTCAATTATGTTAAATGCATAGCGTCTAAGATTGTATCCCTCTTTCCAAACTTCCGCACAAGAACCAATAAAAGAACTTTCAACCCTGAGGGGTTTAACATGCACCTGGCTGCATATATGTGCCAGTTTAGTTGGCTGCCAGGATTGAACTCACCACCCCCAATTCTCCACAAGTGGAATGTGCCTCCTCCTTACCTATAAGCATTTTAAACCATTAAATGTTAAGAAGTTAATAATAATAGTAATTTATAATTCTCTTTTATGATTTAAAAAAGTATTAGAATATGTAATATAGAAGTATATATTTATGGAATTATGAAGTTATAAAAGTATTTTCTTTTTTATGACTATCNTCAAAAAAAAATAATACAATTTTTAGTACCCACATCTAGATATAAATGAAGTAACTTTATTTCATTATTGCCAATCTTTATTTTGCTATATTTCCCTCCTAACTTTTTCATTCTCAAATAATATATTTATTCATTGTATTGAATTTGTTCATATTCAATTGCAGCCTGGGCAGTTTGTTGAAGTGCGAGATGCCCATGTGTACAGTCCCAAAGAAAATCCTGATGATTGCAAACTCTGTTTATTTGCTGGAAATGAGGATAAGAGGGGCATCCAAGTCCTCAATGTTGATGATAACCGTCTCAATGAGTTAAAAGAGTGAGGATCCTATTTATCTTCAAAATGTTTTTTTTTTTCAAAATTTGAAGAAAAATTTTTTTTTGATATTGTATACAAAAACTTGATTCTGCCCAAAATCCAAAGGAAAAAAAAATTTAATTTTTAATTTGATTAATTTTTAAGTTTATTTTGCTTTGTGTTATATATATATATATATATATTAATAAAGGTTTTACTTAAATGTACATTGTTTCCATTTACAGAAGACTTGGAAAAATCATTGCTGATGCAGAAGAGTTTGGAAATCAGACTGAAGATATGTTGAATGAAGATAACAGCATTTTTTTAAATTGTGGTACAGTAATTTTTTTTCCATTGCAATTTTATTGACTTTCACTTTGTTGCATGTGGGCTATCAATTTTTTTACTTACTTCTTAGTGTTTTGAAGTTCTGGAATTTTCTCACCTGCCTTTTTGTGGTGGCAATTATATTTAAAATGAAAGAAATCTTTGAAATACATAAGAATTTCAAATTTACCAACACTTTAGATGCTTTAGGCCAAAGGTGGCAAACCTTTTTCGGAAGAGCGCTTAGCACAAATTTTTTCATTTAAGTAGTTTAAGAAAGGGTTTTAAAAACATTTTGTCTTATAAAACACGCATACGTGGCTACAAACTGATTAAAATACTTTACTCGTGTTGGCAATCAAAACGTGACATAAACTGAGCTACAAATAATAAATAAATAATCTGATTTACAGTTCTGATTTATCAAAAAAGCAGAAAATAGGCGATCACAACGCTTGAATGCATCTGGGGAGAAGACTGCTTCCATGCCTTTGGCCCTTCTCCCTTCCCTCTACTCCTCTTTTCAGTTGTATAGGAATATACTACGATATTTTTCCTTTTCTTAATATTTTTCGTTTATATTAATAAAAATATTTTTTCAAATTTCTATGATGCTTTCTTTTAAAACTATGTTTAATGTAGTTTTCAGTTCCATATAGTTTCCCAACTTAGAAGATTTTAATCTATATGAAAGTCAAGACAGAAACTAACGTACTCTCTTCTATGACTATGCCGAATGGTGATACACTATGGTTCACATACTAAGGGTGAAAGCATGCGAAGTGTTGCCATAGGTAGAGAGCTCTGATCTAAGCCACCTGTAACCCATTTCGATCAGCAATTGCCTCTGATAAAGTTTTAAACTGCAAGAAAAAAAATTTCTCAAGAATATATCCTGTGTAGGAAATATCAATAATTATACAATAATTAAATTTTGTCAGACCATTTACTATGCTTTTACTCATTTCTTGCATTGTAACTTAAAAGTCATAATTTTTTTTTTTTGTGAAATATCATGATTAATTACATTTTGTTCACTAAGGGAGGAACATTACAACTAAACTTTATACTTAGCTGTTTCTTTAGTGATAAACAAGTTACTTAGTAAGTTGTAAAGTCTATAAGGCCACTTTGTTTTGTATAAAATCGGAGAATGTCTTGATATTGTTCTTGTCATCATATATAATAGTATTTACTTTCCTAGAATGACATTGATTTCCTCAGAATTATTATTGTTCTTTTCATCATATATAATAATATTTACTTTCCTAGAAGGACATTGATTTCCTCAGAAATCAGGTGTTGTGAGACGTTTGTTGGATTGTGTCACTTAGTCATTTGAAACATTGTATTTCGTAATTGAAACATACTATAAGTACTTATGTATTAGTATACTACGGTTGGCAGCGGCATTAATAGATGGTTCATTGATTGCTTTCACCTGAAAAAAAGTTACCCAAATTCTAACTTAACTGAATTATTTGGAACTTTACAATATGAATTTGCTGTATAAAATGAATTATAAATATCTTAATTTACATAACCTTGAAACCTTCATTTAATAAGAAATCTTTAATTTTTCTTTAAAGTTTTCAATTAGTCAACAATTTGAAGCTGTGATAAAATATTTTGCTGTCATCACTGCTCAATTATCTTTGCAATAAGCGCTATCACTTAAATGCTGTGTTAATACATACAATGCATAAAATAATAATAAAAATCATTTGTCTTTGATCATCTGATGTATTATATTAGTATAAAAAAAAAGTTTAAATGTTTTATTTCAGGAGAATAACTATCAAATACTTTTAAAAAATTTGAGCTTTAATATTTTTTTTTATCTTTGATGAATAAAAAGATAGAAATGTTGAATGTGCGAAAAAGAAGAGAACTGGAAGTGAGGCAAGCTGGTTTTTATTTTCACCAACATGCACTTTTTCACAATATAAATTTGAAAGATTTTCATGCTCTTTCTGATTAAATTCTTTATAATTATTACCAGGGCTGTGGAGTCAGTTTAAAAAAATAACAGATCTGACTCCAAAAGCTGGAATTTTGAACTTAAAGACTGTGGCTCCCTCTTATATACGTAAACATGTATACATATGTTACTGATCATTTTTTTAAAAAATATTTTTAAAAAATAATAGATGCTACAGAAGAAAATCGATGGCATAGCTGATTATTCATATTAATTAGCATTTATTATGAAATGGAAAAATTGTCATCAGTAATTTCTGAGAAACAACATTGCTTTGCAAGATCTTTGATGGAGGATCGTAAATCCAATGTGATAGACTTCAGAGCTGAGAATAGTCTTTCCACACTAACTTAAGTAAAAAGAAGAGTTATTACTGTTAAGGCTATTTCTTGTTACTTTTCTGGGTAGATTTGTATAAGTTCTAAAAGAGGTGTCTGGCAAAAACTATCATATTTCTCAATTGGTTGTGTAGAAATCATGTTTGTATTTTTTCATTTTTAATTCTAAAGGCTCTTGGTTTTTTATTTTCAATCGTTTTGCAATATTATCTAAATATTTCTCAAAATCTAATACATCATTGGAATACAACTATAGAGACTCAGTTGTAATGTCTGTAGTCTAAGCTGAAGAAATAACTAAATGAATCAGTTGAATGAATAATGGCAAATAAAATATTCATCCTCCTCCCTTGTATTTATTTATTTAATAATTTGTCAAATTCAAACTGTCCATCAAAAACTGGCATCAAAATTGACACGCTTTAATTTCTCCAGGTCCGATTCCTTTTACTCAAAAATCTGCTCCACTCAGTTTCTGACTTCATGACTTAGACTCCAGGGCCAGATTTCTACTAATATTATCAATAGGATATGTATTTGTTTGTTTTCTTTTTTAACCATCTTAACACAATTAACAAAAGAATTTTAACAGCTGCAAAATATTGCATTTCATATTATATAAGCAATGCTAAAGGATTAGGTTTGACATAAGTATAGACTAAAAGTAGTGAAAGCAAATGCAGAGCCTTGGAATTTTATTGTGTTAAAAGGGATAATTTTTTGCTCATAATACCCTCAATTTTTTTAAATAAAAGACTTCTTAAAGTTATTCCTTTAAACCATAAATTATTGTGTGTTTTCTTTTTATTGATTTTAACAATATTTAATTTCCAGAATAGAAAACAGCTGTCCATATTGTAGCCAAGTGTGGATGATTAAAACTTTTCGCATTTTTGGCAATTACATAAAAGCATTTTAGAGATCAATGCATTGAATTAAATACAAACTTTAATTGCCATTTACATTTTTATCAACTTTAATTGCCATTTACATTTTAAGACAAATTTCAAATTTTTACAATTAAAAGCATCTTAAATGCTGGTTTATTTCTCCTACAGGAAATCATTTTTGTGTTCCACTGTTTTGAAGAGAAAAAAAACATGAAAATAACTTTTCAAAACAAGTAAAGGGAAAAAAATTCATTCCAACTTACAGCAAAATGATTGATGAAAACTGATTAGTTGCATAAGCTGTATTGGATTTTATATTTTTTTTTCCTTCTAATGTATTTTATTTTTTATCTAATAGACATATCCGTCTTACCAACAAGCCAAAGATCATGCCTTACTGAGGAAGAATGTGCCAGTAAGTATTTATAGATGTTTATATCATGGAAGACAAATGAGGCATTTTGATGTATTCATGTTCCTTCATAAGATTTTTTATGTTAAGATATTTCATGTTCCTGCATGAAGAATTATTTCCCTTAACCTGCATACTTCCAGATGCGACAAACTTCTTTCTCACCTGTTATTCTATTGAAAAAATGAGCATCAAAAAGACTTTCAGAAATCTGTTTATTTATAAAAACATCAAAGAGTGTATAAAAGGAAGTTAAAAAAGGAAAAAGTCATTTTTACGTTCTAGCTATTAGTTTGAATCAATGTTATCTACTATATTGTTGTGAGTAGGTCTATTAGGTTTAATTTATTTTTTATTTTTGCTCAAGCTATGGTGTAGTTGCTTGTTAGAGATTAAATTGTTGGAAAAAAAATATTAAAAGCCATCAATGTTTAAAATATTACTAATTGATAAAATATTTTACTGTTAATCAGTATTTTAATAATTAATAATATTTTTGCATCAAATAGTTTATTTCATATCAAATTATAATAGTCTGAAGTTTAACTTTTTGCTTTATGTTCAGTAGACAATAAGCAATATGAAAAATTTCTATTTGCTGTATTGTATAAAATTAACATTTGATGTGCTTTCAATTTTTGTAAAATTTTAATTTTGAGTACAATTTACAAAAGCAATCCGAGAAAAAAAGTTCTAATTCCAAAATGGTGTTTTTGTAGACAAACTTTTCAATGTGACTCTACTTACATTTTTGTTGCATGAGGCAAAAGCCACAGTAAATCCACCCACTGCAAATCTTTTTTCAAGATGTTTCCATAAATATAAATAAAATATTTGATGAAAAATGTGTTGAATTACATTATTTGTTATGTCTAATTTTATTTTTAATGAATTTAAATATTTTCCTTATATTTTTGTTTCTATATTATTTATATTTTTTTATTTTTTCTTTGGTGGAAAGTTAATATAATATTGTTTTACCATGTGCCATTAAAGTTTAATTCAAATTTATGAGCTTAATTTTATGCAGTTTAATACAATTACTAAATTTATGGAAATGTTGTGAAAAAAGTGGTACTAGAAAATTTTGTGTGAAAGTCTCAAAATCAGCTGTAATCTTTGCCAGACACCTTGTCTTGTTAAGATCTAATTATTACTGAGGATATTTATGGCATTACTCTGCTTAGCTAATGAATAGAAGGCATGACCAGGGTTTAGATCTGGTTCACTGTTGAATTGTCAGAAAAAAATATTAACAATTTTCAATTAAAAAATTTTTGATACTATATTGCGTATTTATCTAGATATTGATGCTTTGAATAAACCTCTCTCTCAGAGAAATGGAGATCAGGAGTTATCTCAAGAACCCAATGGTAAATAAGCATTCTTATTTATTGTTAATAATCATGATTTGTTAATAATGAGTATCTCAATATTTGATCTGAATAATGACTCAATATGAATCTTGAATAATGATTGTACAGAATATTCAGTGATGGGAATGAAACAATATACACATAAAGATAGAATGAAAAAAAAATATGAAGTGTTTCATGTCGACATTTAATTACTACCAAAAGTTGACATGGGTAATAGTTCATTAATATACAATTAATATCTTTAGAATGAACTGTTGTCTAAAAGTTGTATTTTTGTTTTTCATTCAAAAAATGCTAACTAAAATAATTATGCTCTAGATTTTACTCATGAAAGACATTTATTTATTCAGAATGCATTAAATAATTTGAGCGAAAAAAAAATAGATGAGAAAATTTTCTGTTTTTAATAACCATTGCATTTTGTAATAGAAAATGCAAAATTGGTGTAGACTCTATTCATATAAAGTTTCTAGTCTTGATATGAATAGCCTTGAACTTTCAGAGAGCAGGGTGCATGAAAAATATGTTCGTAATTCAGAAATATCTCTTTATGTTTAAAATATAGTCTATAAAAGTAGTTAAAACAGTATCTTTTGTAATAACTGTAAATTTTAAACCAACAGCAACAGCATGGCACTCTCAAGATAATAACCAACGTTTTTTAAATTTTGCACATTAACTATTGCTAAAAGCAACTTTTTACAACTATTAGAAGTTGATTTGAAAAAGTTTTATCTTGCTCAGTTCATAATGCACATTTCAGTTCTTCAAATTTCTAAAGTTTGATGCATTGGATTTTCTTGAATTTAAAACCAGTTCTTAATATACAAATTATTTAGGGGGGAAAACAAATTTGTATACATATTAATTAGACTTGAATGAAAATAGTGATAAGTTTTCTTTTTAGAAATATAGAGGGTTGCCAACTTCACTTTAAGCAGATTTTCTCTGCTGAATTTTGAAATTCCTTCTAATTTGCTGAATACATCATTTGCTTTGCAAAATTTAATATATTTCTTTAAAGTAACATTTTTCAAATTTCACTTGACAGAAAAATTAAAATGATAAACATAAAAGACTTGATTTTAATAAAAAAAAAAAATAAAAAATTTAAAATTAAGAGAGAGAGAGAGAGAGAGAGAAAAGGATTGAAACAAAAATGTCCAGATTTGAAAAATATCATTTTTAATCCAATGAGCATAATTTTTTTCCTTCTTCAAAAAAGCATTAATAGTTTTTCATTGGTCTTTGGAATCGGTATTAAAAACATTTAATTTTTATTTATGATTAAGAGTTTTATTTTGCTATTTAATGACTCTGTCTAAGTTTAAAAAGTGCTTCACAAAACAGATGAAATGCTCCTCTTACCATTCTTCAACCTTGAATATGTGATCAAATAATAATTTTTTATGATCAAAAATATGGATCACTGTTTTATTCCTTTTCATATTTAATTGAAGTTTTTAATTTTTTATATTATTTATTTAAACATTTATTTCATTTTCAATTTTTACCAATCACATAAATATATCATTTGTCTTGACCACATGTAAGATGCTAGACCCTTTTTTTAAAAACATGATTCTTTTTCAAATTAAAATATCTATACATATAATATACACATGCATATTTGATTTCAGTTGTATCAGTTGTCAAAGCTAGTATCAAGCCAGGGCAAAGTACTCAAGAATTCGGAGGTAAGTGTTTTATGTAATGTTTGATTTAAAATTAACATTTATTTTTTATCTTGATACATAGGAAGAAAAATCGGAAAAATTAATCAATATTAAACTATCAATAAAAAATTTATAATTAAATTCTAAGTGTGTAATTAATAATGATAAAGTATATAGATTCTATGTAAAAATTTGCAAAATCTCTAGGAATGTATGATTTGTAAACTAGCGAGATATTCCATTTGGTATACCATTGTTATGTACAATACACTTCTTGATTGATCAGTGACATTCTATAAGTGACTTACTGAAAAAATTAGGATAATACAGTAAGAAACAATTACTTTAATGTACATTATATTTTGAATTTATGCCATGTTATTTAGTGTTTCCGAACTTAATCTCCCTCCGCTTTCCTTTGGTAAATACAGTGACCCTGAGATGTCTCTTTCCACTTTATTTTTCATTGTTACTTTTTTTTAAGTTTTATTATATCATTTTATTTATTTATTTTTGCTAAATCTCCTCCTGACGTTTTTGCTTCAGATATATAATATCATATATAATTAATGAAGCTCAAAATAAGAAAAATCAAAAGATGAAAAGGAAATGACTCTGAGTTTTTAAAGTGTATCGAAAGATATGCAAAAAGAAAAAGAAGAAAACTAGCCTTATTTAATATTATTTATTATAATCTTATATATTAATTTTTAACCTTATTTGCGTGGAAACTTTATTGGCATTGTGCCTGAAAAGTGCTTTAAGTAAAGCATTCCTGCAATAGAGCCAGGAGGGGGAGACATGAAGTTAGAAAGCCTCTCAATTTCATGACCAATTGCATGTTGGTGGTAATGTGATCATCATTATGCACAAGCAGCCTTTACTTCCCAGACAAGCTCATATTACATTAGAGGCAGTATCGCATCAGTACTTTGGCACTCAATTATAATATTTTGATAAAAGATAATTTACATATTTAAAGTTATCATAAAACTGTTTTTCAGATAAGCAAATTTAGTGCATATTTTCTTTCATTGTTCTATGATTGACAGCTAGGTTCTCTTTTATTAGTTCATTTTCTTTCTTTTTTTATGTTGGTTATATTTTCGAGTAGTTTTTCTTTTCTTTTTTTTTTTTTTTTTTTTTCTTTNTTTTTTTTTTTTTTTTTTTTTTTTTTTTTTTTGACCTGAAATGTTTATCAATCTTCTTTAGGGTATAAAATTTTTAAAAAGTATTTATTATGTCGATGTTATTCACATATGTTCTAAAAATTATTTCTGGATAGAAGCCCTGCAAAAAGAGTATCAGCTAGTAGATATAACAGATGAAAATGAAGAAAATGAATTGCCTGCCTTTACTCAGCCAGGTATGTGAAAGAGAAACTGGAAAATGTAATACAATAGTTTAGTATATAATTTTAAAATTTTGCAAATTTCAATCATACTCATCTTGACTTCAGGACCAGAAGAAAAAAAAAGATTTTTTTTTCCTCAATTTAGATATTGCTTGAAAAATTGTTTCTTTTTATTTCTGTGGACCTTCATAGATTGTGTGTTTGTCTTGTTTTTGTTATATTTGTATCAGTTATAGATTGAAAAATTTTGCATAATGCAATCGAGCATTTATTCTTTTTTTATTTTTATCATTAATATTCAGGAAATGATTCTTAAAACTTCTTTTGAGCTTTTGCTGATTAGTTGGAGTAGAGTCTTAGTCTTAGCCAACCATGGCTTGAAATTCCATATAGAATGATATAATGTTCCTTGGTAGTTTCAGAGTTGTCCTATTCTATCCACATATGGAAAGCATGTTAAGTAGTGCAGATGATTACTACCAGCATCTCTCCCTCAATCTAAATTGTGGTAGTATATGTGCTATCTCCGCATCACCATTATGGATGTTGCAGTCATTTCCTAATGTTTATATGATCCTAATGTTCCCGTATTCCTAATCACCCATATTGCGGTCAATAGCCCATTTGTGTAGCTCTCTCGTGATGTTAGCAATTAAACCAAAACCAAATCTTTTATGCTTTTTTTTATCTGATTGTATTTCTATAAAAGGAGTGTGTTTAGTAAATAATACAGATCAATGAGAATGTTTGATTATTATTTAGATTTTTAAACTTGTAAGGAAGACAACAAAATTTTAACAAGTCATTAAAAAAAATTATTTATTTTTTATTTTTTTGCAATGAATGGCTCACAGCTGTAGCAACAATTATTGGCGATCGCAACGCTCGAATACGCCATCTGGAGAGAGACCGGTTTCATACCTTTGGCCCTTCCTTCTCCCTTCCCTCTCCTCCACTTTTCAGTTGTATAGAAATGTACAACAGTATTTTCCCTTTTCTTCATATTTTTCTTTTTATCAAATAAAAGTATTTTCTATAATTTCCATGATGCTTTTCTTTAGAACTATGTTCAATGTAGTTTTCAGTTCCATATGGTTTTCCAACTTAAAAGATTTTAATCTATATGAAAATCAAGAGAGAAACTAACGTACTTCCTTCCTCTCTGACTCTCCACACGCTATTGGAGAAAGCATGCAAAGTGTTGATATAGGTAGTGAGTTCTGCTCTACGCCACCCGCAGCCCATTTCGATCGCCAATAGTGACCACCATTTATTATAAATAGATTTTACAACCAATTATTGTTATTATCTATATTAATAAGCTTTTAAAAGTTGGTAGCAAATCAGTGAATGATTGAAGGAATTGGAGAATTTGTATGTAAATAAATAAAATTTAAAATTGTATAATTTTGTTTAATTAGTAAAAATATATTTTTTTAAATAGTTAGTTTTTTTCTGTAGTTTTCATAAGACATAAATGAATTCCTTCTCTTTAATTGTATGAAACATAATTCACAAAAAGCAGTGTCCATACATTTTATGAAAAATTTTAATCCTCATTAAATACTAAGAATTTAAGTTAGTTATTTTGTTACCTTTAATGCTATCAATAATAGAAAATAAATGTTTTGCTCATTAGACCAAGAGAATGTTTTAATTTTTTTTTATAATGAAATAAAATTTATTTAAAATTTAGTATTCTTATATCATTTATATATTATTAATTACAAAATTGATATATTAAAGTGCTTCTAGAACATTTAATTTAATTTAATTAATGGTTTTATCTAATTTAAATAGGATCTAAAAAATAAGTAATTTTTATACATGGTGTCTAAGCAACTATTAACCGAAAATAATATAGTTTATTGATTTTGAGCTATTCATATTTATATTTTATAGATCTTGCTGTTAATAAAACTCCACTTGGATTTAGACTGCTCTTGCATAATCCATGTAAGTTAGTACTTTTTTATGTGATTTATAAATTGTTAATTATAATAATTGTTAATCTAAACTAAAAAGTGTGTGATGTATTATAAAATAACTTATTTATAAAAATACATATACAATTACCTTCATCTAGTGTTATTCATATCAATTAGTTGTTACTTGTTGCCTAGTTTTAAAGTATTAACTAAAGTGGGGAAGCCATCCTCTCTGCAGAGGATTAAAATTTTGAATGCTTGTCTTTGAATTATCGTCGGGGATGTTTCCCAGGTCACCACCAATATCCCATTGTGCAGCTCCAATGTGTTGTACATAAAATGCTATTACTATCATAAGATGTGAGATTAAGTCAAAATGGTCTTGTTTAGCTACTATGTTTTGGAGTGTTAAATTATGTTTAACACTAATATAATGTAAATTTACACTGTTTTTAACTTATGGGGCATAATTAGTAAATTTTTCAAATGAATTTTGGCCAGTTGTTACATTTTTAACTGTAGCCACTTTTTAAAACATGTCACCACTTTTTTAAAAATTAAATGTCTAAAACAATAAAAAAAGCAGTTGATTGTTATAAAGTAAGCCATTTTTTTTTAACAAGTAAGCCTTTTTTTAAAACATTTCTCATATCATGGTAAACAATACAAGGTTTATTTCTAAAATGAAGAAAAGTGGTAAGGAACAGATGGGGAATAACTGTTATACGTTCCAGAATATTATAATATATTCATATTAATTTTGTATTTATTGAAAATAAGATAAAAATGCACATTTGAGGCATTTGTGTAACACCAAAAAAGTGGTGACTTGCAGATAATTTCTTCTCATCATTATATTTAGTCCCCTTGTGTCCAAAAGCTATACTTAATTTTTCCCTATACAATGACTTATTTACATGGATTTTTATCTTTATTATTTTTGCATGAATATAATACATTTATAATATTTCAGCCAGTCAGGCTGTAGAGACTTCGTTACCACCTTTTACAAGTGATACTCCTGAGGAATGGTGGACTTCCATCTCTGCGGTCTCAGGTATGATACTCTGTTCATCACTTTTGTAACAGAATTTCTAGTTTTGTTCATACTTTTAACCTACTGGCAGTTTTGACATATTCATTCTTAATACAGTTCACACTATTTTTTGACATCCCACAGTGGACTGATCGTAACGAAACGGTTCTCAGTCGAACACCGAAGTCAAGCATCACTGGCTGCGGTCAATGTGCGAGTGGGTGAACACTTTGATCATCTTGCCCAGCAACCGACGATGCGTGATATTGTTCCTCTTTAAACTGTTCTACTGTAAAGTGCTCGACTTCCTGCGCAGGTCGTTGGACCGCCAAAGCAGGGGATCAAAATTGTGATGACATGTCTTCGGATCATCCTCATGGATGTTTCCCAGTCCATCGCCAATAACTCTTTGTGCAGCTCTTGTGGAACGTATATAAAGTTCCTACCTATCTATTTTTTGGCAACTTTGGTTCAGGTTAATTATACCTGACCTTTAATCAGAAAAATGTGGTGTTTAATGTCATTTTTCTTCGATCTAATTCTAGATGGATAGGTGCTTTATAGCAACAAAAAAAAAAACTGAAGCTTTTTCTATGTACAGGGATTTTTGTGGTTAGAAATTGGGGTTAATTTTTTCACACGTGCAACCATTTGGGAGGGTAAAGAAATTTACTTTCGACGGACTTGTTAAAAAAAAAAATTATGTTGATTGCCTTTCATAATCAAATGAAATTTTTTTAATCAAAACACTTGAAATAGGTGTTGTAAACGTGGGTGACTTAATTTACCTCCAATACCATACAAAGTACGCCCTTGTCGTTTCAGGGTGTTTACTCTGAGATGCCAACTGCTCAGGATTCAGCAAAATATTTTCAAAAAAAGCACAGAGCTACAAACTAAAATGTTCAGATTTTTGGTTAATTTTGCCAACTTATAAAAAGGTTCAATTTGATTCAACTGTATCAAAGTGGTGTATCACATAAGTCATTGAATTATTTAGAAGTAGTGGTGAGTAAAAACCCAATGAATTGAATTTACTATACCGAGAATCATAATTAAAAGACTACCTCTTGAAAATATTTATCCACTGTCTGGAGCAGTGTCTCCCAAACTTATGACTTTTGTGTACCCTTTCTAATTTTTCATAATGCTGTGTACCACTAATACAAAATGAATGTATTTTTTACTGTAAAAAAATTGACTAAAAGTTAAAAATCACAACTGGCTGTTTATACCTCTAGTTATTAACTGTTAACTCTGTAAAAAATGGCCACTAGAAAAATAAGTAATCGTAAATTTTTATGGCTATTTTTGTTTTTAAATAAAATTTTGTGAAATTTTCTTTTGTTGGCAAGATATTTCGCATAAGAACATGTACCCCCGCTAAACTGTGCCCGTACCCCTGGAGGTACGCAAGGTGCGAAGCCAAATCTTTGAATCCAAAATAAGCACTTTTTAAAAACTTTTCAAGCACTTTACAAAAATTTTCAAGCACTCAAAAAATTCTTATTCAATCAATGATATTATTGAAAAACAAAAACTTTTTATAAACAGTTTTAGGGTAAAAAAAAACCAAAAAGAAACGAGCGTAAATCAAAACAATCAGTACTTTCCCACATCACCGAGTGAATTCAACTTGACCCTGAACTCAGAACAAAAGTACCCTTACCCCCTACATCAAAAAAAGTGTTAGAAGTAAAATTAAATAAACAAGAACAAAATTAAAAAGAAAAACATTTCATAAGGATCTGATATTTTCTATCCGAATTGGAGCACTCTGGTTTCGATTTCAAGTGTGCGCGCATGCTCAAGTCATAACGTGGGTACGACGTGAAGTCCGCGTGAATGATTATGTAGCAAACTCCCCATTTTTCATGAAATGCATGGGATCCACCAGATATCACTAAAGGGAGAGAGAAAATTATTTGGAAAAGCACTTTTTAAAAACGCCAGCTGAAAAAAGCACCTTTAAAAGCTTTTAAAAACAAAATCCCCTAAAAAGCACCTTTAAGTACTTTTTACAAACGCTACGCACCCTGGGTATGTGTACCACACTTTGGGAAACATTGGTCTGGAGCATACATTTAAGTTAGATCTCTGGCAGCATATTATTTTACATTTTATGTCTTGATGGTCCTTGGCATCTCTGTGTAATATGTCCATGGCATAATAAAATTCATATCTTGCCGCTTTAAAATCAATGGATATAAACATTAAATTACTTCCTCTCTTAAAATAGTGATACATTTCATGTGGATTAAATAAATATAGTTAAAAATAAATATTATTTTTCGAATATTTTCTAAAATGTGCACTAAACAATCGATCAATTAAATTATACCTGCCAATTTATTTTTACCCAAAATAATGCAAATATGTTGGTTACTACTGGTTTAGTTATTTACTGTGTGATTCATAACCCTTGAATGTAAAAGAAATCTTTATTTTCAGTGAATGATGGACATGAAAATGTAAAGCCTTCTTCTCTAGCAGATGTTGTTAAACATGAAGTACCCTACAAATTCAGAATATTTAGTGTTGTCCTCGGATATAAGCCAAGTTTCAAACATGCACATGAGCTTATCCGCATGCGTTGTCCCTGGTGTTGGTACATGTGAGTATGTCTTGTAAATTCAGTAGTTTACTATTATGTCATAAGCAACATCATTTTTAAGCATTATCTTTTTACATAAAAAATTATAATCTTTAAATAATGTAATAACTTACATTTATTACAATGTAGTGTTGATAATGTCAGCAAAGCACAATTCTGTTGGATGAAGTAAATAGTGCTTTATCTCTATTGTTAATGTATTAATCTGTTAATAATGTGAAAGCCTGATGTGAGGAGCAATGCATATTACAAGAATTCTGTTATCATTACAAGCTTCCAAGACACTCTCAAAATGCTAATCTAAAAAAATACTAACTTTTTATGTTTATAACAAAGTAAAAATTACCAGACTACTGCTATACCAATTTTTTTTTTTTAGGGAAATACATTTATCTTATTTTTAAATGAGCCCTTTTGCATGAAAAAGGGCAAACTAAGTCATATTTAATTATTAATCAATACAAGAAAGCGAAAAATGAACATAATTTCACCTTATTTATGTTAATATAAAGCCTTACAAATAAAAAATCTTCTGCTACTTTTAGGAATTCTCATGCATGATCTTTGGTTTATCTCATATCTACTATGCACCTATATTTTACTTTTTGACAATATTTTGTGTAATCAATGAATTTGAAAACTAATGCATGCTATTAAACTCGTATATTTTTTTATTACTGTTTTAACATTAAATATATATACATGTACATATACATATTTGCTTGTGATGACAAGCTCGCTTTAATAACAATTCAAGCTGCTGTTATCAATTGTCCTTATAATGGACTTTTATTGTATTTACTTTTTGAAATAATTTGCAAATAAAATCAAATTATAGATATGCGATGTCATAATAGGCATTACATACTAATCATTCTTAATCTAATTTTAAAGCAATTATTTAATTTTTAATTATATTTTATAAAAAGCAAATATAAATATTTTATTCTCTTCTTAACAATCAATGTAACAGTTAACTTTTTAATTCAATACATTAATTCACTGTGGCGACTAAATCAAACATCAAAATCTATTTATAACTCTTTATTCCTTAAATTACTTTATTTCTCTTACCACAAAAATTTTTCAGTTACAGATTATATTAATTATCACAGTGTTTTTGGCTATTTTATCATTTGATAAATTGCCAACTATGGATCTTTTCCCCTGCACCTAACTGTCTTTTTGGAACAAATCAATCAATTTGAATTTTTGGCGTTAGGACTGGGGTTTTCTCTCCTCAGTCCGACTGTTAATTAACTTAACAAAAATCTTCTTGAAAGATACTGAATTGAGAATAATGCATCTCTTCATCCCAATAAGCTAGCATCTTTTTATTATATGATATCGTTGTGGCCATAACGTATCTAGTAATAATATTTCTAAAAAAAATAATGCCACAATTCTTTTTTCGAAATAATTTTGTCTAATTCTCTGGAATAAATCCCTCTATTGTAAGAAGAGCATACGTGCCAAAAATCATTACTACTGCAACCAAAATCTTCACAAAAACTTCCATGAATATGTCTCCACCATAAAAACTGGAACAACTTCCATTACAATATTATTATTTTTTTTAAAACTTTTCTGGCTAGTCTTCTAATGCCTGTTAGAAAGCCCAAAAAAATTTTGTGCATTATCATTTAAACGGACTAAAATTATTGAGAAGTCAAAAAGATCAAATGAAGATTAAAAAGCAACAATAATACAGATAGGCATTTTTTTAAATAGAAAAAATTTAAATAAAAATGTATTCAAACACATTTAGAAGAAAAATAGTTAATGCATGTTTGTGAGCATAAAGTTTAAAGTCCCTGTAGAACAGAAACCAAATGCTAAAGGTGGCCATTGAAAAATTTCTATTAATAGCCAGTAGCCTCTCTGATCTCCCCTCTTCTAAAAAAGGGAGAAAGGAGCCTGAATATTGAAAAGTATCACATAGAGAAAGTCTCTCCATCTTCTGTTTTAGGTCAAACATTTCCTTTGATTCTCATAATGTAATTTAAGACTGATTTATAAATACTTATAGTTTATTTTATCCTTTTTATTTCTTTTTTAACTATCAATGATTGTATCATAATGAGTTTCATTCAAATAAGCTTTAAACAAACTCATTTGAAACACTGATAAAATTCAACAATCTCTTAACAACGGTAAGCTTTTCCCTCTATAAGTTTTTTTATTATTGTAATTTACATCTGATTTTGATTTTATTCAACTTCTGAATTTAAAATTGATATTACTTCGTTTTTCTTTGGATAGTTAAGTGAGTTTATGTGGAAAAAAAATTTTTTAATTAAACAAGAGAAAAAAAATTTTTTGTAAAAACTTGAAAGGGATTTAGAACAGATTAATCTGCATTTTTACCAATTTCATAATTTAAATTGTGATTCTAAAAATGTTTAAAAAAATTCAGGTTTGGAAAAACAATGGAGTGTAAAAGCTTTTTAAAAAAACTAGTATTAATCAAAGTTTGAGGTAAAACGATTATTTTTTTTCACAAACTTCAATATCATTTCTATTACTTAATTTCATTTCTTATAAAAATTATATCGTTATTAACTTTTTATAATCATGTAAAAATCATCAAAAAAATTATAAAAATAATCACATTTTACTGATTTTTAAAAATAGGTTTTAGATTTCAAGTTTTGAAAAATTGAATCCTAGAAGAAAAATTGACCACTATTTTTTTTAACTCTAGTTACCAGTGGCCTCTAGAAAGTTTGGTCTTTTAACTCATCTAAAAAGGTAGACCCAAATGAAAGATGGGAAATAGCTAATACAAGAACAGAATAAAGATATCCATATACTATTGGATCAAAAAAATTAGCACAGAGTTTATAATAACCTGGAAAACAAGGAAGGAAAATCACTGCAACAAAGAGAAGTTTTTTATACTCCTGAGGAAAAGATGGAATTTTTTTTAAACACAATTTTAGCATTTTGTACTCTGAGTACTTTATTATGGTGTTTGAACTACATAGTAATTCTATATAATTTCTAAAACTCATAAAATGATATGGTTACTAATCAAGATTAAAAAATTTTGAGTTTTATAGTGGAGACTTTTGATGTCACCGTATAGTTGTCACAGGAGTGCAAAAGATTAAACCTTAATTTTTTTCTTTTTCTATATGGGGAATACTTTTGTACTCTGAAACTTTCGGGCTAATCTGTATTTTTCTGTATCAGGAATACTTTTGAGAACTGAAACTTTCCGGATAATCTGTATTTTCCTTTTTTGTAATTTAGTTTAACATACCTGGTAAATGAAAAAGAAAGTGTAACAAAAGTTATCTGTAATTATTTCTTGACTGAAACATATTTTTAAAATGAGTTATTTTTTCACTATCAAAGAACTGATGACTTGCAACCTGAACTTGTGCCGCTGAAAGAACAAGATGGGTTATTTTATTTCCATTGCCCAGATTGCTTGAAAAATAGTAAGTCATTTTATTTATTGTTTTTCAAAAAGAATAGGTATACAAACATTTATAATACATGTATGAACTACTGTAGTACCATAGTAGTTCTCACTGTACAGTAGTTCTTACTGTACGGTAAGAACTACTTTAGAAGTTTTTCATAGGGAATAAAAGAAAAAACTTCTTAAACTAAAATTTTATTTTGCATGTAAGTTAAAATTTGGGGAAGAAATAATAATTTTTTATTATAAGTTTGATGTGCTGAAGATATGTTTAAGTTATAACATCATACAAATATTGAGTTACAGTTTCGAAGTTAAACTTAAATATTTACTGACTTAACCATTATTAAAGAAACTTATTTATCTAAATTCTTTTTATTTTATTTTTTTACATTAAAGGCAGATATTTCCTCTTTTAAAAAAGCCAAGCATACTTTAAGACTGCATAGAATTATTTTTTCCAAAAATCAATAGGTTTGGTCATGAGTTTCATTCCAAAAAGCTATTGTACTTTTTTTTCTGGAACTTTCCATGTTTAAAAAAAATTAGAGTTTAAGTAAACTTTTCACGATTGAAAAGTTTAAAAATAAAAAATTTTGAAGGTGTTAATTTTATATTATGGAAAACGTAGGCAAAATGGTAGAAAATTACTTTAACTGAAACTTCTAAACAGGTTCCACTGTGTCTGTAAAAATAGGTATAAAATAAATTATTGAAGCTCAAAGCAAACAATTCATATGTCAGCTTTAAAAACTCTATAATATAATTATTTTAATAATTAATTATTTGATAGTATTATATCACAAATAATAATTGCCTTTATGTAAATTCATAAAATAAAAAGTAATTGTGCTTCCTTCCAATCCATATGCTACCTTTTGGAAATTTGTTCTGGCTGTTGGCAATTTTTAACTTTTGTAGACTCTTGTTCTTAGCTGCATTTGTGGTTGAAAGTCATTACTGAACATAACTTGACTCTATAATCTCTTATTAAAAAAAAAGATATCTAAAATTGAGTGAAAACCCTATATAAATACATTTTTATTGATATACTTAAAGAAAAAAAATTTTATTTACTCAACTATTCTGTTTTTAATGTATAATAACATTTACATTAATTCATAGGTCACGAAAAAATCCTAGAATACACCTACATGTTTTCTTTGGAGATGCATGACGGCACTGGACCATCTGTTCTAGAAGTTAATATTTGGGGTGAAAATGCAGTAAGTTTATATTTTATACATAAATTTTGAAACATATTTTATTTAATAAAAGATTTGCTTAAGAACCAACCACATGTTGATGACTTTTAATTTTACTATTTTGTTGGTAAATATTTGATTTTCCATTCAAAATTTGAACTGTACAGTTAATCACAATGTCCAAAGTTTTTAATATGTGCTTGTATTCCGCAGATGACATTTTCGAAAGAGTTTCTCATTTGCCATAAAGAGCTGGCTAAATCTAAGGATTAAAATCCCCTTGCTGTCAGGCTATCTATGGGAGGTTTGTGTGGTTTTCCTCTCCATGCATGGGTGCAAGTTGGAAAAAAGGCCAAGACTGAAAATTTTTTGACTGAAGTACCTAACATGCACAATACCCCTCGACATATGCAAACTGTCTAAGAAAGCTTTACCATAATACATCAAGTTTAAATACTGTACAAAAAATATTTATTCATCTGTCTTTTGATAAAATAACAACAGGACATAAGAAAGTAGACCAATAACGAACGCAGACCTAAAAAATATTTTTAAGGACAGAAAAAAAAAATTCCGATTTCCGTCATACTTCCGTCCGCGGACATTTTCGAAAGACGAAAATCCGTCCCGGGGACGGAAGACTTGCACCCATGTAACTCAAATGCAACTTAGTTTCAGCAAAAAGTTTGCTAAGAAAGCTTATTTGATCCAGAGCTTCCAGAAGCTTGGCTCAAAATTGCTAAGCTACGGAGTTACACTTTAATAGAAATAAAAAAATGCTACCTATTTTTTAATTATTTTGTAAAAGAATATAAAAAAATTAGCACTAGAATACATTTGTGTTGCTTAAGTTGCAAATCAATTAGAAAAAACGGGGGGATATTTTTCCTTCTCAGAAGGTGTGGTGTTCCAACCTATTAGTATATAACTTATTCTCACTCTTTTTATCGTTAACAACCAATGTTTATCTTTTTTTATCCACCAAACTCACAAGCATATTAAATTCCCAGAAGGGGGCTGATCGGCAGACTGTAGGCATTGCATTACTTTAGGTGACAAGAGATCTAATTGATTTGCTTTTCTTTTTCTGAAAGTACAGTTGCCAAAAAATCATGGATGATTTGTACTTGTCTTTAAATCTTCATGTTATATGCTCAATGTCACATTCTATATTCAAAAATATTTACATTTCTACTCTTAGCTTATCTGTAATAGTTTTATGACTATGCAATTAATAATATTTTTAAATCAAAAATGGTACACATGTCAAATTACAGTGAAACACTCTGTTTGCCCTAAAATAACACTGTGAGAGGGCTGAATTCAAATTGTCTCAAATCATGTGATTTTGATTAGTTATTCAAATCAAGGAATTCAGAACAGTGATTTTGATCAATGATTCAAATCAATCATCCCTCTGAAATAAAAAATTGCATCTCTTTGTTTAATTTAAATGTTTTCTTTTTACTTTAAAGTTTAGTAGTAGTAATTATAAAATGGCCTCATAATTTAAAAGCGTTTCTATGAGTCTTAAGCATTTCATTATTTTGAACAAATACCTATTCCCTAGCAGTTAAAATTCCAACGTATTTTTCTATAAATCATCAAATATTTAGTGAATCCTTACTAAACAATTTAATTAAATCATATCTTTAAATCAGATTTCAATAAAATATCTCCATTCATATTCATTTCCCATACTTCTATGATATATTGTCTTCTTAATAATACTTTTCATTTCTTTTTCTTATTCCAGGTAAAATTTCTAAAAGGAATCCCTCCAGAAGAGGTTCTGAAAAATGCTGAAGCTGCTAGGGCAGTTTTAGAACTGTTATGGAGCATTTGCCCAAATTCTCGGCCTTTAAACACAGATAGAACTATTACCAGTGATTACAAATCTTATCCTATTTTAGATTGCTCAATAATGTCATACGCAATTTCTGGCCAAATATTTTACCAGCTGTTCGATACCATATTATTTTAAACTTTGTTGAATATATTCTCTGTAATTATAAATATATTTTTTTAATTAAATTAATTTTTTATATTACAATTGCTTTTTATTGTCAAAATAGTTCTATTTATTCTATGCCATCTACTCCAAAAAAATGTGTTCAGTTTACTTTTTGCAAATTTGGCCAAATCTTGAGTGAAGGTTTTAAACCAATAAATAAAAACCTTGGTCACAATTATAAATATTTGTTAATTCAAAAAAAAAAAATTACCCCCAAAATTTAAAAATGATTACCAGAAATTTTTGTGCATTCACTGTGGAGCTCGAATAGTGTGAGAGGAGGAACCATAACCTTATGCAAAATCACTCTAACATATTGTCTGTAGTCTGGTCTTATGACATGGTAATAAATCCTTAGGATATAACATTCTTATCTCAATTTTTAATGTATACTTCATTTTTATCGTTCTCCAGATTGAAAATCTTCATACTTTTAAAAAAAAATTATAATTTTATTTTACCCGAGCCAATTAATTCTGGAGGAATTTAATTTAAAGTACACATACAAAGCGAAATAAGTATATATATTTTTTTTCTAATTTTATAAAGTAAATGACAAATTGATAGGCAAGATTAATCTGTATTTTACAGTACTCTTATCACTATCACAGATTTTCAAGTGTTCTATACAATTTCCAAAACTTTATATATACTATCCAAAACTTTGGTTACTTGAGCTTTTGGATTAGTAAGGTTTTTTCTGCATATATATATAAGGTTGTAATAAAGTTAAGGTATATATTGATATGATGTAGTGTAATAATTTGTATCAGTGATATTAAAATTGAACTAGATTATAGGATTAAACTAAAAATCTTCATATTGATTTGAATTTATGCATTAACTATCAAATTTTATTTGTTCAATCATTCAACAATAATAAGTCATAGATTAAAAAATATTTTAGTTTTATATAATATTACCAATTATCTTCTGTGATCTAAAGATCCATGGACACGAAAACAACAAGTATCTTAGCACTCACAGTTAATTATGACATTAAATATTTTTCTTTTACACAACATAAATGCCATGGCTATAATGCTCAAAAACTTTTTAAATTTTACAGAGTTGAAAATAATGATTTTATTTCTCTAAATTTATTTCAAACATGGTTTAAATAATAATAACTGTGAAATTTTATTATTTGAATGCTATTGATAACGTTATAGTATAAATAAGAAAAAAAAGTCTTGAAAACTTCATATTGATATTGGATCATTTAACTAAATAATTTTAGAATTAATGGATACAAAAATGCTGATGAACCTTTAAATCAATCAATCATAATTAAATTGAATCAGGAAAGTTTGAAAGTCATATTCATTCAAAATTGATGAATAACCATTTAATTTAAAATTTGCAGGATTCATATTTAAATAAAATTAGTAATGAATCATTAAGTTTCTGAGGGGCTAAATTCTAAGGTATCAAACGATATAACGAACGTTTAATGCATTTCAGTTTGCAAGTACTGGTTGTAATGTCTAAAACTAGGATTAAAAAATCACACAATTCACAGTTTTATTTTAAAGGATGTGACATGCTTCTCTTTTTAGCATATTGCTTTGATGTTCTTTGCTTATATAATAAATTGTGAATATCAGTAAAAACACTGGTGTTAATAATTTTGAGAATCAAAACCCAAATAATTGTACTCTTCACAATAATGTAACTTTTTAAAAAAAAGTTATAACTTGGTTACTAAACAAATTAAGTTGCTTATATATTTTTTTTTTTGTTCAACTTGTAATTTTTTATAAGACTCATTTTGATTACATAAGTTATTGCACAATTCACGATAATATGGCTGATGAAAAGAATACTTATTGAAAAAAGAAGGTATAAAAATATTGTCAACATTATTCTAGTGAAATATTTGGCTTATTTTAGTCTTTTCAACCATTGATTGGTAATTCCAATACTTTACAAAACTATTAAACTGAAATCTATACATTTCATGATTCTGAGAAGTTTTTCTTGGACCTTGTTCACCACAACACTACTCATTGACAGTTTTTGTCTTTATTTAAAAAAGACATCACTGACGATTTATGCACCTCACTCTTCAAGTGCTGTTCGTAACTTTCAAGCTCTTGATAATAAAAATGACACAATTTACAATGGTATGATGTATTAATCTTTTCGCGAGCCTGGGTATCAATATAGGCATTAATAACATTTTTTTCAACGTCTACCAAATTATTAACAAAACATTCAATTCTCTGATGCCTGCTGTCTTTTAAATGTAATGCATACATATTATCAGGTGGGCGCCAAACAGCACAAAGTCTGCAATAAAATTTTGGAAGCACAAAATGAGGAGTAGCTGCTAAACTTGGAGCATTACTTTCTAAATCACTTCCCTGTTTCGTTGAAAGATATATTTTTAACTCTTTTATTCTTTTATGGCTCTCTCCAATTATGTGCTCCTTTTTATCAGTACACCAACAATTACATAATTCACAATAGTATGCAGGGCGAAATGAATTACTGAAGGTACATTTGGCTTTTTTCAGAGCCCTAAGTCTTTTAATATTTATACCATTTACTAAATGGGATATTTTAAACATAAATTTTTGCATTCTCTTATGAGTTGGATTTTCCAAATGCTGTTTATGTAATGTCATAGAATCAAAAAGCAAGTTACATAATAAACAAGATATTAAATTTGATGAATCATCAAAAGTCACAAAGGCATACGAATCACCGACATTCTCTATCTGTCCAACCTTGATAATTTTGCTAACAAACAATTCAACTTTCTTATAACCTTTGTTGAAACAAAATGAACATCTACAGAGGGCTCTAGATAATTCACAACAGAACGTATGAAATATATTTTTAGAAAAATGCATTTTTAAACAATTATATGAATGACCTTCTCTTTTTTGTCTGCACATGTCTCTCAATAACTTCACAAAATATTTATGAAAAGATCCTTCTAAGTGAGTATTATATGCATTGAAGTTGAAGCACCGGTAGCTACACAAAAGGCAAAAATAGAGTTCGGGAAATGAATCGCTGAAATTTTCAGTGGTTTCGGCTTGTCCATTGAAAGAAATACCTGTGGCCAGTGACGCAATACAATGCTCTTCACTCTTGATATGTTGGGTTACTCTCGGATAATTACCAAACGTCACCGAGCATGGGATGCAGGATAATTTATTAAAATTCCTATGATCTCCATTTTTCTCTAATTCTGTGAGAATCTCCACTTCTATTAACTCTATTGTGAGTGCATCCTGATTCATCTTGAAAATTGAATCTACCATAATAAAAAAATTGATGAATGAATATAAAATGCACATAAAATTATAGTAGTTGGAGATGCATTATAATTTCAATTGGAAAAGTGTAAGTAAAAAATTTTGTAGATTTGTACGCAAAATATTTTCTTCTACATTCGACAACTACCCAAAAAGATTTTTGAATATTTATAGTTTTAATAATAGCTACCAACATAGATAGAAAGAATTCAACAGATTTTACGAAATAATATAAATTTCATGAATTGTGCTAAATATTTTATGAGATTTTTATAGGGATCAAAATAGAAAAAACTGTAATATTTTCCAGTTATGATTAACATGGAGTGCTATGTATTATGTTAACTTATAATTTTGAATAGTAACACGCATTTAGTTTTAAACTGATCATTTTAACTTTCTTTGCAAATGAGGTCCATTTCATTATCTACCAGTAATATGTATTTAAATATTCAAGCAAGCAATATGATATTGAAAATGATAATTAATCATGTTCAAAAATGATATTTAATCAAAATTTTTTTAGGAAATTCAAAATTTTCAATTTTAGAGAATTTTCTAAAAATATACTAGAACCAGGAGAATTTTTTTAAAGCAGTGTACCAGAGAAATCTGGAAAAATCCAGTAGAGTTGGCAGCTAAGGTTTTACTGTTGGCACATTAAAAATCAGGACATTTTTGAAACAGCATACATACACCGTATTATTTTTAAAAAATTAAAAATGACAAACGGAGAAAAAAAATTTAATTTGTCAAAATTAAATTAATACTTATTATGCGAGACAAATTTTATCACAAAAGAATAATAAATTGCAGAATTATTTTCTTAAGAAAGGAAAGTTGTAACAGTTTTTTGTAACTTTTGTTATCGAGCACAAATCAAATCATTATAGACTGAAATCAATATGTGAAAGTTTTTTATTGTATCATTTTACTATAAAGTAATTCTCTATATATTGATTAATTTATTGTTGATTAGAATTATTTTCAAAATCAGAAAAAAGATATTAATCAGTAGTAGTAATCACAAAACTCCAACCTACAATTCATATCCTGGATTAATGTCTGAAAATGGGTAAGCAAATTTTTAATCAGGGTTGGCAAGTTTTTGACACATGACGGTTTTTACCGGTTTATACCATGGTTTTTACCGTCATGTCAAAAACGTCGAAAACTGTCAAAAACCCATAGTTTTGATAAAACTGTATTTGAATTTGAGTTTAACTGCTTATTATTTAAAATTAATTCATTTTTGGGCAATAAAATTAGAAAAAAAGTTGTTAAACGATATTTAAGAATAGATTTTTGCATTTTCCCAACATGATTATATCAAATCATACTATTTGAAGTAAAATATTGGGATACTAAACAAAATTTTAAACATTTCCAAGCATCATTTTGTTTGGCATATTACATTACTGAAAAGTGTCAAGTCATTCCTGACTTAGAGTTTGTTAGTAGTTACAAGTTTTGAAAGTTTTGTTTAGCTTATTTCTAATATTTAAGAAATGCCAAATTTTAAATTCTTCTTTTTAGTTCCTGAATTTATTAATAGTTCCAAGTTTTTTTGTTTGTTTGTTTATTTCTAACAATTAAGAAGTGCAAAATTTCGAATCCTTTGCAAATCAAGCTACGATAATGATAAAAGTTAAGTATCACTATTTTCGATTAGTATGTTACAATATTTCTGTATGAATGTATATCCTTCTCTAAGAATACTTGTATATAGTTGCAAAATCAATAGCAATCATTTACAACATTCATTTATAAAGGCAATTAAGTGAAAATAATATATTGTCCGCTATATGCCGTAAATTAAAGAAAATAGTAGGTTTTTGACGGTTTTTACCACTGTCATGTCAAAAACCAGTTTTTGACGGCAAAAACCCAACCCTGTTTTTAATGTTTAAATCTATATGTATATTGATTTATTAATTCTTATGAATATTTTTAAATTTAATATATTTTTACTATTATTACAGATTTTAATGTATTCTATAACCCTTTAAAAAAATTAATTCTTATTATATAAATATATCACAGAAAATAATTCTTATAATTTCTTATAATTTTTTCTTAATTCTAATTTTTAATTCTAGAAATATTCTTATAATTTTCCAGGAAATGGCCCCAACAAGAAAAAAAAAAATTATTTTATTATATTACCTATGAGCCTCAATGAAATATGATCCAAAATATTTTTAAGCTATACTTACTTTTTGTGCAACAAGTAAATAATTCTCTTAATTTTAAGCAAACTTTCAAAATCGGTTAAGCAAACACATTCCTCAGCATTCAACATAAGCCAGAATTTCTTGAGATGTCTTTTCTACAAAGTAACAATAAAACAGTCTACCAATTTATAAACAAATTTAATAGGAGTTGTAGGACTTAAGAATATTCTCAAGTCAATTACAATTTGATTTTTGTAATTAATTATCAAATTAATAATAAAAAAGGCCCATTTTTTTGCGTGCACATATATTTTTAAATGACTACAAATCTACAGATAAAGTTGAAATTCATAACAATTTTATGCTTCAAGTATTTTTGGCAGTAATCATAATGCCACCATGATATATATCATGTTTCTTTTATATGTTACATCAGCAAAGCATTTCAAAAATCTAAAACAAAGAATTGCCATTTACATATTATGTGGGTTAACATAAATGTTAAAATATTCATACCTTAAAAGTAAATAATTTTCTATTAACTAAAAGATAAAATTATTTATTATATATTTTTGCATTACCTGATAAAAATAATTTCATTTATAACATACAAATGAATGCAAAAAAGAGTTTAATCAAAGCAATTAGTAATTAGAAAAGGTGAATTAGAAGATATAACTCCTAGTAACCTGTAAACAATATGTATAGCGCAACATATTTTTTCATTCCATTTAATTTTACTTTACAAGCTTTGGTTATTGCTATGTGTTTGATGTGAAATGTAATCTCTTTAAGATTTATACAAATATTCTAGAAAATTAAAAAATTTAAAATTTGATATTCAAATAGATAAATGAAAAAACACAGAGAGCAAGTTCTGAGAATGTGGGCCTATGGAATTAAGTACAGGTACATTGAAAAACATTTATTTTCTCATTTTAAATTGAGATATTTAATGCATTCTGATTTAGAGACATTCATTGAGATTGTGGCAAACATTTTTACTTCAGCTTTAAAAGCAGACAACAAATTTTATGTTCATAGACTATCTCATTTATATTCAATGCATAGGGAATGTTGGTTTAAGTTGCTGATGCAATTTTCCAATTATCACTACTGCCTTGCAAAAACAAACTTATAGTGAACAACTAAAGAACTGATCTACAGAGTAAATTAAGAATTTTAAAATTCTACTTATAATGAATTGTTTTCTAAAATGGGGTAAATCAGGAAATATTTTTCCCACTCGTGTTAATTTTAATAATTATCTAATTTTCTATATTTTACAGTAAAATAAGTATAAAAATATTTCACTTAAATATGTTTACATTCCTACATATTAATTTGAACACTGAAACAGTTCTATTAAAATTTTATGTTCCAAAGAAAAGAATAACAGAAAATAAATAATGCTATTATCAGGTATGTAAAACAATCAGAGCTAAAAGATACTAATAACTATTAAATTATGCAACTTAGTCAGCATAGTTAAAGTTTGACTTTTTATGCAAGTTTCTCTCTCTTTAAGAAGTATATTTTTCATGGAAGGAAAACGAAACATTTTTTCCAATATCACAAAACTTCATTAAAAATATATGTCTCTTTAAAATTTTATTAAAGCTAAAAATTAGTACTTCTTCTTAAATTTCAAATATACCAAAATCTATTGCATTTTTCAGTAAAAATTTAAAATTAGGTGCCGCCCTTATATTGACGATTTTTATATCTTACAGGAAATAGGGGAAATGATTTAAGTGAGATTTTCTAATAATTAAAGTTCAAGGGAGAAATAACAATTGAATGAAAGATTTTATAATGAATAAAATCTCCAAGGTACAGTGCCTAAACCAAGGAGCACCAAACCTTACACTCAATTGTTTATTTATGTTTTTTGTAATTATTGATGTAATTGTGTAGAATTGAGATGAGCAGTATATCTACTGCAACCTTATTGATGACTCAATCCATAACCTAATGAACACTCCTAATTAAATAATATTAAAACATTTTTTATATTGAGCATGTATATCTTTAAATATTAAAAAAAAATTATATAATTATTTCAGAGCGTTCTCATGTTAAATACAATATTTACATATTGAAATTTGTGTAATAAAAAGCATTAAAATTTTCTTGAAACACTTCTAAATGAAGAGAATAATAATCTCCTTAAGAGGTAAAGTACATTATAAAAATACAGACAAAGCACACTTCTTTTATTGCACAAAATTACATTAATACAACTTTTAAGATTTAAAAAATGAAACAAAATATTACCTTTGATTAGATTGGTCAAAACACGCGGTGTTTTATTTTCTTGTTATTTTTTAGTGCGACGAGCTCGTTGCATAAGCTTATAGCTTTCCATCAATAATGCCTATCTATGGATTGTTGACCGTGTTAAGTTAAGCACTGATGGCGCTAGCAGTCAAAATTCGTCGTAAGACTTCCGGGTTATTACTTCCGATTGATTTTGACGCCTAAATTTGTAAAAGTAAACTTGTAACTCACAATATTAGAATTTTTTTTTAATTTACCTTTCAACGAAACAAATAACAAATTAATTGGGAGGACCCTCCAAACATGATATGATGCTACCCAGAAAATGGCAACCAATGATATCTTACACAATTATAACGAAATAAGGGATAACACTCAGAACGGGACAAACATTACACTTTTTTTTATGCTGTCCTAAAAAATTTCTTAAATTTTTTTTTAGGTTCAGAACTTATGAGAATTTGTAAATTGCAGAAAACTCTTATGAATGGTAAATTTTGTTCAACTTGAACAAAAATCACAATAATAAAACTTCCTAGAATATTAAGCCTGCTCACCCATCGCCTTGATGTAAGCATAACCTATAACACACTGAAAGTTTTCTATAGTTTGTTAATTGATGGTGTTTTCTACACAATAAATGTTATAAAACACTTTTTGCCTTGTCAACAATTTACCAACTTTGAAATTTTTATATAATGATAGTTTGTTAAAGCATCTTAATCTTTCTGCTGGAACGATAAGCCAACACTAACGTAGCGGCTTGCAACAAGAACAAACAGTAATAAACAAGTAAAAAGAAGCCAAATCGGGACTACCAAAAATGCGAGTTCTTTCTAAATGTTACATTCCTGTCTCCTCTTTTATCAATGCATCTATAAATAACTAAAACAAATTTTTATTTCAAACTCATCAAAATTACCTAATATCTTATAAAATACAGTAGATTTGAGCTCAGAAATTACATAATTTATTTCCATTCTCAAAAGGAAAATTATATGTTTGAAAATATCGCCTCTAGAGCTGTAGTAAGCAGATGTATACTATCTAACCGGAAGTAGAGCAGGTCAGAGCTCGAGATTGTTATTATTTACATTTATATCAAAAATACAATCCATAAAAATAACTCCCGCCACTACGAAATTTAAAGCAGTCTACTGCTATGGAAACAAGAAATAGCGCATTTCAAAGATCGGAGCTGTTCTCGACCTGTTTTAAATTATGACCAAACATCCTTAATTGAAATAGTTAAATCTCGTAACCATAGTCACCTCCGCTACTTCAGACGAAAGGCTTGGGGAGTATTTATATAGACAAACTATATATTTCTTCCAGTTTTAGGAAGCTTGTTATTGTTTACATTAATGTGTCCATGGTTCAGGCTTAACAACAGAATGTGGCACCAAAAAAACTACAAACGGTTTGTGGTTAGGAGTTGTAGTTGTAGTTCACTTACGTCAAACTAGAGCTGCACGATGGGCTATTTATTGGCAGTGGTGTGGGAAACATTCATGAGGATGATCCGAAGACATGCCATCACAAATAATTATTGACATTCCTTTTAGGCTGCAGAGGAGATGGCACCCCCAATTAGGTAGCCTGACGACCTGCACGATTTCGAGCACTTTACAGTAAAACGGTTTAACGAGAACCAATACCGCACACCCTCGGTCCCTACGCAGACTGATCCAAGTGGTCACTCACTCGCACACTGACTGCAGTCAGTGATGCTTGACTTCGGGGATCAGGCTGGGAACCATGTCTTAGCGATCAGTCCACAGCGGGACGTTTGTGGTTTGGAAGAAAGGATTGCGTTTTCTAGCGCTGCAGACTCTTTATCACCAAAATATCTGGGTTAGTGTATCCTGTGTATTTTGGGGCTATTTGGTTCAACGTGTTTTCACTGTGTATAATGTGCTCTCAGTTCAAAATGATAATTTGCTGGATAAACTTTAGTCTCCCTACTCTAACTAAATGCTAACACTCGCTGTGCACTGCTGGCAGCAAGAGCAAATAGTGATAAACTAGTCAAAAGAAGCTAACTCAGAGGCAAAAATGATCCATGTGACTTTTTTAACAATATGTCTATAACAATATACAGCTAATAAAAAAGCGGTAGCCCTGTATCCCCGTAGGACCCGGACCGGCCTAACTACAAGAGGGAAGTTGCTGAATGGTCTCAATGCTGTGTAGCATGTCAGAAAAGTAAGGTGCAACGACATGTGGTAAGTTCTCCTGGTACTTATCCCTTACCTCGTCAGCGATTCAATCATATTCATATTGATTTGGTGGGACCACTTCCTCCTTCTCGAGGTTATATTTATTGTTTAACGTGTGTGGATCGATTTTCCCGATGGCCAGAAGTTATACCTCTACGGGACATTAAAGTGGAGACAGTAGCTTTTGAATTTTTTTCCAACTGGATCGCAAGATTTGGTGTTCCTGAAAGGCTTACAACGGACCAGGGAAGGCAATTTGAGAGTAATTTATTCCGAGAATTTGCTAGCCTTCTTGGTATTAAACTTGTGCATACCACACCTTATCATCCTCAGTCAAACGGGATGGTAGAGAGATTGCACAGGCAATTGAAGAGTGCGATTCGTGCTCATTCAACAGATAGGTGGACTTTAGTTTTACCTTCAATATTACTTGGCATTCGAGCATCAATAAAAGAGCCTTTACAGTGTTCTGTTGCTGAGATGGTGTATGGTACACCTATAACTTTGCCTGGAGAATTTTTTTCTAACTCTAGAAATTTAATTAACAACGAATTTCTTGCAATTTTACAAAATAGAGTTAGGTCTTTGCGACCGTCTCCTGCTTCACAACATTGTAGGAAAAACGTTTTTGTTCGTAAAGAACTTAATAACTGTACTCGAGATCTCTTGTTCCACCTTATAGCGGACCACATCCGGTTCTAGCCAAGTCTTCAAAGCACTTCACCATACAAATTGGACGTCGTAAGCAGACTGTTAGTATCGACAGATTAAAGCCGGCCTTTCAACTCTCTGAAATAAAGATTAACCACGTGAGATTTTCCGTGTGACTGTCTTCCAGACTGCGCTGGGAAGCCTTGTGGCGTCGCAGCGGTAGCGATTACTATTGGTGAAGCGAACTGAAGTAGTGCAGATCTTCAGAGTATAAAGTGACGACATGGATGCGATAATTGCTTTTTCTTCCACGTATTTTCTTCAAACTGCTAGCTGTATCGACGAGAGCACGCTGGACGTGTGAAATGTTTGTTTAATCTAATAAATGTTTTCTTTAGTTGTTTATTAGTCTCAAGTCTTATTTCCGGAACACAGAATAGTTCCAGAGCATTCACCAGATGAAACTACAGGCTGCTTGTTCATTTTCTTGCATTGGGAGAGATTTCTTTTTTTTTTTTTGATGACTTTTATGAAACTTCTGTATGTGATGAAATCCAAATTAAGGAGAAGGATCTCACCGTTCGACTTGATTTCTTGTTATTATTAAAAAGACTTTTCAGGAGCCTATATCTGTTACTATTCAGTGGCAGATTAACCTCTATAAATAAATTGAATTTGCATGAATAACAAAATCTGTTTATTTCGGAATATTAATTAAATGTCTCGAAGAGGTGAACTTTTTAATATTGGCCTAACCAATCCAGTAAACGTGTCCAAAATCTTGTAAACGTGCATATGTTTACTGGAGATTTGAAATTTTTATTCAATACTGTAGCTGAGCTAAGAATTCCAAAATTTTAAGAGTCATATATTTACGCTTTTTTTTTCTAGATAAATTTTAATTATTATTTACATTAATTAATCCTTTTTAGTTATTTACGTTGATTCTGTTTGAAATGTTGATTAATTTTTTTCATGACAATAAAGAGAAAATTGATTAATAATAATTAATTGATTAATAATTGATTAATTCTATATCTGTATTTAATTCAATACTTGAAGAAATGATGAACTTATTGTTGTGTTTATAAACTAATAAATGTTACATAATAATTACGTGAAATAAAAAATTTAAAGAAAATGCTTCCTTTTTAATAAAAATTAAGAACGAGAAGCATACGTTAAAAATATGTCCTAATCAGTAACTTAGACATAATTGATCTGCAGATGAGATGCGAGTTTCACATGTTAAATCAAATGCTTCATCTCACAAAGGAACACAGCTTTGTTAGAGGGAAGTTTCTTCGCATTCAAATAAGTTTAATTTCAATTAAACAAGTTGGAGCCGAGATGGCTCAGGTGATAGAGCGTTCGCCTTCCAATGATGAAGTGAACCGGGTTCGAATCCCAGCAGTTGCTGGTCGATACAAATCCGCATCCGGATTGCTCTGAGTACAGTGCTGACGTAAAATATCCGCAGTGGTAGACGGATCATGGGTTAGAGTCCCTTTGCCGTCAGGTTAAACATGGGAGGTTCTCGTGGTCTTCCTGCACATGTAATGTAAATGCGGGTTAGTTTCATCAAGAAGTTCTCCACTAAGGCAAATTTCTCCCAATGCTTGATCCACGAGTTCTCTTGTCTTCTAGATTGGATTCATAATTACAAGGCTACAGAGGTTAATATTAGTAGTCGTAAATAAAAAAATCTTTTCCTGGAACTTAACTTAAGTACTCCTTGTTGACTTAAGTACTGTTCTGTCAGGTGATTGTATTCTGAGTTACAAACACCTTATGTTTAACCATGTGTAATTGTTCCTTTTTATTAGCTTTGTACCCCTACCGAAGATGCGACATCAATATCTCTTCTGATTGACATTTATATTCATTGTAATGTGTGTTTGTATTTAGTTCATTTCTAAGTAATGCTGTTTTCTGGATTTCATATTTAATGTTCTCCCTATTTGTTAAAACTCTAATTTGAAAATTTTTGAATATGTTTGCTTATGTGATTGAACTTTTGCGCGCACTTCGAGTTATCGGTGTTTCCCCGGATGCGCCTTCGCGGGGGTGAGGTTAAGCTAGTTATTAGTAGTCGTAAATCCCCCCAAAAAATTAGGTCGGCTGTTCAACAACGGTTATAGAATTATAAAATCAAACAAGTTGAAGAAGAGGGGTGTCCGTTAGTTGAAGAAGACAAATCTAGCATCAGAGTTAAATGAAGAATTTTTTTTTTCTAATTCATCTCAATTGCCCAGTGACAAAGAGATTTGATAAAATTCCTCCTTAAATCACTGCATGCCTTGTTAAACCTATGTATGTAAATATTTATTAGACAAGTGATGGTTAAAGAAAACAAAAACTTTTTTATTACTCATTGCAAACTACATATAAATGAAAAAATGTATACAGCATGATCAGAGAGACATTTGGTACTTAAGATCACTGTACATTTCAAAGTTGAATTAGATCAACATTTATTTGAAGTCTTAATAAATAAGCAAAATTTCTATAAACCGAGTTTTCCATAGAAATTATGTAAGTTTATTACATATTTCTTGGTATTCAATCCATCTCTGTCATACTAAATTTTTTTTAAAATCAGTCTCAGTCTAATTACTCATTGAAATGATCAGCTAGGAGCGCAATTAGACACATTTTTTAACTATGGACAGGGCATTCTTTAAGCGTGTTTTTGTTGAAAAACAAAACAATTTCCTTGAAGGTTATATACAACGACTTTGTGTATTGTATTGTTATCACACGGAAATTCCAGAAATTTGTTAACAGGGTGCATGTGGGCAAATTTTTCAAATAATAATAGTAATTCGATTGTTATACGAGTAAATTAAAATCTGAAGATATAGGTGGTAAGATTTAAATCCAAGCTGGTGCAAACTTGTCATTATAGCTGCAGTTTTAATTTAATAATTTTTTACAGCGAATAATTGTACTATTAAATTCATGTCTATTGAATCCTTTTTATTTGTCGTAATAATGAACGAGTTATTTCTTTATATAGTTATTAGTTTTACATAGCGGAAACGAAATAATTTTGCAACCAATTGTGAAATTTTTGCCAAGGATCGTAGGAATTTAAAAAAAATATGTATTTTCGTGATCCGCATGCAATTTGTTAAGAACCTATCTACTGAGAATTACTTTGCTATAAAAATTCTAAATTTTGGAAAAAAGTTGGCTCCCTATATATTTAAATTTTGCTAACAAAATTGCTTCACTAAAGAAGAATATGATGTCATTAAAAGAGAAAATTAGTTAAAAAACTTAAAATACAACAACACAATCTGTTATTTCCTGATTAAAATTTTCATAGGAAATTTTGTTCTGGAATTTCCGAAAGGTTTTAAAAAAGTATAAATAAGGACAAGAAATTCACTTTGCTTCAGTTAAGAATAGTGGAAACATTTAATCCAGTTTCGATGGATAATGTGCTCATAATCCTTTTAATTGCCTTATGAGTTTTACCTTTCAAGTGAGAATTATAGGTCTTTGAACAGGCACATAGAACAGCACATAATTTGCAATAATTGGACAACTTCAAGGATTTATCAGCATCGTTCTGGGCTTTCAAACTGGGACCAACAAGGGGATTGACGTGTACTTCCAAATTGGGACCAACAAGGGGATTCTCGTGTGCTTCCAAACTAGGTCCGACAAGGAGATTGTCATGTACTTCTAATCTGGGTCCAACAAGGGGATTGTCGCGTACTTCTAATCTGGGTCCAACAAGGAGATTGTCGCGTGCTTCCAAACTGGATTCAAGAAGGGGATTGTCGTGTGCTTCCAAACTGGGTTCAACAAGGGGATTGTCGCGTGCTTCCAAACTGGGTCCAACAAGGAGATTGTCGTGTACTTCCAAACTGGGTCCAACAAGGGGATTGTCGCGTGCTTCCAAACTGGGTCCAACAAGGGGATTGTCGTGTGCTTCCAAACTAGGTCCAACAAGGAGATTGTCGTGTACTTCCAAACTGGGTCCAACAAGGGGAATGTCGTGTGCTTCCAAACTAGGTCCAACAAGGAGATTGTCGTGTACTTCAAAACTGGGTCCAACAAGGGGATTGTCGTGTGCTTCCAAACTAGGTCCAACAAGGTGACTGTCGTGTGCTTCCAAACTGGATTCAACAAGGGGATTGTCGTGTGCTTCCAAACTGGGATCAACAGGTGGATTGTCATGTGCATCCAAACCGGGACCGAATTCATCTTTTATTTTAGATAGTCCACTCAATATCTGTTCAATTCTAATATGAACCTTGCTTTTCAAGTGCATTTTATAACGTTTCGAAGTTGCGTGTTGAATATTGCATACTTCACAGCGATGTGGTGAAGAAGACGACTTTTTGACATTATCAACTAATTTAGAATCAGCGGCAATTTGCTTTTGTTTCGTCTTTCTGCAATGCTTCTTTCCATTCAAATGACTTCCATAACATTTAGAACCAAAACACGAAATTTCACATAGCTCACAATAATATAAACAACAACCAGCCAGATTGAACTTAAAATCATTTAAATCTTCAGAAATATCGATATCTTCAGCATGTCCCAAGGACATTGTATTTATATATTGCTCAGCTCTTTTATGAGTTTTCCACATCAAGTGCTTTTCATATTGATTGGAATTAACCGAAATATTACACAACTCACAGTAATATTGCGAATTATTCAAATTTTCAGCATCTTTTACACTGAAACTTGCGTCAACATTTTCTTTTTTTCCTTGACCTATTTTCTTCATAAGCAGTAAAATCTTTTGATGTTTCTTATCATTCATATGTCTTTGGTAACCTTTATCATTTTTATACTGAATATTACAAAACTTACAATAATGCTGAAAAGGAAGTTTTGAACCATTTTTAGGCGTTTGTTCATTGAAACAAACATCTCTCGCATTTTCCACCTCTAATTGAAAAAAGTTGTTTATTCGTTGCACAATTATTCTATGACAACGTGTTTTAAAGTGCAAGTCATAAAATTTCGAACTGAAGGAATGAAAATTGCATACAATGCAGTAATATAACACAGGAAATGATTCAATATAATCTTCACAAATATCAGCTTGTTCATCAAAACCAATTCCGGTAGCTAAAACCATCGTGGCATGCAACTTACTTTCTGAGTGTCGGATAGCATTAGAAAGATTAGAAAATCCCCTTGAACATGCCACACAAGAAAACAAGTTGTTAATCTTTGAACTACCCACATTTGAATCAGCAAATGCGACATTTGGAGAAGTTTCAGTTGCTATTTGGACTGATTGGGCAGAGTCCGGAATAGTTTCAGTAACAATTGGGACTGATCCTGAAGAAACTGGATCAGTTTCAGTAACAGCTGGGGCTGATTCAGCATCAGACATTATAAAACCTTCAGCAGTAACAGCGACTGATTCAGAGGCTACTGTAACTGCAGGGATACTTTCAGTAGAAAAACCTGTTACGGTATTTTGATGTTTCTTGACGTTTTCCTGATGATTATCAGTCGATTCATGTTCGATCAGGCTTTTTATGCCTTTAAACTTTTCGAAACAAACTTCGCAATTCATTTTTCAAGTTCTGAAATAAAATAAAAAGAAATAAATAAAAAAATTAATAGCTTTTTCACATTTCAGATTGCTATAGAAAATTTTTAAGCCTAAAATAAGAAAGATAGCTTAATATATTTTATATTGACGTTTCGTATAGATTTAATACATCGTTGCAAATCTTTAAATAGCTTCACTTCAAAACAGCATTTTTCATAATGAAGTCGCAACCGCTCCTTTAATCGAATTTTCTTCAAATCGTAAAAATATACACAGCGTTTACCGTAATCACCACCTTTAATATATATTTGTAGAATCCTTTTAAAAATAAATACAGGCTTGGGTTCACAAATTAATATTCAAGCGAGGAAAAAAAAACACTATTGAAAATTAACAAGTCACTACGAAAGAAGGCAGAGTTGCAAGTTGCAAGCATCAAAACCTGCTTGATAGCCGGAGAGAATAGATAAGAGTAGAAAAGACAGTTATTATAAACATGTTAGCTGGTTACTAGAGCCAAATTTCATCTGGCAATCAAACTGGTTCAAATGTTCTTCATCCTATCTTCCTAACTACTGATTCCTCAGATTAATTTATTTTTACCTGCGCAGTGCTTAATTTATTTTTTTGCTTAAATATCAAACTGCCTCCTATAATGTATAGATACCTATTTTTTTCTTCTTCAAAATTCGTGATCATTTTTAAAATATGGAATTGAAGTAAAAAAAAATGCATGTTAACTTAAATTAATACGTATATAGATACAAAAAAAAAAGTAAAAAAAAAAAAAAAAAAAAANAAAAAAAAAAAAAAAAAAAAAAAAAAAAAAAAAAAAAAAAAAAAAAAAACCACTTCGGACCACAACTGGAAAAAGCTGGGCAATTATCAAACCCTGTTTGATTGACGGAGGAAACATAAAGGAATTATGAGATGAATATTAAAAATATTTCCAAGTTTTTTTTCCCCAATCTTTTTGAAGTTTTTCATTTCGATTTCATTACTAGTGATTCGATAGTATATTTGTTTCCCCTTAGATAGATCCCCTTATACCCTTATACATTAATTTTCTAACTTCAAAGTGCAGCATGCACTTTGAATGGATTGCAAAATTAAATATTACAGGTAGTGATTACGGAACACCATGGATCTTAGTGGCGTAGCTTTCAACTCACGTTTTTTTATGTTATATTCATTTTCTTTTTAGATGAATTAAATATTAAACGGGTTTAAGGAACTTGTCGTTCGATATGCTGTCATTTTGCTATAAAAAATATAAAACAACCTGCGTGCTAAGATAACAATATGCATTTCGATAATCCATATCAAAATGAAGTAAATAAAGTATGTACTTATGACGTTACAAATTGATGTTTAAGCTTGAAAAAAATAAAAAGATTGTCGTAATCAAATAAATTACAATCAAAAAGGCTTAGATTAAAAGCATAATAATCAGATATATTGCCTGATATAATTCAATCTCTCCCTGTTTCCTCCTGCAATCAAACAGGGTTTCTTATTTTCAAGAATACCTATAATAATCTTAATGTCTCCCTACTATCTTAATATTCCTAGTGTGCATAGTTTTTAATATAATTAATTCTAAAAGCATATATTGAAGGCAGAACATCTGTATTACCTCAATCTCACTTTTTTTTATGTCAAGAAGGCACATCATCACTATAAATGCTTATAAGGAAGAAGAAAAAAAGATTTTTTTATGTAAGTAAATTTATTTATGGCGTAAAATTTAAGGAGTGAATTGTCGCTGAAGGAAATTGTTCTTCCTTGATGAAAACTACTAAAGATTAAGTGCTATACTTGTTTTTCGATAAATATAGTCAATACGTAAATTTTTCTTAAAATAAAGTATATTAACTTTGACTAATGTCTTACCATAAAGAAATGAAATAAATTACTTAAGAATGAAAATAGGCTTTGTTTTAATTCATTCTTCTACCGAACGCCATTAGTTATAAGGACAAAAACCGACTCCCTTTCACCGACCGACTTCCCGTACACTCGCCACTTGAAGTCAAACACCACACTTATAGATAATTTTATTTCAACTTCTCTATAAGGTTAATATTGTTTGAGTAAAGTATTTTAATAAAATCGTCATATTGAATATTTTAATTAAATTGTCAGAAATTTATGCTTTGTTATTTCTAAAGTTATCTTCGACTTTAATTTTAAATTTTTTAGTGACAATAAATATATAGAGCTATCAGAAAAACACTTTTCAAAAAAAATGTATACTTTATTCGTGTATAACCATAAAATAATCGTTTTTCTTTGTTTGTTTGTTTTTTAAATATAAGGTTTATTTTAAAACTCTTATCTTTAGGGGAGTTTCCCCTATGAATAAAAACACCTTTAAGAGCATTTGATTGTTGTTCTATGATTTTTATTAATGTTATTTCACCTTGGAAACTGCACGATTCCCTTATAGGGGGAGTTTTTCCTTTCAGTTTAGAACCAATTAAGAAGAAGAAATTAACAAAGTATTTGATGTAAAAAAGTTTTCCAAATGTATTGAAGAGTAAGACTCAGCCTCATTTCATTACGAAAGAAACTGCATAATTCCTTTTTAGGGTGAAATTATAGTAGATTTTACAGAGTCATATTTAGGTTTAGAATACAAGAACTTGAAAAAAAAATTATTTAAATTAAAATCAGTAAAATGATGGTCTTTTAGTTATACTTTTTAGTTGTAAATCGTTTTTACTCAAAGTCAGGCTGATTACATTTTCCCCGTTAAATCAGGAAATTTTCCTTTCAGATAAATTTCTCCTACGGTCACTATATAAAATTACGGATCATCAGTGCATCATCCATTAAATTAATTTTATCGTACCGTAAACCGGGGCGAGTCTACCCATCCAGGGGCGAGTCTACCCATTTTAGTTTTATTTAATTTTCACTATTTTAAATTGCAAATAAAAAAATTTTTACCAANTGTTAAATCAGGAACATTTTGATAACAGTTTTTTAACAAATCAGAAGTAAAAATCAGAACTGATTTTTCATTCTACGATATTAAATTAAGATACTATTTGAAAAAAGAAATACTTTGAAAATATATATTATAATGATAACGTTTTAGATTTTTTTAATGTTCATTTTAAACAAAGTTAAAAACAATTTTAAAGAAATGTTTACGATACATACCAAGGGTCAACGGGAAATATCTACTAATTTGTAAAATATTGTTGTTCTAAGGTTTAAAATAAAACTTGACGGTTGTTTTTATACATTTTTTATCATTAGTAATTTTTATGAGATAAAAAAATAGATATAATACATTTTCCAGCATAAATCAAACATTGTTAGAGGGGATTTCCCTTTAAGTTGTATAAAAAACAAATTAGCACATGATATTTTTTTATCGTAACAGACGTTTCTTATCAGGGAAGTTAGTTTCCGTTTAGCTTTTAGTTCGATTGTATTCTTTATTTATCTTAACAGGAAACCTAAATTGCAAATTTTTATACAAATTATTTTGAATTTTTAAATTTGCTAAATTTGTCACTGGTAGTATTTATGTTTTACACACTAAATATACATTACTTATGTAATATACTTTCCTTAAGTAATATTAACACACTTATATCATTGAATCAGGTTATCTTAAGCAATAACTTTATGGGAAAACTATTGCCATTAAATTTTTTAAACAATCCTACATTAAAATAGCATTTGTATGTATGAAAATAATGTAGAAATACATTTCTTGAAAAATTAAACATTTTGAATTCTTGAAAAATTAAAGGATAAAATAATTTTAAATAGTTACTTTAATCCATTGTTTATAAAAAATTAAAGTGCGGTTTCATTCGTTAATTCGTTGGACATATACCAAAACAGTAAATTGATTTTTTTAATATCCTTCACACAATAAAATGACTTATTTATTTCAGTCATTTGTTGGGTATTATAAAATAAGCGTCCTATCTTTATACTCTTATTCTCGTTTGTAGACATCTAGAGATAATTACATTTTATTTATTTATTTATTATTATTTTATTGTTTTTTTTTCTTTTGGTGCTACATTGGCTTAGTCATCATCAATGTGTAAAATAGGCTCTTTCCACTTTTGGTCGGAAAAGTTATCTTTTCATGTATTTATAGAAAGCTTTTGCAAAATAATAATAATAATAATTTATGTTAATTCCTATCACTAGAAAGAGAAATCACTAGAGGAAAATTTAAACTTATTACTGACAGAGCTTTAAGTTTAGATTTGTCTTCTTCCTGCCTTTTTTAAAACTGCCCTAATAGAATTCCAACAAAATTATAATTTTCCGGCTATTTGTTAGGTGTTTATCATGAGGTTTCAACTTTTTCTAGTTTAGATTTTGTTTTAAATTTTTGTATCGTTTAAATCAAAAATTAAAAAAAATAATATTTAATTTTATAAACAAATTTATGTTTAATTTATTTAAATTTTTAAACATGTTTTTCTCCAAAATTTGTAATGTAGCTAATAAATGTAGATTTTGGAAAAGGTAATTAATATCAACAGCAATTTTAAGTAAAAAGGGAAAAAAGGGAAATTAATCTCTGTCCCAAAATTGACAGACGATTTGAAAAATCGATTAAAAAACGAAAGAAGATAGAAATATATAGTGTATAAAAAAAGAAGAAGAAAAAAAACACCCACCTTGAATAACTTTTGATTTAATGATCGAATCTTCGCGTTCTAGGACTAAATCTTAATGGTCCATGGGAGTGCTCTCAAATATGCTAATTAATTAGTGCAAACGATATTTTACGTTGCAAAATCAGACAAAAACCATTCTTTTTCTCAATGGATTCAAATTTTTGACCACCAAAATATAGGGGATAACCGCAATCAGGGAAATATGGTCCCTCTAGTTTGATCATCAGAACAATGCAAAGTTTGGACCCCTCAAAGATAATTTAATTTTTGGCGTATTTCCCCATATCTCCAAACTATTTAAGCCAATTTAAAAAAATTTGCTTACAATTATAAAATTAGCTTGTCCTTAGATAATTCCATTCAAAAAATGACGTTTAGTTAATATTTATGATTTTTATAATTTTGTTTAATAATAGTCGAAAAATATATAGTAGGTATACATTTTTGCATGATTTTAAAGAATATAATTTCACATGGCAAAATACAGAAGTTGAAAGCAATCGAATAGTGTGTAATAGTTTATGAGAAATCGAATTTTTTTCTTTGAAAATCGTATTTTAAAAATATGATTTCACAGGAACTATTCTGCCGATTTCATTCAAAATTTGTATTTTGCCTCCTGCAATTATATTCTTTAAAATGATAAAATTGTATACCCTATGATGCAAAATGTTTTCGACTGTTAATAAAAAAAAAATTTACTAAATGCTTTTTTTTTCTTGGAATTATCTTTAGATAATAGAATTTTATAATTGTGTGCAAAAATATTTCAATTCGTCTGAAAAGTTATCGCTATAAGGCGAAATACACAAAAAGTAAAATTAACAATAAGGGGTTCAAACTGTGGACTTTGGACTTCAGACCTAATTTCCCAAATTGCGGTTAACCCCCATACTTTGGCTGTCAAAAATCCTAATCCGTCGAATAAAAGGTATGTTTATTCAGAGAAAATGTGTTTTTGTGTCTGATTTCGTCACTTAAAATATCGTCTGCTCTAATTAATTTACATATTTGAGTTTACCCCCTCAAACCATTAAGCTTGAGTCCTGAACGTGAAGATCCGATCATTAGATTAAAAGTTATTCAGGGTGTTCCGTTTTTTTATTCTGCACATTGTACGTTTTTCTATGTTCTGCTTAGGAAACAAGTTTTATTGGTATTATGTTTTAAAAATATCTATAGCAACAGATGGCGCTGATGACTGCAAAACGTTAAAATAATCTTCTCTAATTAATGCCAGAACACTCTAACTGAAATATTTGTATGAGCGTCAAATAATCTAGTTATCAGACTGCAACAGGATGCAAATGAGGGTTATTTTAAAAGCTTGGTCATCTAATTTTTCGGTATCAGTTGATAAATATAGTAAGTAATTTTAAAATTTCAGAGTTAATTTCTTGTTTCCTGAGCAGAACGCATCAAACCGTACATTTCAATCTCCTTTATTATCTCAAATCATCCGTGATTTTTTGGGACAACCGATACTACGAGATACTCTAAGTATTTCAGGAACAGATATTTGCTATTAATTTGATGTTTCAAACAACCTGATATTTTAGACTTGAGGTATCCGGTAACAGGATACATTTATCATCTGAAATTAACAGGAGCTACCCTCTGCGTATCTGATGCATGATTCAAACACCAAGTCTTTCGTAAATAATAACAAAATAAAATTGTAAATCTTTTCATGTCATTTGTTTTTATTTAGCATTGCCCAAACATAAATAAAAGACACTTTAAACAATGCAATAAATAAATAAATAGATAGATAAATAAATAAATTACAAAAAATCAGACCTTGACAGTACAATCGTATTGATTTGTATTTTTTATATGAAATCGCTGTAAAAATAAAAAGATAAATATATAAATTACAAAAAATCAGACCTTGACAATACAATCGAATTGATTTGTATTTTGTAAATGAAATGGCAGTAATACGTTAATTTCATCGCAGGTAAAATTTTATTTAACTGGTACATAAACTACTCTATCTTGTTGCAGAGTTCCTACATCTAATCGAATTTAAGAAGTTACAACTAGCTTGTAAACTATCTGATTGATTGAGAATCAAAATTTACAAAGAAACAAAACCAAAGATTCCCCTTAGAGTTAAAGAGGAGTGTATCAACAAAGTATATTTTATCTGACAGAATCTTAAAATTGTAGATATGTATTTATTTCTAGATTCTCTTAAAAAATAAATTTATCTTAACAATTTAATATATCCATCATATACAATCTTAATAAACTATCCATACATTTTGGGACATAATTAGACTTCAAAAGCCACTTAAAAAAAAGTCTAATTTATGAAAAATTTAACAAATCAGTTATTGTCTGAATAATTTAGAAAATTTTGCAAACGAACCTAAAAATACAATAATATATTTTTTATTTGAAAATTTGGATTAGCAATATACAGGTGGTTATCAAAATAATGGAAACACCCTAGATTTTGAAGGAATCTCTGTTTTAAAGGAAGGTCGTAAATGTTCTCTTTATGAAGGTATCTTCTAACTGTAATTGTTGACACTGGAGAATCCAGATGCTGATTGAGCTCTGCTGTCACTTAGGCTGCAGTTGTTTTCTTTTTAGACATTACAATCCTCTTCAATACCCGTCGGTCTCTTTCACTCAGCTTCTCCTTCCGTCCACCATTTTGCTTTGCTGATCTTGTCTTTCCGCGCTGCGTGTATGCTGTCATGACTTTAGACGCCGTACCTCTAGAAACGCCTAAAAGCTGGGATGTTTCGGTCACTGTTGCTCCAACTAGTCGGGCTCCTACAATTTGGCCTCTCTGAAAATCTGTGAGGTCTGACATTTTGCGCTTCTGACAAAAAATCAAAACGCAGACAACTCTGCTAAAGCTCTCTCATACCACCTAATATATGTACTTTTTATATTAAAAAAAACTGGTCGCTAAGATTATATTTTAATGTTTATGAAGCGAATTCTTAAATGTCCCTTTGATTCACAAGTGTTTCCATTATTTTGATAATCACCTGTATATGTTACTGTGAATGATCGAAATTGGTGGTTGTTGACTTCCATCGGTGAATGTTTGCAATCACATAGTCGCTTTGGTAAATGTCCGATGTATATACTAGATCTAGTTAATTGCCACTACCCGGTATACATTTGCTCGGTATGCCCTACATCAATGTTTTTTTTAAGGTCAAGTATCCAATATACATTTAACCGGTTCTCTGTACACTGATGTTTCTCCTAATCTAACCTCAGCAGATATTAATGTGTCGAATAAATATAATAATATCAACGAAGAAATTAATATCAAATCGGATATAACAAATATATCGAACATTCACCAAAGCGACTATGTGAATGTTGACATTCACCGGTGAAAGTTGACATTCTCTTGATTTCGGTCATTCACGGTGACGTCATCAAAACGAAACTCGATGATGTTTAAAATTATTCGTTATTTCATCTGATACATTATTTGTTCAATATTTGATTTTAGTTAATTTTCAGAATGCATTCGTAAATTTTGTTTATGGTTAGTATTTCAGATGTCCCTATGAATAAAAAAAGGCTGGATGCTTCCTCACAGAAAAGTGCAATTAGAATTTCGAAAGTTCACTCACTTAACACCCTAAAAATGTATCAAAATGAGCAGTATCATGTAATAACTGAATTTGATTCTCAGCAATTTTTAACCATCGCGTACTATTTTATGCTTACATTTCAAAAAGTAATTTTCACTCATTATACTCAAATAAGAGAAAAATTTGTAGTTTAAAAATAATAATTAAAGGAATGCTATGAGACAATCTCTGCACATTTTTTTTATGAAAAAAAAAGTAAAGTAAAGAAAAATGCTTTTTGATAAAAAGCTTAAAAAGATTTTTTCTAGAATTTATAATGAAAATTATTCTAAAATAAGCATTTAAGTAAGCATTTTCTTTTGTTTAAAAAAAAAGTTATTTATTTAAAAAATAGTTTTAAAATTGAAAACACTTAAAAAATTTATTAATATAGCCTCGTGAAAAAAAGAAAAACTTATAAAAATTTAACCAGTTGAGAATAATCCTAATAAAGTAAATATTTGTAATAGTAGTCAGAATTAAACCTATAAACACAGATAATTTTTGCGTATAATTCTTATTTTTAGCAGTTAATTAATTTTTCTTAAAAATGGAATATGAATTTTAAAAAAAAGTATTTTTAAGGGATGGAAGAGCATATTTTTATAAGAAAGGGCAAAGAGGGAGCATTTATAGGGGTCAAAGGAATGATAGGACGGTCCGCACTTCTAAAAACGTTTAGGGAGATCAAAGCTATTTATTATTCAGATTTTATTTATCATTAAAAATTGGTGGTAATAGTTTATTATTACTTCTTATTTCATAAAAATACTGCGCCTTTTTCGTCAATCTAATTGGAACAGTTTTGAAACAACTTCTTAAGATATATAGAACTCTTATTCTAGGTAATTTTAAGGAAGTAGTTACAATTTCTATCCTTATTGGTTTCTATGTTCCACCAGTATGAATAATTATTGTTTTTTCAGTATTTGGCTTCTCTCTGAGTGAGCTTATTTCGATGAGCCTTACTATTTTGGTGCTGCTCATAAGGTACAGCACCATTGCAATAGATATTGCATATATCGCAGAAGTACTGTCCAAAATGTTCAACTATATCAGTATTTTTAACTTTTACATTCATCACTTTTATTGCGTGCTCTGTTCTCTTATGAGCTTTACTCCTCAAATGCTCGTTATAAGGAAGAGGTCCGTTGAATGTTTTATCACAAGTATTGCACTTGAAAACATTATTTAATTGCTCTCCAACTTTTGGTTTTGCACCAAGCTCAGCATTTTTAGAAACAGCTGATGTATTTCTATGATGTCGAGCACTAGCCATATGTTGTTTGTAAGGTTCTGGACCGTTAAACTCCATATTGCAAACTTTGCAAATTGAATTGCGAACGGTTGGTGACTGCTGCATCGTGATTTGTGGTGTATGGTATGGCAACGAGTGGTATTATTTGTGTAGAAAGATTTTATCGGGATTCTTTCTCCGATGCACAAATGTTGCTGAGTCTCGATTAGAATTTCAAAATTTCTGCCTCCAGTCCAACTGAAAAGGCGAACTCTGAAAGAAAAAAAAACCTTTGTCTATAGATTAAATCAGAATGAAAGTGGTTCAATGATTAGAGATAGCTGTGGTAAAAGAGTGATAAGCCACATATTAAGAAAATTTCATTCTCTTCTGTAAATATTAAAAAAACTGCTTGTTTACAAGCCACAGAATTCTGTAACATGTGTGACAAGGAAATCTAATTGTAAACCAAGGTTTTTTTTATTTTATTTTATAACCGTGGGGGCATGGATGATAATTGTCCTCAAAAAAGTTTGTATCAGTTTCTTCCCCAAAAAAATACTTAATAACTTAAAACTAAAAAGTTATCTACTTCTTAAAAAAAATTAATATCAAGTGCTCCAAAAACACTGAGCTATTATAGTGTGTTTTAGAATGTTTATCAAAAATGAAGTCTACATTTTTAGACAATGGGGAAATACATTAATAAATAATTAAATATATAATTAAAAAATTCATTACTAATAATTAATATGGGAATCATAAACGAAAAACTAAAACGCTATCGAAATTTGACAAATAAGCATTGAAGAAGGAGAGATTGAAAAACTTGTTTGATTGCCGCAGTAAACTGTAATTAATTAACTGTAACTAATTATTCGAAACGCAGGAGTTTCGAATAATTACCTTTTAATTCCTGTTAGATTTTGTCCTTATCTCACTTTAATCTTTTAAAACCTTTAATTCTGCTTTTCTCCCGAAATATTACGTTTTGATGGATTTGTTTTCGTATCTAGGTACTCTTGTTACCAACAAAAATGAGATAAGGGTTGAAGTTAGGAACAGACTTTTGATGGTTATTAAGTGCAACTTTGGTCTGAGAAACCAATTAAAATCGAAACTCCTCTCCAGTCATTGGTTCAAAAGTAAATTTATACAAAACCTTAATTAAACCAATTATTCTATACGGTAGCGAGACCTGGGCAATTAATAAAACAAAAGAAAAAAGATTACCCATTTTTGAAGAAGAAAATTCCTTCGGTCAATTTTTGGAGCAGTTAGGAAAATAATATTTGGAGAAGTTTATATAATCATGAGATATACAATAAATATAGATCGCCTAATATTTTGAGGGTTATTAAGACCTACAGGATCAGATGGGTGGGGCAAGATTTGGACCTAGTTAAAAAACTTACTTTTTAGAAAATTGAAGGAACTAGAAGAAGAGGGAGACCAGCTACAAGATGGTTGAACAGAGTTGAGAAGGACTTAAAATTGTTGAGAATAAACAGGTGGAGAAATCTAGCTCAAAGCCTGGAAACAACTAATTGAGAAAGCCTTGGCCTGCACTAGGCTGTACTGCTAACGAAGAAGAAGATAGATTTCTTTTCATAGCTCATAAATTTATTTGTTACAATCAATTGTAAACTTTTATTAATGTTTGATAAGGATTCTAAAAGTGCATATTAAAAGCGGTGATTTCAAAACTCTCTGCATAGAGTCAGTTCCAAAACTCAGAATATACCAGCTTTGTATTTTTGCGAGAGTAACATTTTCACCTTTTAAAAATTTACAAGAAAATTTGGATTTCAAATTTATTATGAGGTGAAATTTCGGGATCAAATCCAAGAATTAATTTTGTTCATTATTTTACTGTAAGATTTGTTAAGGCTGTAATTTGCGAAAAAGGTGCGGGCTGGCTAACGTTAACAATAACAAGAAATTTTTAAATGTTTGTTTTGACAGTCAATAGATAATTTTATACGCGAGTAAGCTTATAGGAAGTTCAATGACCGCTTCTTAAACTATATTTTAAGAGCATTTGTCAAAAATGAAGTTAAAAAATCTTATTAATATGTGAGCCACGAATTCATATGTAATCCAGGATAAATATAATAACGCTAAAGCGAAAAGAATAACGCTTTCGAAATAAGTTGAATCAATAGTGAGGAATGTTGGATGAAAAATATCAAAACCAGTTTTATTGCCTGATGAAACTTAAATGCAATTCTAATAATTGCTTTGTAGCTGCTCTCCTCAATTTCCTCTGGTTATCGAACTGGTTTTGGTGCTTCTCCTCCCACCTAGATTACGATAGCGTTTGCCCCCCCCAACCCCCTGAAATTATAATTAACGACTCAGCGCATGAATAACATTTTGAATTCTAATTTAAGAGGGTTTTTAAAATGTTGGATTAAGGATGGTTATTAAAAAACTTAGCTTTCTATTTTTCATAATAGCAAGCATATTTTTCTGGCAGCTGTGAGCCCATTCTCACTAAAAGCGATCTGACTGAGATTCACAACATCTCGTGAAGTAGTTAACGTATTTTACACAAGCACTTTTCAAGGCCCCGTTGTTCGAAAAGACTCTAAACCACATTTATAATAAAAAATAACTTAGTTCCTGTAAATTTAATCACGGTGTTTTAAAATATGTCTCAAAATTTTTTAAGTTTTATAATGAATTATTCGTAAAGAGCGAAAATTTGATAGTTTGCAGTTGACAACGACAGCTCGAACTTTTTTTAATATCTCAATTCACTCTCCAAATTTTACTTATATATAGTATTAGAAGTTTTACCCAATCCCTAGGAGAATATTAATATTATTTCTGAGTAAATGCTGATTTTAGATTATATATTTTTACTTTCGTAGGTGTGGTTAGAATTTTAGGTACTTTAAGACATTTGTTAGTCGAATTACTTTTATTTCATAAATTTTTTTATTGCCCCTTCTAAAATCAAAACATATTCCTCTCAATTCCATATGAAAAAAATATAAATATGCATTTCGATAAGTATGTATTCGATATATTTCGATAAATATGCATTCGATCTAAATATGCATTTCGATGTTTTAGAGTTTTGTTAAGAGATACTAAAATGAAACTATTAAAATATTTGTTACTATTATAACTATATAAGAGTAGGTTTTCTTGTATTACGGATCTTGAAATATATGCTTAACAGTTAAATGAAACAAAAAATAATTCATATAATATAAAGTTAAGAGCTAATAGGTTCAAGATTAAATTAGAAAACAAAATAATTAAACTTGTTAGTTTCAGAAAAAAACAGTTATGAAAGAAAGAACCTCGAGAATAAAATATTTATTTCAAAATAATTGTTGTTTTAATTTATGATAAAAAAAATTGTTTGAAAATTCTGTGCTACATTAATCTTGGGGAGGAGTAAATGCGCAATAAAAACAAGATTCCCATTTTTATTTCAATTTCATCTATTTTTCCAGTTCTTTTTATAAGCAATGATTCTCTACACTTGCTCTAAAAATAATATTACTGCATAACAATTAGAGAAGTTAATTCTGAAAAATTAATTTGTATAACATTGAAATTATGCAAAAACCTTAATGAGAAAAGAGTTAACTCACTATATCTTTATTAAATATTGTCATATCTTTATTGAATATTTATGAAAAAGGAAAATATTACTGTAAATTCATTTTAATTATTTTGCAACTCAACTAAATAAATTTGGTATTGGGATTTATTAACAGAAATAATTTAAACTCAATTAGTAGTAAATAACCATATTTTACTTATTAATATGTGAACAAACTATCTATTTTCAACAGTGTTATAATTTTCTACGTTCGTTTTCAATAGTGTAATTCTACATAAGCTCATAAACGTTGGAACCAGCTAGTTTTGAGGTAAGTTAAAAAATAAAAAAAACTGTTATGACAGTCATTCAAGTAATATTTCTGTTGTCATAATTACAAATATTTTTCTACATGATTTTCGCAATAAAATTATTTTTTTTTCTACAAGACATAACCAGAATTTAGCAGTCCAAAACTGCTCTCGACTCCGAGACCTCAATTCCGTTTTTTAATTATTAAATTTTACGACTGAAAATTACGTAAATGTCTTTCGGAGAATTTCTCTGAAAATTTGAGACATGAGAATTCCGTTTTTTAATTATTAAATTTTACGACTGAAAATTACGTAAATGTCTTTCGGAGAATTTCTCTAAAAATTTGTGACATGAGAATTCCGTTTTTTAATTATTAAATTTCACGACTGAAAATTACGTAAATGTCTTTCGGAGAATTTCTCTGAAAATTTGAGACATGCACATATATAAAAGAAAGCTATAGAGATAAAACTTACCGAAAATTAGACTTTAAAAACTTTAAAATGAAAGCTCTGGCAATCGGTTTCCAACGCTTCAGGTAGAAAACTCGTGATAAAATCATATGAAGAGTGTTTACTCTCTGAAGCTTCTTGAAACAAAAATAGCTATTTCGGGGATTTCCCGAGACATGTGATGACGATAACTCATCGTTATTTCATCATAAACAAAAATATGTTAATCAGATACACTTGCCCGCGGGTCAGCTAAAATAATGTTTTTTTTTTCCTTTCAATTTTTTAATTCATTTTGCATTAATTTTTTTTTCTCTCTTTACTTTTTTGTTATTTTAACGAAATTATTTGTAAACTAAACTTTAATATTAGTTTTCAAAAAATTTTACTATTATCTGCAAATTGCTTAAAAATCTTAGAAATTATTAAAATGATAATATTTAAATAGTACTGATTAAAAAAAAATGAATAAAGCAGGAGAATTTTTTTTCAAGAAAGTTTTCAATTAATTTTGGGTATCCAAGTAGAAAAAGAATAAGTTTTATGCTGTTCTGAAGAGTATAGATGCCCGGAACGCGATTTTCCAAATCAGCGTCTTTTAACGACCTGCTCCCCTGAACTATTATTTAGCAATCAAATTTGCTCGAAAATCATATTTGTAAAAAATACTATGAACGCAATGCCATAAAAAATATTATGTGCAACTATAACTACAACAGTTAGTTATGAGAGGTTATACCCTTCAGCCAAATCGATTAAAGTTATGAGAAATTATATCATATCGCGAGTATAAAAATCTATGGTTAATTAAAACAATATTTAAAGTGTATTTTAATACCTTGTGTCTTTCTCATTGATTCAATTTTTTTAAATTGCATTGTCAAATTATGTTTAAAAAGTTGATTTTTTGAATTCAAACTTTAAAAGAAAAACATATTTGTATTGATCTCAATCCTTAAATGCTTGTATTTTTATTTTTAATAAATTAAATTCGAAAGCAACCGGGAAACGGGGAGGGGGGTTCAGGGAGAAATAAAAACATCGATTTATTTCTGTTTTACACCTCCTTGAGTATTACAAATATACTACGTATAGTAATATTTCAAACAAAAATTTTTTTATATAAAATATTGTTATTTAACATAATTACTTTTCATATAAATAATCGTAATTCGTAACATCCGCCGAAATAAAGTGGTACTCAGAAAGCGCTCTAACAATGTAAGATAAAACTTAATTTTTTTTTTCGCCGGTAGTTTTAAAAATAAAAAATAAACTAGAACGAAAAAAATCCTTGAAATATTTGATATTCTTGGTTAAAGCTGAAACTCGGATAATCGGGACTCTACTGTGTGTGTAAATATATATATATAAGAAAAAAAAAGAAAATGAAGAAAATTAATAAGTTTTATTTACTGCGTATAAGCTGCAAGTATATAGAATTCGTAAAATAAGTTACAAAAATATACGAAATC